AGTACTTATAGAACACGATCTGGAAATGGGGAAAGATGTTTTCTAACGATTGTCGGTTTTCACGTAAATCTTGGTGTTCGTTTTTTGTTTGATTGATTATTTGTTGGTGCATTTACTATTCTTGATCGATCATATGGTTTTGTCCGACAACACAAAGGCAGGAAAATTATTAATTGCTTCCGCTAGAAAATTAAAGTGATTTTTTCAATGTTTGTGAAGTATAAAAAATAGTGAGAGAAAAGTATATTCTTACAGCATATTTTTTTACTATAGTTATTGGAGATATATTACTTTTTGATTTACTCCGTAATATATATTGTACGTATTAGTTCCTTCAATTCTCCTTGATCTACGTACAAAAATTAAAGTGAACGAACACATCGGATGAGAGGGAATACTTGGTATACTCCGTCATCAATCGGAGGCTAAAATACTTTAATCAAAATGCAAATTGGAAATAAAAAATTTAAAAGCCCAAGACGCCGGAATGGTTCAGCCATTGATTGATCATTAAAATGCTTTTTTCTATTGACCTGTGGAAACATTCTTTGATTTTTTCAAAAGTTTATTTTGAAACAGCGACACTACAATATTCCCCAATTATTGTTGACTTTGTTACAAAACGAGAGTTGAAAAACTTAATTGCCTCATTGAAATTTATTGAGAAAAAAATTAGAAGTATTAATAATATACTTTATCTTAAAATATTTATCCTGATTGATTTTTCAAGTCTACCTACAAGAAATTAGTTCAAAAAATGCATTTGGATTTATCTTTTATAAAACTTTTAAAAATTGTTTCATTGTATTAATTAAAGCTTAAATATTTTTTTGACAATGAATTTGATTTATACAAAACAAAAGATTAAATTCCAAAAAAGGTCCCCAAATATTATAGTTCATTTTACATATTTAGTCCCTACATATCAAATATTAATAATTTAGTCCCCAAATATTATATTTTTCCCATAAATAATCCTTTGTTAACATTTCCGTTAAGAACATGAATAAAATTGTATATTCACACTCTTCTCTTTCATCAATTAAGCTTCCTTCATCCTCTTGTACTCATTCCCAAACTCGTCATTGAGTTTGAAGCTCTAAATCCAAAACTGAAAGGATCATTCCTCTCTCAATTGTTCATATTCCCGGTGGAACCCAAAATCGAAACCAATAATCTTCATGGATGAGTTTAATGAGTTAGTCTCAGGAAATTGCAAAGAAAAACATACCTTTAAACTCCTCCATGAAGGTTACTGGTTTTGATTTTGGATTCCACCAGGAAGAAGAATAATTGAGAGAAAAGTAATGATTTTGGTTTTGGGTTCAAAGCTTCAAACTCAGCGATGAGTTTGGGAAAGGAGTGCGAGAGGAGGGAGGAAGCTTAATTGAGGAGAGAGAGAGAGAGAATTATGTGAATTTAAGATTTAATCTACGTTTTTAATAGAAATGTTAACAAAGGACCATTTCTGGAAAGTAATAAAATAATTGGGGACTAAATTATTAATATTTGATATGTAGGGACTAAATATGTAAAATGAACTATAATTGGAGACCTTTTAAAGAATTTAATAAAAACAAAACATCAATTACAAAAAAAGTGATAGATAAACGAGCAACACGTTAAGTGCAAGGTATTAATTTGCAATGCAATTTACTTAAGGAGAAAAACCAAGATAGGAGTAAAATATTAAAAATATACCAAAATAAGACTTACACGTTTTTATTCTCGAAACAGGACTTAAAATGCATTTACATTACGAAACATGGTCATGTACATTACCAAAAAGTATAGTAATGTGCACATGTACAGTGTCACATTACAACCACATTACCACAGTATGAAGTCCTATTTCGTAAAAAAATGAAAGTCCTATTTTGGTACTTTTCTGTATATTTTAGTCCTATTTAGGGTGATTTCTAATTATTAACTGATAATTTCCAAATAAAATTTATCCAACTCGAAAAATGATATGCAACGAATTGAAGAGTCCAACTTTTTAAAAATGAAAAAGAGTGTTAATTTAGTTAGGGCCGAATAGAGAAAGTGAATATATTATTGTTGAAATATACTCTCCTTCTAAAAAAACACTTCTTCTATTTTTTCTCTTTTACCAAAACATTTCTTATTTCTATTAAAAAATTATTTTTATCCCTACTTTTTCTTACCCTATCTATCAAATCATAATTTTTCTCTAATAATTTATCCATCACATCTTATTTTTACCCATTACAACAAGGGTAAAATTAGAGGTCAATTATAATTTGACACTTCCTTATTTTAATACTTGATCAAAATTGGAATTGTATTCAAGAACAGAGGGAGTAAACTTTATGTTTCATAGGCAAGTCGCGACCATAATTAGTCAAGTTTTTGATGGCGTTAGCTCGATCGGTTTGAAGGTGATAGTAAAGTATTCTTGACCTAGCGATCACAAGTTCCAGGTCTGGTCGTAAGATTTCAAGCCTGAAATAAGAATCTAGGCACGGTGAATGATGGGATGATGTGCAAAATGAGGTAGAAAATAGTGTACCCATAACATTACTCTAATCGTTGTGTCGTGCACCATAGGCATATTTATGAGAAAAAGAAAAACTATTTTTTGTTTTCTTTACTTTTTTAATATAATGTTGCTTCATATTATGACACATTTCAAAAAAAGAGAGAAAATTTAGAAATGTTTGAGCGAAAATATAAAGGAGATATAATATCAATCGCAATATTGTTGTGTTTGGGTAGATCTTGTAAAAACTATTTCCAATGATATACTTCCTCCGTCCACCTAAGATCTTCTCATTGCGCGTTACGAGACTTGACCGATTTTATTTTTAATTCAATTTATTTGAATATAGGGATAAAATTTTAATATAAAATCTATGTAGTAATAAACTACATAAAAAATTCTACAAAACTAAAGGTGGCAACACTATATTATTTTATGAAATGAGTAGTAAAAATTAACAAAGTGAATTAAATTTGATCCTGAAAATAGTGTCTGGAAAGATCTATGGTGGAGAGGAAGTATTATTTTTCAAGTAATGACTTGCGTAGAAAGAAATTATGAAAAAATTTGATGATACAATAAAAGATTAAATAAAATGAAAAAAATGAAAAAAAAAAGAGAGAAAGGGAAGCATCTTCCATTCTTCCGTACGCGACTGTGGTCACTCTATTTCTCCATCTCCACTCACGCACACACTCATGGGAGGGAAGGGGTGGCGTTCATCACCTGTGATGTGGCAGCATAGCCTAAAAAGCATTGGATCGTTTCATTTACATTAGCAAATAATACTAATAAAAAACTGAAAAATGTTTATTATTCTCCCCGTCCTAAATTGATCTTCCAAGTCAGTATTTACATAATTTAATTTTAATCACTTTATTTACTCATTTTCGTTAGTTATTTGATAAAATAATATAATCATGTCACCTATAAAAATATATTTGATAAAGATATATCATTTTGATATTTTCAATTTTACACCTATAATCAAATAAATTAAATTAAAATTAATTTCAGTCAAATCTCGTAAGCTGAACTGGAAAGATCATTTTAAAACGAAAGGAGTATCATAAAACAATGAAAATACTAATGTCTCTCCGGAATGTCTAAGGCCCCGTTCTGTTCAACTTATTTTTTCTTATTTTTTCTTATTCTTATTAAAATCAGATCAGATCAGATCAGACCAGATCAGATCAGATCAAATAATATCAGATCAGATCCAATCAGATCAGAACTTATTAAAATCAGATCCTATCAAGAATTATTATTATTATTATTATTATTATTAAAAATGAAAAAGAATAAACTTTAGAAACATGTTAAATAGAAAAATGAGAAAGTAATCCTTAATTATTAGACGTCGGAAAAATTAGTTTTAAAATACATTGACAATGTCAATCTAATTGTACTTTTAAAATATATTTTTATTGCTACTTGTAATTTGAGTCTCTAAAGTTTTGATCTTTTATAAGGATGAGATATTTTAATAAAAATACTATCTCTTCTATATATTGATTATCCAAATTTAATTACTTTTTAATGTATATATAAATTAAATATTTATTCTGAACTTCTCCCCTGGCTTGAGTGGTAGCAAGCCCACTCCCCAGGATTCATGGGGAAGTTCACCCAGGTTCGAGCCCCAGCAAAGGCAGCAGCATTGGCTCTTTGTGCGTCATTAGTCATTAGCTTGAGAATAGTATGAACAGATACTACCTTGTAATAGAGTCAATAGCATTCAAAAAAAATTAAATATTTATTCTAATGTATATATGAAGTAATTCTTAAAATATTAAATTAATATTCTAATTTTACAAAAAATAATCATAAAATAAAAAATATTATTACATTATAATATGAATGATTATTCTAATATATGTATTAACTAATTTTATTTTATTAAAAAATAATCATTAAATAAAAAATATTGATTATATTATAATATGAATTATCATTACAATTTTCAAACATTATTATAAAATCAAATCAAAATTATTGATTTGAATTTTAAATCAAATCATAATTAATCAGATCAGACTAGATTAGATCAGATCAGATCAGATCCAATTAGATCAGATCAGATCAGATCAGATCCAATCAGACCAGATCAGACCAAATCAGATCAGATCAGAACTTATTAAAATCAGATCAGATCAGAAAAAATAAGTTGAACGGAACGGATCAGAACTCATTATCTTTTTTATACTTTAGCTTAAAAAAGGTTTCACTTTTCATTTTTGGAAAAGATTTTGTGAATCATATAATTTCACTCCCTTCTCCACCAATTTTTACTACAAAATTTTACTTTTTTAATTTTTTTTCAATCAAACGTAGAACATACGCCTCTCTCTCTCTCTCTCTCTCTCTCTCTCTCTCTCTCTCTATATATATATATATATATATATATATATATATATATATATATATATATAGACACACACACACACTACACCAGCTACCAACAATATATATTCTATATTCAGCTGGCCGGTTCCTCTATTATATTCTTAATTTCTTTTCCCAAAATTAAGAATGGGTGGGTTCCTTCTTGTTTCCCTTAGCGGCCGCCACATGCTTGTCCTTGTGTTGTTATTTGCCTCATCAGTTCAACTATATTCTAATCATCCGTGGATGATGCATGCTCAAAGTTTGACGTCTTGGGCGGGTAGCGATCATGATTATTGCAACTTGTATGAGGGAAGCTGGGTGCGTGCACCATTTGAGGAGGGAGATTGCCCAATAGACCTAGTTCCACTCAATCGCCAGTGCTCTAACAAGCATGATAAGGAGTACCTCAATTACAAGTGGCAGCCCACCAATTGTGATCTTCCACTGTAAGTACTTATGTTCCATCTCGATCATTATTCTCATCCGTGTTTTTTGAAACATTCCCAAATAAAATTCTTTTTCTTTATATATGAAGAAAATTAAACAAGAGTTACTTTTTAACTCTAAAACAAGTTAGGGGTCGTTTGGTTTAATTTGGGAGAATGTTTTCCCAAAGAACTATTTTCCTAAGATATGAAGACTTCTTTTCCCAAAAAAAAAAACTAGTTTCCATTGTTAATATTTGAAAATTGATACTCCCTCCGTCCCATAAAGTTCTTCACATATCCAAAATATTGTGTCCCTAAAAGTCCTTCTCATATCTATTAAAATACCACTTTATCCCTTACATTTTTATACCCTATCTATCTCATCATACTTTTTTCTTAATAATCTACATACCACATCTACTTTTACCCATCACATCAAAGGTATTTTTGGAAAATCAACACAAAAGTATCCCTCTTTATTTTACCATTTTAGTGAAACCATCTCTATCTTTATGGAAGGGAGGGAGTATTTATAAAAATGTTTTGGTACAATTCAAAAACAGAGTAGCAGAAAGCTAAGGAAATTTGTGTGATGGGGTGGGGGGCGAAGAGGGAAAGGGAAATTTACTTTGAAAGTAAATTAGAATTGAATTGAAAGTTTACAGGAAATTGTTTTTATATCCAACCAAACACTGTTATAGTTTTCATTTTTGGCATCTCACAAAAAAACCTACGTCATTTGCATTTTGTGTTTTAGTAAATAAATATATGACTCACATCATGGAATTTGTCTATCTCAGAATACATTTAATACATAGGTTCTTTTGATATTAGGTTTTATGTCATATTTTGATGTATAGTAAGTAATCAAAAATTGATGGTTCATACCACCTAACAGTCTCGAAAAGCCCCTCAAGTCTGACCTAACTCAAAGAGACCCTACATTTGCACAATTGTATTACACCTCTCTGATTTTGTTGGTTTTGAAATCAAAATTTTGTAGTTTAGGGGTGTAGGATAAGTGTATCACACATGAACTACGGAGTAATAAACTTTAATTAATTACTCCCTCCGTCCCTAAATATTTGTCACTCTTATATTCCCAAGGTAAAATATCAAGTTTTTTCAATTCATTTTATTTATATATTGGTATAGAAATAAAAATAAAATTTACATATCAAGCAACTACATTAAAAGTTCTTCGAAATAAGAAGCGTCAAGAATATGTTATTTTATCAAATAACCAATAAAAATGTAGAAATAAACAAAAGTTCCCGCGACTGCTGAAAAAGCAAATGTTGCAAATATTTAGGGACAGGGAGTAGCATCTATGCTTTCCCGACTCAAAAAAAAATTCCTTCCTTCAAAAAAAAGCAAATTTCCTATTCGCTTTTGCAAAGCCAAATTTTGACAATTTCATTTTACTTTTTTATTACTTATTTGAACAAAATAATCTTGTTTTTATAAAACTTTGATATAGCTTTTAATTCTTAGTATATTAATAATTTTAATTTTATAGATATAAATAGAATCAAACATGAATTCTGTCAAGCATGGTAACCCGCAACAGAAAGCTAATTTTGGAAAGGAGCTCAGGGTATAGTATAATCCGTTTGGAAACATTATTAGAAGTTAGCATTTTAGAAAAATTATCTAGCGGTAGCCTTTAGCGTTAGCCTTCTCAAAATTAAGCTACTTGATTAAAATTTTATCCAAATTAAAACTAACGCTAATCGAAAATATAATGTTATTCCCAAACAAGGCTTATCTCTCTGATCTTTATCTATATGTCTATAACCAAGATCGAGTATGTTACTTCATCCGTCCTAAATCTCTTTCACGCTACAGTTAATGAAACTTGATGAAAGTTAGCTCATAAGTTCATTAAAAGAAAGACGACATGACTATATTCTTCTACCTAATGCTTTATAAAAATAGATAAAGAAAGTGATTAAAATATGCTCTTTTAAAAGGATGAAATATTTAACTTTATTTGGGATAAATTTTTTCTAGTAGAATTAGTTTTTGAATGCTACCTCCGTCCCTGAGTATTTGTTAGTTTTGATTTTTTTAGTAAATTGTTTTTAACCTTGGACTTATAATTAAATAAAATATATATTGTATATAAATTAGATAAATTAATATTTCGAAAATATTTCATATAATAAATCTAATTAATAAAACAATTTTTGTATCAATATCTAATATTATTTTTATTAAATTTGAGGTCAAATTTTATCAATATTTACCGTAAAAAATCAAAAGTGGACAAATATTCAGAAATGGAGGGAGAATTTTTTAGTGGTGCATATTAATTTTTAAAATGTTAATTTTAAATCTTATTATTGATAATCTTTCAAAACGCTAAAACTATCCAAAACGGTTCCTGTATATAGTTATATATATATAGATGTTGTTTGAGAACAACGTTTTCGATAAGCATTAGTGTTTTGGATAAAATTTCAATGATGTAGCTTAATATAAAAAAATAAAGCTAAAAGCGACTGCCAGATAGTTTTTTTCAAAATTAGAAAACACCCTAAATAGGACTAAAGCATACCAAAATAGGAGTTCCATGTTTTTATTTCTCGAAATAGGACTTCACACTGTGGTAATGTGGTTGTAATAAGGCATTGTATATTTGCACATCACTATACTTTTCGGTAATGTATATCACCATCTATATCTATACTATTCTTAAAAGCAAGGGAATTTTTCCCGCCCAAACGCACCTACGTTGTGAACCGTCTATTAGCGTCAGAATCTTGATCCACGACCATTATTTATCTTTGGAACGTTTCCATGTATAATTGTGCTTAACAATTAATACGTCGTAATGTTTACATGTGTAATGATTAATAATGATTGTGCGTATGACGTATAATATTATGGAATATTTAATAATATATCAAGTTTCCGTGTTTAATAATATTGAAATAGAACGCTCACGTGTTTAATAATTTATAATTATTAAACGGTTAAATATTTTTATATAAATATATTATTTTTTTAAACATGTACTACGTTGAAATAGCAATAAAAATACTAAGCTAAAAAAGGTAAGAATGGAAATAGTTTTGAAATAACGTTTATTTTTAGGAAACTTTTGACTTGGGAGATATATATATATATATATATATATATATATATATATATATATATATATATATATATATATATATCACTACGAAGTACATTGTGATCGAGTCAATATAATAGTACTAAATAATACTCTCATTGTTTCATATTTTTTTGACTTGGGAGAGATTTATTTCGTAGTTTGAACTTCTTATTATATCATTATCATCCAAGAAAAGAGAGAGACAAATCAATTAAATGACTTATCATATCAATACAAATTGAATGGAGTATATTGCATATATTAGTCATTTTTTATTAAATAGAAGTGTTTTAGGGAAAATGAAAAAATTAAAGAGGACCGGAGCTGTTTTAAGAAAAATGGGAGTACATAGTAATAGTAATACTAGTTACCCATCACAAGCCCCTGTAAGGCTGTTTGTAGCACTCTACCACCACTAACTCCCAATCAGCAGGCATTTAGTGCCACATCAGTGATGAATGCAATCACCATCTCACTCATTTAATGCTCATAGTACTCCACTTCGAGTGCGATGATTACACGGTATTATTTATATTTAATTTTATATAATCTTAATAAAATTTAAATCATATCCTTTAAAATAAAAAAATAAAATTATTCCAAAATCCAATTTTATTTTTTTTTCAAGTATCTTGATTTCAATTTTTTTTATCATAACCATTTTTATTTCAATAGCATTTTTTCGATTTCCTTGTCCTATTTTATTTATATAATTATGGTTATTTTTCAATCCAACCCTTTTTCTATAATATTAATGTTGTTGGGTAGATCTTGTGAAATGGTTTCCAATGGAAAATTATTTTTCATTTAATAACTTATGTACAAAGTGTTATGAACAAAATAGACGATTTTGTAGAATAATTAAGTAAAAAACAAACACAAACTTAAAAAAATAAATAAAACGGAGAGCCTCACTTACGGTGGTCGTGGCCATCTCCAATCTCACGCAATGTTCTCATGCAAGACAAGAGGGGGGGTGTGTGTGCCGTGTTTTGAGGTGCTACTTGAAGGCCTAATAAATGAATTACTTGTGTGGGGGAGTACTTATATCATACATTCGGATGTACAATGTTTTTTATACATCTACTTGGTTATTGATATTTTAATAGCAGAATACTCATTTTTGAGTAATAGAATATAATACTCATATTTGAATAACTAGATTTTTATTTTCGAACATAACTAAATTTTAGAAAAATGAGTATTCAGTTACTCGAAAATGAGTATTCAATTGCTGAAAAGTTAGAATTCAATTGCTCGTAAATGAGTACTTCCGTGAGTGTATGGTAAATACCGTACAACAGGTTGTAAGGTATATTTACTGGGAGGGGGGATGTTTTATTAGGATATGCATATAATTAGATAATCGTACGTATATATATACTTAATTGGGCCTGCATGCAGGTTTGATGTAAATGGTTTCTTGGGAAAGTATAAAGGCAAAACGGTTATGTTCGTGGGAGACTCCATAGCACAAAACCAGTGGATGTCACTGGCATGCTTGATTTTCAAGCATTATTGGAGCTACACCCGCAGCTACATCAAAAACCACCAGCAAAAGGTGATTGCCATCAATATCTTTTTCCATGAACCGGCAGTCAGTATTGTCTACCAACAAAATCGGTTTCTGGTTGACATGGTGGGTGAGAGTGATACCAATAACGGCCCAGTCATAATGCTTGACTCCATCTCATCTGAAATTACCCAACTCTGGTCGACGGCCGATCTCTTAGTTGTCAACAGTTATCATTGGTGGACGCACAGCGGCTCCATACAACCGTACGTAACTTCATTCAAATCCCACCTGTTTTTAAATTAAAGCATATAGGATGCTCCGTTTAGAATTATTAAAACTGAACTCAATTGGTTTCATTAAACACAAACTTGTTATTTATAGTAGCTACAAGACTATATATGACCTAATTTCGAGCTCAACAACAGTGAGTCTGTCAACGACAAACCCTACATCTGCTAACACTTCCCCTTAAGTTGAGACATGAGGATAACAGATGAAAAACTTGGACAATAAAATAAACTATGGAGTACGTATGTGTAACATCTTGACCCACTTAACCGAATACATGGAGTGATGAATCACGTTGTAAAATAGTTAATTCAAAATATTATTCAAAACATCAATCGGAGTTAATAAAATAGTGTAGAAGCTTAAATACTTAATTGAAAACACAACTTTGGGTTCTTACCCAAAAACATAATAATTCAAACTAAAATATTTAAATAAAAAACTCTTCAACTAGAATCCTTCCATCTCATTATCCTCTCCTGTCCTCCAGGATGTTTCCTTATTTGTCATTCGTGTTACCTACGTGTAGCAAGTTAAACAAACTACACGCTTATTAGTTTTCACGCTGAGTGAAGGGTTTTTACACTAGAAGTCACACATATGATTATTTCAACATACATAATCACACATAGTATTTCATTCTCATGTAGTATCAAATAAAAGTATAAAATAATATCAACAATATCATAGCACTTACCATAATCTTTTAATTTGGTTGCATCATTTCTTAACACAACATCCCTATTCTTACAATAGCTCATCTCTAACACTTGTTCATAACTTATTTTAGGTTAATGCTAATTCCTCATCATCCACAATGTTATCTTAAGACTTAAATCTATTACATACGGCCAAGACTCAAGTCTAATCTATGACATCAGAATCACTACCTACGGCCATGACTCCGGTCAACCCGATACCTAGGGTGCTGGTTCAGTGGAACCTCCAATCATACAGATTGGATCACAGATTCCATGTAAATACATATTTACTCGAATACACTTGACAATACGTCCACAAGGCTCTACAACCTATTGCCAACTTACAGTTTTAATCTTCACAAGCTAGTCCTAGAGTTCTTCTAAGTAACCTACGTTATTAATCACTTCACATATTCAGATTCAAGCTAATAACATCCTAACATTACTTTACTCATTCAAAGAATATCAAGATTATATTAAAAATACTCCCTCCGTCCCACTGTCTTTGTCCACTTACCTTTTGGCACACCATCCAATGCACTTCTTTAATCCATTTTATCTTGTAATTTGTATATTAAAAAATTATACAAATTATATATTAATAATCTATATGTTAAGACGAATCAAACAAGATTACACATGACTATTTTTAGGCTTACACATGAAGAGAATTTGATGAGTCAAAGTGCTTAGATAAACAGTTCCAAAAATCAAAAGTGGACAAAGATAATGGGACGGAGGTAGTATAACATAGGGACACCAACTATTAATTAATTATCATATAATACCAATAACATTCTAGTGTCGGGTGTAAACACCTTTCACTTACCGTCATGCGGCACATAAGGTCTCAGAATCATTCCATGACTTGATTGGAGAAACAAATAAGCAAAGCGAGGTTTTTAGCACCTGATACGGTACTTGTCACGGTACCTTGGTACCGTCGGTCTAGTACCTACTCACCGTCCAGTGCAGGTACCGGTAGAGGATTCTCTCCTATGGCGGTAGCTAGGTATCGGGAGCTGTAGCGGATAAGAAATACAATCCCAAACCTAACCAATATCACTATACAATATTTATCAAGACTACTAACACACAATCCACAACAAATAGAGTAGTAGAGTGCATCTGGTCCTTCGCTCATCAACCAAAGAATATTTTATTTTGAATAAATCATTATCACCAATCAAAATAAAGTAAATCACATAAACAAATCTACAGTTAAAACCCATGAACTGGCCTCGATTGGTTGAATAGTTAAAACCAATCAAACATATGAATAGCGGATGATGGAAAGTGGTGGCGTACCTGTGTCGATACATAATAGCAGAGGCAACAACTTCAATTCCTATGGACTCACCGATGTTGATGATCCTCTACTGCGCTCCCTCAATTCGAGCTCAAATACAGATACTCGGCACGAGAACATGTCGTGTATGTAAATAAAAATGGGGGAGGGTTGGGTTCTTTTCTCGGGTAGATTAGGAAATAGTAATACTTTCTCCGTTCCATAAAACCCTTCCCCTTTCCTTTTTTTTTTGAATTCTCTAAAACACTTCCATTTTCTATTAAAAAACCACTTTTACCGTTACTTTTACATACCCTACCTATCACATCATACTTTTTCACTAATAAACAAACTATCACAACTTACTTTTACCCATCACATCAGGGGCAAAACTGGAAAGTCAACAAAAATTACACTCTCCATATTTTGGCCCAAAGTCAAAATGAAAATGGTTTAAAGGAACGCAGGGAGTATCTAATAATATTATTATATTCAAAATAAATTTTAATTAATTATTCTACTGCATCTTCATTTCTATTCATAACTTTTTATACATAATTCTAAACTCGACAAATAATGTCATTGGTCATCATTTTACGAGACCTACACAACGACCTAATTTTGAGTATATAATTTTTACGTTATGAATTACTCATATTTTTATGACAAAAAAGAATAAAAATGTACTCCCTCCGTCCCAAAAAGTTTGTTACGTTTAGAAAAAACTGCGTCCCGTAAAGTCCGTTACATTCCTATTAAAAAACCACTTTTACTCCTTACTTTTTGATACCCTACCTATCACATCATATCTTTTTCCTAATAATCTACCCATCACATCCTACTTTTATCCATCACATCAAGGGTATTTTTGGAAAGTCAATACCAAAATATCCCTCCCTTAATTTCCCAAAAAGTCAAACCGTCCTATTCTTTTTGGGACGGAGGGAGTACTTTTTATATAATACCTCAAAAGTGTATTCTAATCATTTGTTTAGAGTCAGATTGTCAAACTAAGATATTGGCATATTCAAAAGAATGTTTCTCATACACTATTCATTAAAAGAAATCATATCTTGAAATCTCGTTTGGACAAGTAAAATATAAAAAATCATATTTAAATATTTAGAAGAATTAATTCCAACATAAATAAATAATACTCCCTCCGTCCTATAAAACCTTTCTCCTTTCTTTTTTTATCCGTCCCACAAAACATTTCTCATTTCTATTAAAAAGTCACTTTTACCCCATACTTTTTCATACCCTAGCTATCACATCATACCTTTTTACTAATAATCTATCCATCAAATCATACTTTTACCCATCACATCAAAGGACATTTTTGGAAATTCAATACCAAAATACATTCCCCTTAAATCCCTCCTAAAAAGCAAAACTCCCATGTTTCATAGGACGGAGGGAGTATTTATTTATTTTAAAATAGAGGCTAACTACTAAGTCGTTCTTAGGGCGTTAAAGTACGACTTAAAAAACATGAAAAATATAAACGAACAAGCGTCTCAAACCTGGATAGGGTGTTGCGCTGCAAACGAACAATAAAAATTTGATGACGAATGATTTCCACATGGTGACACGGGGAAAACTAACAAACGTCTCAAACCTGGATAGGGTGTTTCCGGAGAGAGGTGCGACTCTACGACAAACCCCATAAATTTGCATGTGGAACGTACGGTTGGTTGCAATTGAACATACTGAAAAGAAACAAAAAACAATGTCATTACAAATGACTCGGTCTAAACATGGAAACCTTCTTCTGCGGAGTATATACAAAGCAAACTAGAAAAGTATATCAATAACCACTTAGGCATTACCAAACAACACACTAAAATAACACCAACGTTTTGAGCTCCACATAAAATTGAAAAAACAAAAATCAGATGGCAAACAAGGACTGTTATTGTTGGATTGATGCCATGGAAACAAAACAAAATCCCAGATCGATGAATTTGTGATAGCAGTGCCAACCGAATCTGTGGTAGTTGAACGATCGGAGATGACGGCTCTAACGATGACTACGCACAGGGAGTCGGAGCTACTTGGCCGACAAAATTGCAGTTTCAGATAGAAGGACGTTTGTCTGTGAAAATTAGCAATTGACATTCTGTAGAAAATAGAGGAGATGGCAGCGCTGGATTGATTATGGCAGCGACGACTAGGCACACCGACGAATTGATTTTGTAAAAGGAAGGACGCTGAAGTTGCCGCAGCCAACAAGAAAGGCAATAATGGTGGCAAAAGAGAAACAATCTTGACTAGGGTTTTAGATGCCAGGATTGGCTCTTCCGATACGTTAGGTTGTAGACTTGTAGATGTTATGATGGGTAATACTAATACTAGTACTTCATCCTAAAGTATTTTTGACTTTGGAGTCAAAATATTTGACTCCAAAGTGAGCAATACTAATACTAATACTTCATCCTTTGAGATGATTATTATAATAGTATTAGTAATAATAACAATAATAACAATAACAAAAATAATAATAACACTAATAATAATAATGTTATTTCTAAATTTTCTTCTCATTTGGCTATATTCAACCCATTTATATTAAAAAGACAAGTTTATTCTAAACTATTTAAAAAAGAAAAAAATAGAGATGAAGGGAATTTTTTTGTTTATTATTAAATGTAACGAATTTAGCAACATGAGGTGTGAATTTAGCATCAATCTAATAATAATAAAAATAATTACAATAATAATAATAATAATGGAACTTATAAATAATAATAATAATAATAATAACAATAATAATAATATGACATATTTGGCTCGTCACAAAATAAACTTCAAACTTTCATTTTTCATTTCTTTTAAGATAAACTTCTTACTTTTCTTAATTTCTTGTAGAGAGAAAAAGAATGTATGCCTCTCAATATTTTTCTTATCTAAATAAATTTCAACTACATATTTCTCTTATGAGAAAAGTGCACCATTTACCCCCGAATTCTTTGAAAATTGCATGGTTTACCCCTGAACTCTAAAAAGTGCACCAAATACCCCTGAATTCTTCAGAAACTGCACGGTTTACCCCTAAGCAATAAAAATTACACCAAATACTCGTGAACTCTTCGAAAATTGTACTGTTTACTCTTGAATATTTAAATAAAAACGACAATTTTGGGTAAAGGTACTTTGGAAAATTTACAAGGGCTAGATGAATCATATTCGCAATTCTTGTGCGTGGAAGTAACACACTCCCTATCTAATAGTTTAGGACCAACGATGCAACATTTTAATTTGTTCAAGGGTATTTGGTGCATTTTTAGTGTGCAGGGGTAAATCGTGCAATTTTCGAAGAGTTCGAGGGTAATCGGTGCACTTTTTAAAGTTTAGGGGTAAAGCATACAATTTCTAAAGATTACGGGGGTAAACAATGCAATTTACTCTTTCTTTTATTTTTCAACAACTTTTAAAATTTTATGAAGGGGAGAGGTTCCAATGCCCCTACACTAGACATCTCGGTGCTCCTTTCACAAAATTGATGGTTCTTACTCCGTGTAACCTCCTAAGAAATCCTCCCACCCTTGCCCAACCTTCCAAGTTTAGTTGATTTTATTTGAAGTCATGTTTTTTAACCAAAAGTCAGCTAAACTTTGGAAGTCCAATTGATGAGGGTGGGGTGGGTTCAAGTTGAGCCAAGGTGGGAGGTTTATCGGGTGCGCGGGGGGATGGTTAGGAGTAGGAACGATCAATTTTGCAAACGGTACAGCATAGATACCCCAAAATTCTAGTGGCACCGTAGTGCAATGACAACAGAACCGTGACTTGAACGAATTGAAGTTAAACTATGACGTTTTGTTTTGGACAGGATAATAAACACTCATTGCGTCTCCTTAAAAACTTCTATTTAGAGTTTAAGATGTTTGGTTTGAATTGTTTTGAATATAGTCTGATTTATACATAGGACTCCATATAAAAAATAAAACATTAAGTTTGTATAAATAATACTGAGTACATCAATTTTTGTTTGGATAAAGGTAGAAAATGGAAAGAAATAAATGAAAGAAAAGAAACTAGAAATATAATTGTTAATGTCCTTATCAAGTTGTAGTGATTGCATCATTCCAATTTTGGGTTGGGTTTCACACAATTACAGAATGTGTCGATCTAAAATTGACCGATACCATACAAAAAACAACTTATGTCCAGATTTGAGGGAAGTTCTACCTAAACTTAAATTTATGATGATTGGTACAAGAAGTTTTATATTTCAACCACCTCCTATACTTGTAAGGAGGCTTAATTTTTAAACCAACCTTGCATGTTCACATTAATTTCTTAAGACTAAGTGGGGGCAACTTAACTTGGTCAATAAAACTTCCGCAGTGGTGAATTTAGGAAAGAATCTTGTTGATACAGATTGTAGAGGCAACGCATCCTGTTTTTTAAAGACTATATATGCAAAATTACAAAAAATAATGAATTTCACCGCAATATAGAATTCAAATTACTAAAATGAAAAGTTCTAAAATGGAAAAAAAACATAATTAAAGACCTACATAAAAATTGTCTGATTATCATATTTTAAATATTTAACAGTCAAATTCTATTCTTATAATTTGTCATTATTTACATTTTCAAATTATTATGTTAATATCATTTGAATTAGGATAAACGCCTTTTGATAATTTTTTAAAAGTGAAAATTAATTTTAAAATAAGAAAGAAAGGTAAATGCAATAATTTAACAGTTTTTCAAAATGTTAAAGCTAAATATTGAAACCATTCCCAAACATATTCTTACACAATAGTGGGAGGTGTGTAAACTCTTAAACAAATTTTAAAATAGAAGAGATAAACTAATTTAGGTATTCACATTTTCAAAAAGTGATTTCTTTCCTTCAAAATTTATACGGTTCATTTCAACCTCAAAATCATAAATTTGTAGGAATAAAAATTACAATAGATGGAATGGAAATCCTAATCACAATCACTTTTCACAACATTTATCAATCATTTCTGAGATCCAAACAATTTTTAATACTTAGCGCGAGATCATTTTGTGTTGCAGATGGAAATATTTAGAAATTGACGGTATGAAGTATAGTACAATGGATCACATGAGCGCATATGGTCGTGCTTTAAATACATGGGCTAAATGGGTGGATAAAAACATTGATCCCCAGAAGACAAGAGTCTTTTTCCAAGGGATATCTGCTTTGCATCTAAATTAGTAAGTACTTCCCTACCAAGTTATTGTTTCCATTTAATGCTTGTGTGTGTGTGTGTGTATATATCCCGAAAAGAACCACCAAAATCAGTAGGGTAAGGTTCAGGCAACCCTTATCGAATTTATTAAAGAAGAGAACTAGATAAGTACACGTGCGAGGAGGACTAGACCAAAGCCCCGAAGGAAATCTTGATAAAACAACAAACCAACAATTGAAACTAAAAATGTAACAAAATACTAAAAGGGAACAAAAATCCAACAGATCCACAAAGCCCTGGTTTGGCCCTGATTTAACACCCAAGTCCCTAGTCTCGATTATCTGCTCCGAAGAAGCCTCCATGGATTGAACAAAGATCCTTAGTTTCCCATTGCAACCCTTGATCAATCCCACTTTCTAATCTCGATACAATAGAATAGCCTCTCCCCCAAGAGCAAAGGATTGATAACCCTTATCTGCAAGGTTTGTGTCTCTAATCATCCAGCCCTTTCTTCAAAACTTCCAACACCACAGATTAATTGTTCGTTTAATGTTATTGCTGATGTCTTTAATATTTAATTTCTCTTTACCATAAGTGATTGAAGCATATTGCTTCCAAATTGACCAAGCAGTTATCCCTGGGATTATTAACCTCATAATGCCTCCAATATCTCTTTCGTTTGAGCTCAAATTCCACTCCAGTATGTATTGTTTGAGGTTTATACCTGCTTGTAACTCTGGCCCTTCAAATGTGTTAGCCATGTCTATCCAGATATTCTTAATCATATCACACCTTAACAGACAATGGTCCATAGAGTCCTCCTCCTTTTTACAAAAAGGGCATTGGGAAGGGTAGTTATAGATTGTCCTTTTTAGAGTTTCTAGGAATGGCAGAATGCAGTTGTTGACTTTCCAGAGAAACATTTGTGTATTAGGAAGATGGAATTTATGCCAATTGAACTTGTCACTCAGCTGAAAAGTGGAGTGATCTTTGCAGTGATCATAGGCCTGTTTTATAGTGATGGGGACTGCTTCAAAATCTTCCTCCTCAGAAATATTAGGTGTGATGTCTCCAAATAATACATTTGCCTTCTCATGTATTCTGCATATTCTTTTCTTGGTAGGGGAGTCTGTAAGCTTTTCCACAAATGACTGTGTACTATACTTTACCCTCATAAATTGTGCCCACTTGGTGTTGTTAAACCTGAAGTTCCACCAAAGCTTGATAAAATATGCCTCATGCATATCATTTATTTATATATATATATATATATATATATATATATATATATATATATATATATATCTGTGTGTGTGTATGTATGTATGTATGTATATGTACATGTACATGTATATGTATATGTATATATCGTCTTAATGAGTTATTGAATTTTGAACATATTTAAGTAACATTTCTTGGGGTGTTGTCATATATATTTATATATAGCTGGACGCCAAATGGCGAAAAAAGAGAGAACTGCTTGGGGGAAAGAGAGCCAATAAAGGGCTCAACTTTCCTAGGAATGCCCTATCCAGGAGAGGTGATTTTAGAACGTGTTCTAACTACAATAAAAAAGCCCGTGACTTTCATGAACATTACGTTGATGACTCAATTAAGGCCAGATGCTCATCCTGAGTTCTACGATAATACTGTGGATTGTAGTCATTATTGTGTTCGTGGAATACCTGATGTGTGGAATCAACTCATGTATGCTTCTCTATAGCAAGTTGCACTTTCATCCTTGTTTGTCGTTTTCTTTTTTAGATCTATTGGATCGAGAACTTAAAAATATCTTTTGATTTTCTGATGTATTATTCTTTCAAAATATACTTTTTGTGTATTTCAATATGTTATGTTGCTTTTCCCCTTTGTACAATGCAATTCAATTATTTTTATGGTTATTAAAATATACATTTGGTGTATTTCATATACATTCTTGTTGCAAAAATAAACACTCATCTAATAATGAAAAATTCATAGTCTCTATGTAACTAATTATTATACTTTGTGATGGTATAAATACCCCTGTTATATGAAAAAAGAGTAAATTCAATAAAAGGTTCCCAATTATAGGTCGTTTTACATATTTAGCCCCTACATATCAAATATTACTAATTTAGTCCCCAATTATTATATTCATTTCCACGAATGGTCATTTGTTATCATTTCCGTTAAGAATATGGATAAAATTGTAAATTCACACTCCTTTCTCTCCTCAATTAAGCTTCCTCACTCCCCTCGCACTCCTTTCCCAAACCTGTCGCTGAGTTTGAAACTTTGAACCCAAAACCGAAATCATCACTCTTCTTTCAACTGGTTGTCTAACTGGTGGAACCCAAATTCGAAACCAGTAACCTTCATGGATGAGTTTTAATGTTTATTTTCTTTGCAATTTCTTGAGACTAACCGATAAAACTCACCTATAAAATTTATTGGTTTTGATTTTAGGTTCCAGCAAAAAGACTAATAATTGAGAGAGGAATGATCATTTCAGTTTTGGGTTTAGAGCTTCAAACTTAGCGACGAGTTTGGGAAAGAGTACGAGAGGAGAGAGAAAACTTAATTGAGGACCATTCGTTAACAAAGGACCATTCGTGGAAATGATATAATAATTGGAGACTAAATTAGTAATATTTGATATGTAGGGACTAAATATGTCAAACGACCTATAACTAGGAACCTTTTATAGAATTTTGGCCGAAACTCCCTTCCATGGAGTGAAGAAAAAATTGCCATTTTATATTATTAAAAGAATGGTTTATAAAACATTTACAATTAGAAAAGGGCAAAGGTACACTCATTATGAAGTGTAGTGGGAGACAAATCCCCCCCACACACAAGGTATGCATATGTACGAAATAAGGAAAGGGGGGAAGAATTTAATTCTTATCCTCTAAAATGTTCAAAGTGTACTTTATTTTGACATCAATAATTTTTATAATATAAAATAAAATACCCAAAACAATTTAAAACAAGTATATAAAATATACTTTAAAATATTTCTTGTCAAAATAATTATTTTCATAATTAAAATGACACTCCAAAATAAAATGTACACAATATAATATATATAATTTAATATATATATATATATATATATATATATATATATATATATATAGGGATTGACTCAAGTGAGATGAAAACTTACGGTGAGATGACATGCTACGGTCAGATGACGCAAAACTCACCACATTACACTGCAAAGCACACCAAGAACAACTACAAAGCCTTGTCCTTTGTTTAAAGCATCCAGGAACTTCTTGTCAGCAATTGATTTCTTGAAGAGATTAATGTTATCCCGAATACGTGCAGCGGCATGCCAAATACAAAGCCTTTGTACATTTTTGCTTCATGCGGTGATGAAGAAGAAGAAGAAGGAAGACTGGTGATGATAGATAGATGGGGTTTTGCAGGTGATGACGATGGGCAGGGGATGATTCTGTACGATTTGCGGTAAGGGTGAGTACTAGTAGGCTTTAGAATGAGTACTACTAGGGGTAACTTTCACCAATGGTACCTGAACTTTAGCAAGAATTTCGAAGTGGTACCTAAACTTAAAATCCTTTCAAAAAAATCCCTGAACTTACACAATCCTTTCACTAATAGTCCATTTACCCGTTTCTAGGTTAACTTCCGGTCATTTGGGCCAAATTAGAATTTTATATATTTTAAAATTTTCAATTTGACCCCATTTCTTTTTTTCTTTTCTTCCGCGCCCCGCCGCCGATCAAAGTCGCCGGAAAATGAACTTGGTTCGATTCCGGCGGGACCAACGTCATTCTCTTCCTCTTGAGACGAGGATCAAGAATATGCAAATCATTTTGTCCCAATTTGGCCTGTAACTTCTTGAATCTGAATTTTTCCACCCCAAAAAAACCCTAATAAAATTCGAAATTAGGTCTAAAATTGGAGTTTTGCAAATCGTCATCAAATCTTGCAATTGAGGGATCCTTTGAAGGTCGTCGTTCTGCCACGAACACATTGGAGTGGATGACCGGCGTCAATTTTGCCGGAGTTGGCCGGAAAACGCTCCGACCCGCCGGCGGTTTCCGGCGGGTCGGAGCGTTTTCCGGCTAAATCCGGCGAACGCCGGTCATCCACTCCAAAAAATATATTGCATTGAAAAAATTTGGAATAGACAAAAAAATTGTGACCCCCCCATAGCTTTAGGCGCTCTAGTATAATTAAATGGATGAGGATACATGCTTTTCTAAGATGGCTCTAATGGTGACGAGGATCTCCGGAACGATTATTAGCATAGCCTGCAGACCCAAAACGCCGCCTTTTGTGCACGGATCAGCAGACGGGTATCTACCCGACCCGTGTGGGAAACCAGGTTCGCCATTTTCGACCTCCACAACGACGGCGGCCGTGGAGGATTCGCCGGACAGGATCTTGGGATTACCCAAGGATTACGAGGATTACCGGCGGTCGATGTATGGTGGGCTGACCCACGAGGCTCTCCTAGTTGATGCCGTCGGCACTCTAGTTGCTCCCTCTCAGCCCATGGCTCAGGCTGGNCCCCCCCCCTCCCCCGGTTGGTTTTGCTGATTTGTCTTTCCCCTAAAGTTTCAGGTATACAGGCAGATTGGTGAGAAGTATGGGGTGGAGTGTTCTGAAGCTGAGATACTGAACAGATACAGAAGGGCTTATGAGCAACCTTGGGGTAGATCTAGGCTCAGGTCACTCTTTTCTTTTCCAACTATCAAACACATACTTTCACTTTATTAATGAGTGTCACAACCCGATTTGCACTTCAAATTTGGATGGATAGAGTATACTCCTAGTTTTTTGTGGTAATTAACATTACACAGAGTATTAATCAACATGATCATTTTAGTTGAAATAAAAGGTGAAAGAAATTAGGATAATACTAGGGTTCCCCACTGTATTCTATTGGTAAACCCAAGTTTTACCTCACAATAATTGCTCTCATAGACATCAGTTCACAGACATGCCCATGTATGTGAACTTTATATCCATGTCTGTGAACCTGAAGAAAGCACATAGTGTTCGTAAAACTTGGGATCAGCCATATTGGGGGAACTCTAGCATTATCCAAAAATTAAGAATAAAAAAACATTTATTGGGGGAGTGATGTACGAAGTGTTTAAAGGATTTTATACCCCTCTGCTTTCCTCGTCCTTCCAAAATGACCTGACCATGCAATGTCTGGTCATCACCCAGCTTGTATTTATCATCTACGGAGTAAATCACAAAGAGTCATTATTGGAATTGTTCTTTCGGTATGAGCTGAGTGAAATGTGAGCTTTACTTTATTGATGTGGCATGGGTAGATCATATGACAACGATATGATTCTTATGCTGTGATATAACTTGTAATGGGATAAGCGCCATTCAACTGAGTCATGAAGTGTGTGGTCAAACTGGACTAAAATATTCAACCCATTCTATCGGCTTGTTTAAAGAAGTTTGTGTGCCTTTCTTTTCTTTAATAATTTTATGCAAGGGTCTTAATAGCCTGATTTAACGGATCACAGATATGTTAATGATGGGAGGCCATTCTGGCAGCATATAGTGAGTTCGTCTACTGGATGTTCTGACTCTGGGTACTTTGAGGAGTTGTATAACTATTATGCCACTAATGAGGTTCATAAATTTTTATTATTCCCCCTTAACCCTTGTTTGCATATAAATAGGTTAGCTCTTCAAATCCCAAAGAAGTGTGCATCCTTATTGATTAGTTAATTGCCTTCACAGGCTTGGCATCTCTGTGATCCTAATGCAGAGAGGGTATTCAAGGCTCTCAGAAATGCAGGGGTAAAGTTGGGTGTTGTTTCTAACTTTGACACACGATTGAGACCTTTGTTGAGGGCTCTCAACTGCGATCACTGGTTTGATGCTGTGGCTGTGTCGGCTGAAGTTAGTATATATAACATATTTTACTTTACCACTTCGTGTTTTTTTATGCCTTCTTCCGTTTTTTTTTTCTCTCCGTTAACGGTTTCACATCATTACATAATTCCAGTTCGTGACTCTCTATCTTTGATTCTTGGGAACAGGTTGAAGCAGAGAAGCCAAACCCAACAATATTTTTAAAAGCTTGTGAATATTTAGGAGTGAATCCCGAGGATGCTGTACATGTAGGAGATGACCGTAGAAATGACGTTTGGGGGGCTAGAGATGCTGGTTGTGATGCTTGGCTTTGGGGTAGCGATGTCCACTCCTTCAAAGAGGTGCATATATATATATAGAGAATGTCTAAAATGACTCCAGTTACTTATACACCAATTCCTTATACCTGTTTGTTTGGTAAAATTGACGGTTCCTACCCCCCTACACCCCCCACCACAACCCCACCCCTTATTTTGGTTGTGTTAGTCATTCTTTTCTCTTTTGTGTTCAATTTGAAAAATCGATAAAACATGTTATTGATGATGTGGATGCAGGTTGCCCAGAGAATAGGAGTTGACGTTTGACCGAACAATGGTTTACTCTCGCATAGGATTTGAGGTTTTTCATGGTGCAAACTTTTTTTAAAATTGTTTTGTTCTGTGAATCATCGACCAGCTACAAATGGTATGGGGAGTGAAACTCACCCAAATGTAAATTGTTGATCCATATATGTAATAGCCTTTTGTATTATCTTCTTCCCGTTCACAATAACTTCTCCCTTCTCCCCGGTCGTGTGTTATCTTCTCCATTCTCTTGGGTCATGGATTTAGATTGTTGACATTATTTGTCTTGGATATGATTTTGATGCACGAAAAATCAAGGATAACGACAAAGTGAAGACATTAAAGTGGAAGGACCAGTCAAGAAAATGCAAGCAAGAGTTGTATTATCATGATTTTGAAGTTCACATGTGAAATGGGGTCCTTCTCACATATATTCTATTAGTGTGAAATTGGATCTCTTTATTTTTGCAAAGCCCATTACATATAATCGTTTTACTTCCTTCGTCCTAAACTGTTTTTCCCACTTCCTTTTACCCACGTCTTAAAACTATCTTTCTACTTCCAAAATATGGGTGTACAATAACTTTAATACCCTTCCACAAATTAATTCTAAAAAATCATTCTAAATAGAAATAAAATATAGAAAAAGTACTTACATATGAGTTTTATGTTTTTATTTTCTAAATAAAAGTTTGCACTTTGGTAATGTGAATACGTGAACATTTTACTATACTCTTTGGTAATGTATATGGTCAGAATTGACATTGTAAATGTATTTTAACTCCTATTAGAATAAAAACAAAAAAAAATTATTTTGATATATTTTTAATGTTTTCTCCTAATTTAGACTTTATGGTCTAAATATAAAGTCTAAATTATTGCCACCCCGTCAAGATTGTCTACTGTGTGTGCGGTGGTGGTTGATCCCTGGAGACCCATCTAGTTTCCTGGTAGCGCCTCTATATTCCAAAATTTGATGAATGGGCATTCTTGGAAATTAAAGCCATATTTAGCCCTCCCTTAAAAATGAACTCCGGTCAGTGAGAAGATCCTTTTAGGATGAAAGGAGTAATAGACAATCAAACTCGTGCAAACAAAGGTTTGCCCGTTCGACCTATCCAATCCGTCCTCTAAAATGAGCAGATATGGGCTATTATATATATCCACATGGGCAGGCTAGGCTGGGCCCAAATTTTATGTTGGCAGATATAAAATTTAAGTTTGCTCCGTCCAGTCCAACATGCATGTCCATGTTCAACAAATACATTGATATAGCCTAGCCCCATGTACATGGCAGTCAATGAAGATTCATACTTCCATAGATAATGATGGATCAATACTCAGGCTCCGTTTGGTACGCGGAATTCAAGCTATGGAATTGGAATTGGGGACAACAATTCCAATTCTGTTGTTTGGTAGTACAAAAATATGTGGATTTGAAATTTGTAGTGTCAAAAATAAATTGGAATTGGAGAATTCAATTCTATCCAAATCAATTCCATAAAATTTCAACTCTCAATGAGCCCTCAATTAATTAACCAAAAATCCTACCATAGCTTTTTTATATTTTCGCTATGTGGAATCTTCACACATCTCTTTCGTTCTTCACGCATTAGCCGCAATTATATTATACATCTCTTCTTCCTATTTTAATTAATTTATTTGAAGCACGTGTTTTGTTGGTTCCCTTGATGGCTTGATACAAATAATCAAGGAACTTAAAATGTGTTTTATATTTCCAGTTTTCCACTAAACCTAGACTTTGCTTCTCTAATTTCCCGTGTGGTATAGTATTCATATGGTGGGTGCATTGTGCATTGTGCAACACTCCCTCTCTCATGCTTTGTTTCCAAGCAGGGCAGCCCGGTCAACTATTTGGCCCGCCTAGGTGGGTGGGTAAGGTTAAAGAATTTTGCATATGTGATCCAGGACAGGCCTGGTCCACCCATGTAAATGGATTACTATTTTGTTTCAAGCCCAATCCATATCAGGTCTGGATCCGTGTTTGCACAAGTCTAATTTATTGCGATATTTCTTACTCTTAGTTTTTTTAATGAAATGTAATGGGCAACAAAATAAACTCAAGGGAAACATCTACCGATTGAACGGGTATTCCTGAGCATTACAAATGCCGCATGACTTGGTTCAAATGACATTGAATAGCAATATCGTGGGACGAATGGAGGTTCCTACTGTACTCCGATTGATAAACTGATGGTTCCTACACTACCCTCATAAACCATCCATCCTGACTTGACGTGAATCCCTCCTTAAATTGTATGCGCCATATTTAGATTATTTTGGAGTCAAATTTGACCACAAAGTCTAACTAAATTCGGGCGTGTCCAATTGATGGGGGTGGGGGTTGTTTACGTGGGGCAGGGTTAGGTGGAGGAACGGCCAATTTTTCAATGAAGCAAAGTAAGGATCCCAAGTGTGTTCATGTCATAAGATGACATTGGAGTTCAAACTACATCAATTACCTTATGCTCAAAATAAACATCATTACGACATTTCCAAATCATCCAAACATGATTCCTCTTATGTAACACCCGCACTGATCGCTCCAACGTAGACAATTGTGTGCTAATGCCAAGCCAATCACGAATGCAACTCCATATCTGCAAAGTTATAGGGCAGCCAAGGAACAAGTGTGTCGTGTCATCAACCCTATCACACAAACTATAGAGCCTAGGCATATCAATGAAGGTCAAATTGACCTTCGTACGGAGCCTGCAAACTAAGAATGGCCACCCACAAAACAGAGAGGGGAGAAATACCAAAGTAGGACTAAAACATTGAAAATATACCAAAATAGGACTTACATGTTTTTATTCCCGAAATAGGACTTACATTACCAAACATGGTCATATACATTACCAAGAAAGTATAGTAATTTGCACATGTACACTGCCACATTACCACAATGCAAAGTCACATTACCACAATGCAAAGTCCTATTCCTGAAAAAAAAACATGAAAGTCCTATTTTGTTACTTTTCTCTATGTTTTAGTCCTATTTAGGATGATTTCTAAACACAGAATAACTTATGCGAAATACTCAGTATAACTTTGCCGAATAAAGTTCATCCACTGTAGATTACGGCCTTTGAGGGTTATGGACTCAGGGTTGGCAATTTCACCTACGCAACTGGAGCTTATAACATCTGAATCCGAATCGAAAATTTAAATATATGAACCTGAACCCAAAATTTAAACCAAACCCGACCTTTGTAAAGTCGGTTTTCAGTCATTATACTACCTCCGTCCCACTGTCTTTGTCCACTTTTGACTTTTGAAATTGTTCATCTAAGCACTTTGACTCATCAAATTCTCTCAATGTGTAAGCCTAAAAATAGTCATGTGTGATCTTGTTTGATTCGTCTTAACATATAGATTATTAATATATAATTTCTATAATTTTTTTTTGGATAGTGTGCCAAAAGGTAAGTAGATAAAGACAGTGAGACGGAGAGAGTATAATTTATAGAAAAATGCTTGGGGTACACCAAAGGTGTACCCCATATATCCCCACCCCCTCCTTGTCCACTAAAAAAGGCAAAAAAATTTAAAAAAAATAAGTAAATAAAAATCAAATAAAAATGTGTGGTAAAGAAGGGGATTGTATACATTTGGGGTACATCTTTTGGTGTACCCCTAGCATTGCTCAATTAAAAATCAAAAAACTCAAAAAGAGAGACATTTAGTTAACTTCAGATCATATCTACAACATAAACTAGGCGTATCTTAAAAAACAGAACTGCAGATAAAGGAAATTTATCTAGACTAGAACAATCCATAGCTGAATTCACATGAAAACTAGGAGTCCTTAATTGGTGATTAAAGAGATTTTAGAGTGGAAGCAAAAGCAGGGGATCAAAACCTCCAGGCACGCTCCTTCTTCCCAATCTGAAACGCCACATATGCCTTGACGGTTGCTTGCCGAACCTGCGCCGGACTCAGATAAAGATCATCCCAATCGCTAACGCTGATTTCATTGTCCAAACACACCCCATCGAAGCCCAAACACTCGCTAACGATCGTTTCGACCGGCGATCGGAGGAGACTCGCTCCCTCCTCCGTCGCCACGTACCTCCTCAGATCTAGAAGTCCGTGAATCTCCAATTCGTGCTCCATATAGAGCTTCTTCGCGTCCGCGGCGTTCCATATCCCCACGAAAGTGTTCGATTCGTCCCGGAGAAAACGCCGGAGAATGAGCGGGATGGTGCGGGCGTGGCAGAGTTGAAAGATCAGGCAGCGGGAGCCGACGCAGAGCTGGAGAGTGTCCGCCGGAGGATCGTTTCCGTTGCTAGGGTTCCATTGAACGCCGACTCCCACTACCAGACGGCCGAACTGGTGGCGGCGGTTCCGCAAGTAGAGCGTCGTGGAAAAAATTTATATTGGGAAATGTTTTAGTCCTATTCCGTCCAATTTTTCACTTTAAAAAATGGGACACTACCATACCCTCGAAATTTCGTACTACACTTGCCCCCCATCGCTCCAAATCCTGGATCCGCCACTGCTCTATGGCTTTGTTTGGTAACAGCGTTTTCGATTAGCGTTAGCGTTTTGGATAAAATTTTAATGGTGCAGATTCATTCTGAAAACGCTAACGCTAAAGGCTACCGTCGGATAGCTTTTTCAAAACGCTAATGCTAATCTCTAACGCTGATGCCAAACGGAGCCTATTTGTACACCGCAATTTTGCACCAATATTTTGTGTTGGTGTAAAACTAATTTTTGTTAACGCATCAATACTTTGTGTTCGTGTCAATTTTTTTTAACGCACCAACATTTGTGTCGGTGTAAACCATCAAAATATTTGTGTATAACTGTAGTGTACAAATAGGGTATAATTTTTGGTGTAAGTGTAGCATGGTTCAAAAACTATTTGTATCCCAACTCATACAATTTATACATTCCTAGTAATCTAATCCGTGTCACGCACGGGGTCAAACAAAATTTTTATTGATTTTTTGAATTATCTTCAATATAATATTTTTAAATGAGTATAGAAATATATGTAATACGTGTTGGAGTTGGTGCCCTTATGGCCAACTGCTGTTGTAATATCTTAGATATTTTCTATCATTAAAGGCAGATGTAAAAAGTTTACAAACATCTCATGCTAATGTAAACTCTTAATTGCATTCCTAGATTTATATTATAAGATGTTTATCAGAATGAGTCTTCTGATGTTGAGACTGACATCTTGTCACTTAGTATAATTCTAAACGGTCAATAGTCGAAGCATTAACGAGAGTGGGATATCATTAGTGCGTGTGAGACTAGTGAGAGTTAGATGTTTGACCTAGTCTCTTGGTCAATGACAGAGTGTTCGCATCTAATAATAGGATGCCAGACCTGACCCACCTTAAGGACATTGCCTAGACTTTTAGTCTATGCTCTAAGTGTCCTTAATACGACTATTGGTATAACGATCCTTAGACTCGAAGTATTACGTTCTTCGAATGCGTGAACATGTATGCGTTGATTCATTATCCTAAGCGTATGAAATAAGGATGGTACACAGGCTTTGTATTGGGCATGCCGTTGCGCGTATTCGAAGACGTAGATTACGTACAAAGAATTTGTCACTGCTACTTTAGCAGAATAATGTCTTGTAGGGACCCACTGATAAGTATGACTAAGGAAACGCATGGCAATGCTGAGATGAGTTTAGACATCTGTTCTCATCAGTCAAACTTGTTAATCAGTAAATAACTTAATGGCTACTAGTTGGCTATTTTATATCCCTTGCACTAAGTTAAGACACTGGGGCAAAAGGATCTACGTTATACAAAGTCTTAGTCGTAGAAAGGTTTTGATGGAGCAAAAGTTTGAACTTATAATCTGGGGGTAATAATGTGTTGCTAGATATCGCTTATTACTTATATCATTGGTGTAGAGTCAATACTGTGGCCAGTTTTATAAGTGCCTATATGGGTCACACACTTTGGACAATTTAAAGAGTAGCATTATAAGAAGGGATAATATTTAATTTGTATATTGTAAAATAGTAAAATAAAATGTTTTAATATAATATATGTATATATATTATATATGTATATATATTATGTACGAAAATATTATATATATATATATATGTATGTATGTATGTATGTATATGTATGCATATATATATATATATATATATATATATATTTCGTGTATGCATAAATATATATTGTAATATATATTATATTGTGTACATTTTATTTTGGAGTGTCATTTTAATTATGAAAATAATTATTTTGACAAAAACTATTTTAAAGTATATTTTATATACTTGTTTTAAAATGTTTTGGGTATTTTATTTTATATCATAAAAATTATTGATATTAAATAAAGTACACTTTTGATAGCATTTTGAAATACGGAGTACTTTTTAAAGGAATGAATGTGCATGTACGTGTGTAGTACATGGCACATTAACACATGATTTGCTTTTGAATACTTGGTAAAGAATGAAGATACTTTTTGTTTTGGACTTTAGTTAATGTCCATGTTTTTTCCACCCTTCTCCTTTTTTTGTGTATGGTGTGCGAAACTTTTTGAAGGAGTTTGGGGAATTTTGAAATAAAAGTTTATCATTTTGGGTGTAGAAAATTGTTATAATATTTTTTTAAAAATATTATTGATATATTTTCTACTATTATACAAGATTAAAATTATTCCTAAAATAATCTTTATATTTTAATATACTACTTTAACACTTGATAGCACAAGTGTTAGGGTAGACTCCGGAGATTGTTCGTGTGTAAAAATTAGAGGCCGGACGTTTGAACGGCTACGTTTGCTCCTTCAACATCTTTTGCTCGACTTCACGTTCATACTGTTTTACTAGAGAAGGTATAAGTTTCTATCTCTAGTTATAGTTTTAGTAGGTGTTCTTAGGCTTGTTATCACTATTGAGAGCATAAAATTTTGTATTTCCGCTGCCCTCCCAACTGTGGTTACCTTTCAATATGTTCTTTAACACTGCGAACATTAAAATTAAAGTAAAATAAATACTTTGGCATTTAATAATTGGTTATGAAAATGCTTATATATAAATTCAAAATTAAACACCTTAAAGTCTTTTTAAAATTCATATTTTTTGAAAGCCTTCAATAATATAACATTTTGGTGTGGTTGCAGGAATTTTCATTATTATTTAGAACTAATATTTTTAACCCTATCTTAATTTTCACTCGTGAAACAATGACATAAAGTTAATTAAGAGTGAATTTCAACTCAGTTAAAAATAATTCAACAAATGATAATATTTGACATTAACTTTTATCCATAGTCATAACAAAACATAAAGCGTTCATCGTCGTATATCTTCCTCTAGTTTTCATTCATTGTACATATATATTACTCCTCCGTCCTAAAACTATCTTCCCACTTCTCCATTTTTAATGTCCTAAAACTACCTTCCCACATCCCAAAAAAAGGTGTAAAATGACTATCCTACCCTTACAAAATCTACTCCCCAACCTTTCCACTCTATCGACATTCTATCTCCCTCTTATCTTCGTCTCTCTTCCAATTCCCTTCCTCTAAACCTCAATCTAATTTAGGTATCGGAGTTGCAACCATCTTCGTTCTTGAGATCGTCTCATCATCATCAGCTCTCCCTCCACACTCAGAATCTCGGTATCTCAGCATTACCACTCGGCATCTAGGGATTGGGGTTGCAAGAAGGACGCTGGTATGAGTAGTAAGGTCGCTGGTATGTGATTCAAAGTCTAAATAGCTTCACAGAATTAGAGATGATGATGAGCTTCATTAGCCGCTACCTTCAATCAAAAATTGGCCTAGGTATATTTTTCTATAGTCGTCTAGAGTTTTTTTAATTTTTTTAAATCAAAATTCAGCCCTTTTTCGATTGGTTATTCAATCTGTTACACATCAATTGTTTTTTTATTTGGCCAAATTTACATGTCGCTTCATTAGCAGCTGTGCTTTTCGATCGGGCCAGACATGTTAATTAGGCGTATGTCAGTCATTTATCACCACCGAGAAGTCCGCTCGGCCACTGTTTACACTGCCCAATTACTGGAAAAGACAGAAAAATTTTATGTTTTCGGGTTTAGATGGAGGGACATTTTTAGAAGTCAAAGCCATATTAATTAATTTCTTAAAATGGGTTTTAGTCAATCTGGGAAGTTGGATTTAGGATAGAGGGAGTATTTAAGACCATATGAAAACTTTTATTTGTCATAGTTCAACTCCTCTACCAAGATATTATTTTGAAATCTATTAAGTGGATTGTCATCTCAGAATGACACATCACTTCACTCCTATAAGGATCATCTATTTGAATAAAGTAACTTTCCAATCTCAATCAAACGTCAAGTTTTTAGATCTTCTGGAAAAATAATAAGTTCTGCAAAAATGGTTAAAATGAGACTAAATCATAAAATTTCGACCCATATCTCAAATCTAGAGTTTTGCATTTATATAATCACGTGAAATTTTGCCACATGTAAACTTCGTTTTAACTTATTATAAACAAATAATCACGTGAAATTTTCTTAGAGGCGAAGAGAGTAGCGTATTAAGTAATTGAAAATTTAAATAACAATTTATAATCACAATGTAATCAAGTAAAAATAATCATCATCATAATATTTAAATAACAAATAGCAACCTAGCGTCGAGTGTTAACACCCTATCTTATCGTCATGCGTCAAATAAGGTATTGGAATTAATCAAGACATTATATTTAACTCAAAATGATAATAATGTTGATTTATAGTTGTAAAGTAGAAAAATAGATTTTTTCCAGACTTAGCTTCCAAACACTCAAATTTTTGGTCAGTACAGAATACGTTGTGGTTGTAGCTTGCTACCGTCCGGCAGTAGTTGTTAGCCAATGTGCCCACGCCTTAAAGGGAATAAATAAGGCTTTAATTTGAAAACCTTTTTTGAAGTTTAACAAAATTGGTGTTGGCAAACACGGAAGCAATAAATAAAACAAGAATTAAAAGCAGAAAATAAAGACACACCAGATTTAGATTTGTTCGGAAACTCCCTACTCCAATACCTTAGAGCTCCTCATCAAGGATTTCCGAATCTACAAAGTTCTGGTCTCTTGAACTCTGTCAAAGTACATTATCAAATTTGGAAAACAACCCATGCAAATAGGATTCACCCTGAGATTTAACAACGGTTATCTCGAACCGCTTATAATGAATATTTGAAGACTATCTTCTACCTTTTCCCCCGAGGATTTGAAGGCTATCCTCAAACCTTGTACCCAAGAATTTCTCGGCTATCCTTAACCGTCTACACAAAGATTTATACGGATATCCTCGATCGTTATAATGAGTGAAAGATGTGTTTAAAAACACAGAAAAATATTCAACATCTTTTGGCCTATGATAAAGAAAAAGATCAATTCTTAGCCAGTGTAGAACAAAGTTTATGCTCTCTAAAATAATGCAAGATCAACTTATGAATGTGAGAGTATATACGTATAATCACAAGCTCGGTGTGTGTTTAAAGATATGAAGAACAAGACTCTTGAAATAGTCAAAATAATAAAGAACGAAGAACAAGATCAAGAACACCAAAAGTATTGGTGCAATCAAACTCTTTGCATAACTCTCTTTACTTTTTTTGTTTAAAAAAAGTTGAAAATACTGGTCATATATGATATTCTCTCCTTCAAAAGTATTTATCGTATTACACAAAACGAAGTAAAATTTTAAATTTTTTAATTCATTGTATACATATTTAAAGATAGATTTAGAAATAAAAAAATAATATTTACATATTTAAAAATTACACTAAAAAAAATTCAAAATAAGATGTGCAATAATATTTTATTTTATTAAATAATAAATGAAAACGCAATAATAGTGAACTATGACATTTTTTTAAATCAGGTTCTTTTGGGTTTGAATTTCAGAGTTAAATGTTGGAAGGAGTTGAAACAAATTGGAAAGAGTTGGAAAATATTGAAAGAATTAAAGTGTTAAAAAGTTACTTAATTATATAATTATCCAAATAAATATGTTAGAAAACTCTAATTTTGGATTTAAAAAATAAATTCTTCCTCGCTATGCTTGAGGTAATACTTTATAAATTTAGATGTATAATGATATTTTAAATTAATGATATATAAATATTTTTTAAGTCGTTATTAGAAAAAAAAAGAAAGTGAAAAACTTTTCCTAAACAAAAAGAACATGGCCTTAGATGGAGGAAGTAATGAATGCTTACTATCATTAGAGTATTGGAAATGCACGGGCGCCCACCGGTGTTAAGGTGTCTTTAATGGCTGGGGGGGGAGTTAAACATCGCCCCCTCCACCGTCATCTGGGGTTTAAACATTTGATGCGTCAAGGCTGCAAATATGGTTGTTGCTTCTCCCCCAACGGTCCAAATTATGGTCGTTGGACAATTTTTTTAAAAAAGAATTATTTTAAATTTTTCAACTATAAATACCCCCTTTTTTTAAAAATTTACACACACAATATATTCTCATTCTCTCTATAATTTTTCCAAAATATGCTTTATTTCTTTTAATTCTCTCTACAGAATACTATAAAAATGGCGAGAGATTCACACTTTACTAACTGCGGATTTGACTGAAAATATTTTTAATCGCTCAAATAATCAGTAATTTTTTCGCAATGTAATGTAATTTTTAATTTTTTTTATTCATGTTGTTATTATTCAAAATCTTATTTTATTAATGTAGTTTTTTTATTGAATGTAATTTTTTATTTAATGAAGTATTATCATTTAAATTTAATTAATTAATACTCCCTCCGTCCTATAATGATCTTCCCGGTTCGTAAAACGAAGAAAAATCCCAATTTTTTTCAATCTATTTTATTTAAATATTGGTATAGAAATAAGAAATAAAACATACATATTTAAAAACTACACCAAAAGTTCAACAAAACAAGTGGTGACAAGAATATTTTATTTTATCATATAGGCTATGAAAAAACACAAATACATATAAATTCCCGTGAAGTTGGAATAGTGCTCTGGGAAGATCATTATAGGACGGAGGGAGTAAAATCTTATTAATTTAATTTTATAAAATGTGTATTCAAAATGTAAGAACTAGAGTTTGAAGCTCCAGTTTGGCTCCAATTTGCAACTCTGAGGCTTCAAATTAATTTTCAGTAAATTTGTGATGTAAATTAAAGAGGGTTAAAACAGAAGTGACAAAGGAAAAATATTTGAAATCTCGATTTGAAGTCCTGCGGCTCCATGACTATTTCGAATGCTTTTATATCCCAAAATGTATAAATAATGAATAAGGCTACGTTCCATCCGCCTAATCTGATCTTATCTTGTTTGTTCTGATTACAATTTACAATTATATTTAAAATTATTTCTGATCTAATTTGGTGTGATCTGATTATCATAAAAAAATAAGTTCATAAAAAATAAGTTAACGAAACTTTGCCTAAGAAATTAATTTTAGAATGGAAGATAAGATGAGAGAGTACAACAAAGATTATCAAAACAAAAAGTGACTAAGTACATTTTATTATATTAAATAATTAATACTCCCGTAAAACATACAAAGAAAAAAATATAAATGTGATATTAATCGTGCACTGAGGGACGGCAGATTTTGATTCCACTTGGGATCCTTTGATTTCAAGATCCGATTTCTACATAATCCGCCAAAAAGTCAAAACCCGAGTACAGGCCCATATAAGATCCGAAAACAAAAGAAAAACCCCATTTACAACCCAATCAAAAGACCAGCTTGTTGATGATGATGACAATACAAAACTATATCCACACATCATCTCTGCAGCTCCATCATGCGGCTGAAGTCCTCGAAGCACACGAACCCGTCCCCGTTCTTATCAACTCCCGTTATCATGCGCCGACAGTCCTCGATCGTGCACACGGCGTCGCCGATCGTTCGGAAAACGCTGAACAGCTCCTCGGCCGTGATCTTCCCGTCGTGATCCGCATCGAAGAAATCGAACGCGTCTCGCAGCTCAGAGTCACAGGATGGCGGCGCAAATGCCGAGCTGAGCGCGCAGAAGTCCTCGAGGGTGATGAAGCCGTCGCCGTCCCGGTCAACGTCGGTCAACATCATCCTCAGCTCCTCCTCGCTCGGCGGATCGGCTCCCACGCGGCGCAGAAGGGCCGCCAGTTCCTCTCCCCCGATCTTCCCATCGTCGTCTCTGTCAATCAGCTTGAACGCCTGAACCAGGTCGGAGTACACCCCGGCGGAAATGCCGGGCCAATCGCCGGAGGAGATCTCGTCGGGGACCGCAGGAAGCACGCTGGTAGGCGTGGTCAGGCCGCCGGTCTTTTTGTATCCGGTCTGAGAGTCGGAATCCGAAGAGGACGAGGACGGGCCATCAGATCCGGATCCGGATCGAGACTTTAAGGATCTGAAGAGCTTCCCGGGATTGGAGATGGTTCTGATGAGCTTCATTGTAGAGAGATTGTGATCGAGAAGGGGAAAGAGATAGGAAGGTGAGTAGATTCGGAGAGGAAGAAGAGAGGTTTAAATGGGAGAGAAGAGAAGAAAAAGGCATAGTGAGTTTCCAGGAAACTTCGTAGAGAGAGAGAGATGAGTGCGTGCGTATACTGTGCAGGAAAACGAATACTCCGGTGTACGTATTATGAGAAAAGGCCAAGTGGGTCTCCAACTCTGCATTTGTTTTTATTATCGGGGTTGGTAGTTGTTTTCTGTTTCAATTTTTTTGTAATTAACCGGCCATAGAATCAAGTGAATTGACAATATCTTCCACACAATCTATTGGTACCATACATTTTTGGATTGGCCAATCTTCGTTTTGATTTAAAAAAATTATCTAGATTAATGTCATTGTTGGTTTAAAAATAATCTTTTTTATTATGACGTACATAACAATCTCACCTTTAATCTGGAGAAGGATTCTGCTTTTGTTGACCTAAAATTTACATGAGATGTAAACATTTTCAGAGCTCTATATAGGTTTATAAATGGTTTTTTCTCTTTTGAAAAATTCCAACTCTTTTATGATACTCCCTTCGTTAAAAAACAAATTACAACATTATTCATTTATTCCCTCCATTGGACCCCCCACATCGGCTACAATGCGCAGTTGGCATTACAAAAAGTGAAATTTGCACTAAATAGAACTAAAACATAATGACTTTCCTAATGTAAGACTTAAACTTTTTTATTCTCTAAATAGGACTTAATAATGGCCTAGTGGAAGGAATAATGTCCAGTAATGATGGACATTTAGTTGAATAATGACTACTTGATAATGACCAAAAGTCCTACATTGGGAAATAAAAACATATGGTCCTATATTGGGAAAGTCATTATGTTTTAGTCCTATTTAAGTAAATTTCTCTTACAAAAATCTTCTCCTCTATATTTTCAATCTATTTTTTTTTTAAAATTAATATACACCACAAATAAAAATCTCTCTCTCCTATTTTTTTAAAAAATATTCAAGTATTTATTTTTATTTTAAACATGAATCCATTCGGTTTTAACGTTCCTTCGTCTACACTTGAACCAAACGAGGAAGCAATGTGGATTTTTCAATCATATGTCGGTATTCCGTCGATGACACGCAAACCTCAGTGAATCTCCAGGACCCGAAAACGATTCTGGATACTCAACCAGAACCAAATGCACCAAAAAAAGTGCACATCGGAAGAGTCACAAACTGAAGGGCGACAAGCCGATGACTGAGGCGCACGGTCCATTCAAAAGTGGACCCTGAAGGAAGAATCATTGTTGGTGTTTGCTTGTGTTAACGTCTCTGAGCATCCTATCGTTGGTAAACTTTATTTGTTTCTAAAAATATATTGTATATGTTTTATTTTTTATATATTTGTATTTAAAAAATTTTTCTTTCAATTATATATTTCTTAAAGGTTCCGAGCAAATGAAGGATGCGATGTGGGATTGTATCGAGGTGAAGTTCTTTGCAACGATGAACAAGGAGGTCTCGTACCGAACCCGAGACTAAATCACTTCCATATGAGGCCACATCAACCGAAAAGTCTAAAATTTTATCGGACTTACGAGGAATGCTCTCGGTCTCGGAAGAGCGGGTCGGACGATGTCGATGTTTTGCAGCAAGCCATCAGCCGGTATCAAGACGATGGACACCAAGGCAAAGTCCTCATCGACCTTTGGAGAATTTTAAGTCGTTCACCGAAATGGCAACAACTCAACAACCCCGAGGCCGGATCGTTAATGAAAAGATCGTCCACCGAGGTTGAAGCCGATGAGACTAGCTATCGCCTATTAGGAACAAAGGCATCCCTTCAACCTAGACAACTCTGATGACGAGGACCCCATTCCACGACCGACCAGAAGGAAGAAGGCAAAATTCATTGCCTTGGGTTCTGCAGGATCTGACTCTGTTTCCTCTCACGATGATATTGGCCGGGCAATGTTTAAACAACTTCAAGTGGGGAAGAAGGGAGGGAGAAACAAAGGCAAGAGAAGGAAGATGTCGAAATATTGAAAACCGACACTGAAACATTAACGGGCTTCAAACGTATGCTTTACGAGAGAGGACAAAAAGAGATCAAAGCCAAATATAATTTGCATTAATTTTTTATTGATGTATTTTTTATTAAATGTTCTTTTCTAATATAACTTTTTTTATTTAATGAATTATTGTTGTTTAAATTTAATTAATTAATTATTGAAGTTTTATTATTTTAGTTTTACAAAATATGTATTAAAAAATGTTTTTTAAAAAAAGGGTTGAAGCCCCAGGGCTTAAAACCCATTTCCAGTGAAACTGTGAGGCAAGTTAAAGCTGACGTGGTAGAAAAATAAATTTTGAAGCCCCGGGACTTCAAGAGTATTTTGAGTGCTCTTATATGATATGTTTGTACTAAAATCTATGAAATGAGTATGGACTCAAGAACACATAAGAATTTGCAATCTGAGTTGTGCTTCCGTTGTCCTAAGGTCCACATGAGAAACGTGGACCTTCTCACACTTTTATGAGTTTAAAATTGATTTTTTTTTCTTTTGGCAAAAGCCAACTCCTAAATGATATTTGTGTATTAAGGTCCATAAAATGAGTACGGATCCAAGAAGTCAAGAACCACATAAAACTTGTCATCTGAATTGTGCTTCTATCGTCGTAAGGTCCAGATGAGAAATATGGACATTCTTACACTTTTATAGATTTATAAGGGGAATTTTTTCTCTTTTGTAAAAAAGTTCAACCCTTATATGATCTGTTTATATTAAAATTCATAAAATGGATATGAACCCACAAACCACATAAGAATTTGTCATGTCGGAAACATGTAAAAATATGAGTGGGAAAGTTTCCCATCAAAATTAGTGTGTTTTTATTGTGGGTCTAAGATCCACAAAATACTTCACAATTTTTAAAAATAAAAAATAAAAAGTTATCGTCTTAGCAATAAACATTTACTAACTTCACTTATACCAAGGACCACCATGATTAATATCCACTAAAAAATTGGCATGTAGGGGTTAAAGTGGGGTGAGAATGTTATGAGTAAATCTTTTTGGACTGAGTTGTAGCATAAATGAGTTTATTATTTACTTTTTACAATTAAAAAAATACCCCCAGCTGTAGTTAATTTGCATGAGGCGCAAAATAGGAAAGATAGAAAGTTAACACCATATTACATCTCGGGTCAAACTCTTGACACCCAATCCGGAGACAGAGTGATATGATCATGTGAACCAAAACGAAATAGATCCGCATTTCTTTTTTACTCAAAACGTTCATTTTGCATATACACAAGGGGCCTGTTTCGGAATAGCTTTAGCGATTAGCATCAGCGTTTTGGATAAAATTTTAACGGTGCAGATTAATTTGAAAACGTTAACGCTAATCGCTAAAGCTATTCCCAAACAGGCCCAAGAACATGGAGACGTAAGGAGTAGCGAACAAATATGTGAAATTTGTTGCATATAGTTCGGCTCAATGGAATTACTTTGATTTTATTGTTTCTTCTCGCGTCCTTCTGTCACTGTAAATTGTAAGGACGACATTAAAAACACGAGGACATTGAAACCACGAGACATTGAAACTGCGATGGAAGATGATTACCTGGTGTACAAATGGAGTACACCAAAAATTTTGGTGCATTCTAGCTTTATTCAAGACATTATTAGGTGAGGGAAGCTAAGACATTGAAAATGCGAGGACAATGAAATTGAGATGGACATTTACTGAGTAGAGTATACTATTTAGGGAATTATTCCCCAAAAACCTAAAATCATGTATGTCAAGAATTTTAAAAGCAACTACTGTTTTACTCATCTGAAACTTGGTTGCTTACATCTGTCTCGCCGCGTATTCTGGTGTCACTGTGCTGCTCGCCATCATCATCATCTTCTTCAGAGGAAGCAGAGCTAGCGGCATCCATTTCTTTCACTAGACTGTCAAGCTGCACACACTCCTCATCAGCTACAGAGTCATTATTGTGCACCACAGAAGAACCATTTGATGACGATGATGGGATGGTTAAGTCTTCTTTCTTCACGACGTTAAACATGATCCCGTTATGCAATCTCTCAGCCTGGAGCAGGTCCCCCTCTGCCACCACCAGGGTCACTCCCTTTGAGCTGGGGGATAAGGTTCCTCCTCCTCTGCTACTACATGTCTGAGGAGTTGGAACGTTAGCTGGAGGCTCAATTGTCATCACCCCTTGGTTCACACGTACGCCCCCAACCGTGTCCAAGTTCTGAACAAATTCTACAAACTTATCTGCTGATGTTGTCCTCATCAGAGGGCCACCAGCCCTCGTCCAGGAATTTAGATCACTTTCGGATTCACTGTCACTGACAGCCTCATGCACATTACGGTGGGGGGTCCACTGGTGGAGAACTTCTGAGGGACCACCATTGGCTGCAGGAGGAGGAGGAGGTGGTGGAGGGGGAAGGTATTCCTCAAGTGAACCGGTCGAGTTTTCACGAGCAATGCAATTCCAAGAAGGGATCCTTCTAGAACCGTTGTTGAATCTTGTATTGCTGCTAGCTGCCAAGCCATGAGAAAAGGAAGCAGCAGCAGAAGCTGCTCTCTCGGCGCTCCTTCTCAGTCTACGCATGTGGTTGAGTATCGCTACAGACTCATCAAGAGCAATCTCAATTCCACAATTTGCCTTTATAGCCGAGAGCTTCTCCCAAGTACACCTTCTTCCTTGGTTTGCTGCCTTCTGGAGCTCCACCGTTGAAGGATTTTGTATTATTTTTGAATACTGGTATCAACACATGAAAAAAGAATTCCAATTGATCAAGGAGAATACACCATTTATTAAAAATACTTTGAGGTTCTTCAGTTTTTTTACTTGGATTTGAAAAGGGCTAACCCAACAAACAACCCCTAGAATCATAATTAATCTCAATCATTAAGAATGTTAAAGATACTAGTCTAACAAGTACTCCGTAACAATTAAAAATAAAGAACACTAGTGATATCATTGATTATAATATGTCAATATTACTCAGCATGATATTTCATTTTGAGCATCTATATGACTATATGATTGATAATAAGCAAAACTCTCAATATTTTCACTGTTCTTTTGATTTCATTGGCCAATATCAATATTTTGATAATATCCACCAATATTTATGTAAAACTCATGTAGCCACACTTGCTTATTATTTTAGTTTTTAGCTTTATCTGAATTTATTAGATGGAAATATCAGTTAACCCTCTATATCGACATAGATGTGCTCGAAAAATAAATTATTCGAGAAATATTGAGATATTTTCATCACAAGTGTAACGAGGATGAGAGGGTGTCTTGTTAGATTTTTTTACTTTCAGAATGCACATTACTAATTTGAATAGGAAAAAAAATTAAGTTGAAGTGTTGAACAAACCTGAGCAAGAGTTGCAGGCATCACAATGGTGACATCACCCTCCCATTCTTGAGCAAACAACTTGGCTAGTCCTCCCAGAGGGAATCCAAGTTCTAGTATCTGATTGCATCTGTGTTTCACCTCCATCTCGACTAGATGAGCAACCTGCCGTGTGGAAAACCCCAATAGAATATGGCATAAAGTCAACAAGAGTGTCATCAAAACCTAATAATTGAGATATTATATGATCATCTGTTATGTTGTCCCATAAATTTTAAAAAAATCTCAAATATAACCTCCAAAAGTCTCCATCCAAAGAAGATGCCAAAAATGGTGAGACTAACCAATGATATAGCAATAGTCAACAAAAGAGAACACTTCACAATACTCTTTTTGTCAGCTAAACGAACATTTAGAAAAATGCAGGCAGATGCTAGAGAGCAGGTCATAAAAAAGTCAAAAAAATCAAATAGTGGGAATATAAATTAGAAAAGTTTGCCGGCATTTTCACTAATAATCTCACATTTGAAATGCCTTTGAGAAATAATCCCAAGTTGCAATGTTTCCAAGAATAATCAAAGATTTGTTTCTGTCTTCCATACATGATTGGGAAGGTAACGCGTTAGCCTCCCGATAACTCTTGGAAAATTATGATTCGGCCTACCATTTTGGACCAGATTCAGAATAATGTGTATAGTGAAGGTCGAACATAATTACATAAATAATTTTGATCTTGAACTTAATCGAACCAAAATATTCTAGGCCATTTTTTTTAAAATGGGGCATCAATCTGACATATGTGTCAATTAAATAAATTTTGGCTAAGAATATCACAGCCCAGTCCAATATTGGAATTATGTATTTCAAATCTTCAATCTACACATTTTGGGACTCCGATTCCAGTCCAAAATGATTAAGTATGGCCGTAATTTTCAAGAGGCTAACAAAAACTTAACAACATTAAAGTTCGGATCAATTTTGGATGAATAGAGCAAACCTTGAACTATTCGTGGCAACATTGCAACTTTGGGATTATTCCTAGAATGGCCTGTTCTTTTCAATTTTATATTGCATTTATCCAAACTTTAGACTCTAGAATCCAGTATCCAGATTTTAGTTCAAATTAACTACAGACTCCAGTTACCAGACTCGAGTTACCAGACTCGAGACTTCAAACTCCAGTTAAAATTTAGGTGTGAAAAAACAGACCCGAAATAAATTATACCTTGGCAGCGAAATTTCCACCATACGCTCGAACAAACTCCTTCATCCTCAGTAAAGGAGCAATGTGTGGGTTAGCTTGACTCACAATGAAGTGATTAACATTGAATAACTCCTTCAGCTGCATCATTGGCAAATCAATTTCCAAGCTACCATCTCTCCATCTACGAGCACTACCAGCAGCAGCCTCGTCAGGTCCCAAATGAAACGGGGGGTGATAAGGAACAATATCTCCATTTCTATCTTTTGCCATCAGTTCTTGTGCTTCAAAAAGCCCAGGAAAGGCACAAGAAGCAGTAACTGCACTCCATATAACAACATGAGGCGAAGTCAAGTAGTTTAGACACCTAGGGGGTTCATGCTTCCTTGGGGAGCAAACTGTAATGCTCAAAATCCGGCCCGTCATATCATATGCTTCTTGGAAGGTCAAGTTATTAGTGAGGACACGTAACATCCACTGCAACTGTCTGATCTCATGAACAGCTCCATGTGTCATAACCCTCTTGAAAACTGTAAAAATTCCACCCATTTGGTCAAAGAACTGCAGAGAACGCCATGAATCCTCAAAGAAGCTTTGGAGCTCAGGCCAAGACTTTGTTGCTATGATAGAACAGATTATGGATCCAACGCTGGACCCTGCAATTATACGGGGTAAAAGCTTGTGTTCCACCAATGTCTTTGCCACACCGACATGAAAAGCTCCAAGCGATGCCCCTCCGCTTAAAAGCAAAGCCGTCCTTCCGAAAGCGTGTCTTGTTTCATGCATGAAAGCTAATTTCTCCTCCAACAAAAGTTCCTCAGAATCAGAATCACAAACCATTCTTAACTGAGTTGAAACTTCATCAATATATTCCTTAATAAGCTTTGGAACATGCAGTCTTCCCTTGTGTAGTTGCGGGTTACACATATTTCCAAGGTTTCTGACAAGGTCAGCTCTCATACAGAACATAATGTCTCTGAGAGAACCTTCTTGGCGACGATGCTGGAGCTCTTGGAGCTTGTGCATAACAAGTTCAACATCATAAAGATCTGACTCTTTAACTTTAAGGGTCTCTCTGTCTAACATTTTAGCGGCATGAGCCCATTCTTCATAGCTTAGTGCGGATTTCATCATGTTCCTCCAAAACTTCCTCCTATAGGCCATCTCAGCTTTCACTTTTATGTTAGTGTATCGTTTCAACAAGAACGCAATGAATATTACTAATGCTAAAATTCCTTGCGGGTTGCGAGGATGAAACCACGATATCACGGGTGTTATGTAAGCATTCTTAGCCTTAGTCAAGTAATAGAGCAAAAATTGATAAACCTGAAACCTTAATTGTGCCAATGACTTGCAGAATAATATTTTGAAAGCAATCGTCCTGCCCAAAATCGAAGATGGTCCGATTTTGGAAAACTCAACACTTGACTCGCTGCTAACATCCATTCCACCTCAATACCAAGGAATCAATCCTAAACAGTCCTCTAGATTCTTAACAGCAACAATAACCTCAGAGCTCCCCGATTCACCAACACAACAGTCTACCAGTAGAGGATTCACATAAATAAGTCGCGATTAAGATATGCTCATCAGAGTATCTGTCAAGTTTGTTTGGCTGAAGCATGAATCATAGGTTTAAGAAAGTCTTGAGAGGAAAACCTAACCTTTGTTTTATCCTTGGGTCTAGAATAATGAAGATTAAGCTCAGATCGCCGAGGAGAACATGAATTTGACCAGGAAATCCGCAATAACATCCAAAGGGGTCACTGGATCATCCTTACATTCTGGCACTGAAAATGAAATTCAAGCAACCTGAAAGAAAGGAAACTTGGAGAAGGAAACTCTTCTCCTCGGGAAATCCGCCAAAGAAGGAATCAAATTTCCTACTAAACCACGGAAATGACGGAATCAAGGAGCTCAAATCGAGAAGCGAAATGCGAAAGTGAGGCGCTAAAATCCAAATACGGAGTATAAATCAAACGTCTCCAAGGGAAAAGAAACCAAACTCTTTCCAGATAAATAAGCGAGCTAAGCTCATTGGGGCAATGGGCGCTCCGAGTTCAGGACATCACGTACACGTAAGGGAGATAGATGGATAATAGAATGTCCGAAGATGAATTATTCTTGTTGAATTTGTGTTGTTTTGTTATAAAACAAGAGAAAAACTCACAAAAATTTTAGAGAGTTAATATTTATATTTTTCACTTTTTTGTTTTGTTAATGGTGATTACAATATAGAGATTAAACCTTTATTTATAATATAGATGTTTAATATGAACATCAATACAAATAAAATATGAACACATCTACAAGTGGAGGGAACGGTACATTTTGCTACTACAATTAATATACGGAGTATTATTTAGACATATAGAAAAAGATGATGTAATTAATTGAAGAATGAATTATTCACTAATTTCATAACACTCCCCCTTAAATGTTTATTTTTCAATTGATGATATTTATTTTGTGAAATGGGAGCAGTTTTGAAAGTCATCTTAAACTTATATATTGTCTCATTAAAAACCTTGTAAGGAAAATTCTATAAAATAAAAACCTGATCAAGGGAAAAGAAAAGTAGTGCATAAAATTTCCCCCCTCAGCTTAGCATAATTGGCGGAGGCGACGCATGCTAATCTTGTGTACAAGTTCTTCAAATTTCTTAAGGGGTAACGTTTTTGTAAATAAATCAGCGAGATTCTCACTTGACTTGATTTGCTTGATGTCAACCTTTCCATCTTTCTCGAAATCATGTGTTGAGAAGAACTTTGGTGATATATGCTTTGTTCGGTCTCCTTTTGATATAGCCTCCTTTAACTTGAGCAATACATGCAGTGTTCTATTCATATATAGGAGTCGGATGGCTAGTGTTTGTTTCTATACCGCACTCGCTCTGATATATTGGATCATTGATCGCAACCATAGACATTCTCTACTTGTTTCGTAAAGAGCTATCAACTCTGCGTGATCTGTTGATGTGGAAGTCAAAGTTTGTTTCATCGATCTCCATGATATTGCAGTATCTCCAAAAATAAATACATATCCTGTTTGAGATTTTGCCTTCTGTGGACCAGAAAAATATCCTGCATCAGCGTATCGAACAAGAGTGGTCTTGGCACCTTTGTGGTAGAATAGACCAAGGCTGGTGATACTGTTGAGATATCGGGAAATGTGTTTAATGTCATTTCAATGTCTCCTTATCAAGGTTGAACTGTGTCTGCCTAACAAGTTCATTGAGAATGCAATATTTGGTCGAGTGTTATTCGCCAGATACATCAAAGCTTCAATAGCACTCAAGTATGGTATTTCTGGACCAAGTATTTCTTCATCATCTTCACGAGTTCGAAACAAATCATTATGTACATTGAGAGAGCGAACAACCGTTAGGGTTATGAGAGGATGTGCTTTATCCATGTAAAACCGCTTCAGAATTTTCTTCGTGTAATTTGACTGGTGTATGAAAATTCCATCTTTCAAATGGTCAATTTGAAGACCAAGAAAAAAATTTGTTCTCCCAAGATCTTTCATCTCAAATTCTTTCATAGATATTTTGCAGTATTTTCTATTTCATTAAAAGTTCCAATGACAATTACGGCGTAGAAAGCCGGTATAAAACAGCTTATGCACTTTTCATTGCTGCGAAAAATTAACTTCATATTTTCAACCACTGACCATAGAGGTGTTGACCAATCAGCCTCTTTGCTCAATCTAATGCAACTCCTCATCTTCGAGAAGGATGATAAAATGGGTGATGATGTTGACTCAGTTTAAGTCAAGTACAAACCCAAGTTGGCAATCAAAGGTTAGGCTCTAGAAGACTTCCCGGTTGAAATGATCGGGCTCACTCCCAAAGAACGAGCCGCCCAAGCGGTCAAAACTTGGTAGGAGATGGCTGTGGATGGAGCTTCCGGTCCAAAAGATTACGAAGCAGGAATCAGCTTTAACTTGCCCGAAGGGTTCAAAATTAACCATGTTGTGATATTCAACTTTAAACTCACAACGTATGAAGCTTTGGCTACGGGACTCCGGTTCCAACTGGCACTGAAGATTGTTAAGTTGAGAATCCAGTCCCATTCGAGCCTTGTTGTGGGGCAAATCAACGGTAAATGGACGCCAGAGAAGAGCGGATGGCCCGTTACAAAATTGGTTCCAAGCCTTATTGAAGGAATTAGAACAATTCTAGCTTTCCAAGATACCTCGGGCTCATAACACAGATTCCAACATACTATCGAAGCTAGCGCAATCTATGCCGAAACACGTCTCGAAGTTAGAAAAGATTGAAGTATTGGACCAGTCTAGTGTTAAGAGATTAGAAGTAACTATTATCGAGGAGGGGAGATGCAATGTAAAATACACGATCGCGGCGGACGAATTCTGGATGACAAATCTTATGGAGTACCTGGTGACGATGGCCGAGCAACAGAGGTTAATGTAAGGGCACCCCGTTTTCAAATGATCAACATCCGATTGTACAAGCGAGCATTAGGAGGACCCTTGCTCAGGTGTCTAACAAACCTGGAGGCTGAGAGGGTAATTGCGGAGGTTGATGAGGGACTATGCGTGGCCCACCAAATGTCCCAAACATTGGCTCCACAGATTACCCTGCTCAATTACTATTGACCGACCCTCGGTTAAGACTGCGAACGGTATGTAGAAAAGTGCAGACCTGCCAAATATTTTACAAACATCGAGGAAGACTCGCCACATACTATCAATCGGCCTCTATTGTCTTATCGTTCACCCGGTTTTACCTGGACATCATTGATGCATTCCACCTCACTCAAAAATATAGAGTAGTAGCTTTTTAATCATTTTTTTATATTTTATTATTTTATTTTCCCTAACCTAAAATTATTAGATATCTTATTTTGGAGAAAAATATAGTAAAGGCCAAAAATGCAGTTCAAGTTTGGAAAGAAGGTATTGAATTTGGGCTAGAGCACAAACCCATCATCAAATAAACAAGTCAACCAGCCTAGTCTCTTCATATTTATGCACAAGAAAAAAAAGAGGAAAATGCTAGGAGTACACCAAATGTGTACCCCAAATATCCCACATCCCCTCAATTACCATAAAATGAATGGTGTAGAGGCAAGTGGTGTACATTTGGAGTACACCTTTGGTGTACCCCTAGCATCTCTCAAAAAAACGGAGAATAGAAGTACGATGACTTCTTCCTCTTTGTAGATCGCAGCGACAAATCAAGCACGCTCCAACGTTCCTCCATGAATTTCTCTCAATAATTAAAGCTTCAACGAGAATAATCTTAACAGGAAGAAATCTCTCCTATAAATTGAAAGCAACATTAAAGTGGGAGGGAATCAAACGAAAAATATCATATATCGATTAAACTAAAAATTATATATTAAAATATAACTCATTTTAAAATTTTAAAAATTTTTTATTTTTAAATTCATGAATAAATACTTTCACGTGCATCGTACGAGTAAAAGACTATACGGAGTATAATATAAATCTAGAATTACTCATTCAATTTAATCCGAAAAAGTCATACAAAAATCACTAATACTCCCTCCTTCCCAGAGTATTTGTCCACTTTCATTTTTACACACCATCCAATACACTTTTTTAATAAGTAAATCCCTTAAATAGGAGTAAAACATATGTCTTATCCTTATAATAAGAGTTCAAACTTAAACTCCTCTAAATAGGAGTAATTAAATAAGAAAACTCTCTAAATAAAATTAAAACATAACTCCTCAAAATAGGAGCTCAAATTAAAATTCTCTAAATAAGACCTAAATTATTAGAACTAAAGTAACCCAACGCGCCTCATTCCCAAACACACTTTTCGCCTCTTTCTTATCCATTCTTATCCCTTCACAGCCACTCTCTTCAACCCATTGCAGTTGATTTTGCACCAGGCCGCCACCCAAACGCAGCAGTATCACCTCTGCTTCTCTCAAGCGCAGCACCATCACCGCCATGGGCCTCCACCCATCTAAGATTCTTTGTCGCACCCTTCTCAAATATGCCACACCGCCTAACCTCTATTTTGCAGCGCCATCATTGCCGTTTTCACTATGCTGATTTTCACGAAGTATCTTTTGTATTTTAACATATGCTAGTCAGTTGAAAGAGTGAATATACCGTACCATATGCAAATTGATATGATTTGATGCTTGGGCACATTTTGTGACATTCCATGTGTTTAATTTAGTTTGTTTTAGGGGATGGGGTTGATTTTTGGGATTTTGATAAGGATTTTATTCATTATCTATATTATTTGGTTTTATAACTTGCAAATGAAACGGATGCTTTTTGTTATGACTTATGAGAGCATAATAACTCTGTGCTATTTTTTCAAAGTAATCTGAAGGGAATTGTGTAGCCTAATTTTTTAAGAGAATTGCTTTGGTACTTGTCTGGTCGTGCAAGGCATTAAGTCATATTTGGCATTATGCTTTTGTGTAACATTTGTGAATTCACATTGTGACATTATATATGAGCATTTGTAGCATTATATATGGGTATTTGTGCCATTATATACTGTTATGTATGACAGTATGACACTATGTGGTGTCATGTTTTTCATTATGTCTTTTTTGACATTGTATTGGTATTGATAGTTAATGTTACACTGCGACGACAACGATACATAATTGTGATGCTAATGTGGTCAAAAATGGTAGAGAGCGGTGTTGGTGGTGACGGCGAAAAATCAACAACGGCAATGGAGGATTTTGACAGTAGTGGCGGAGCAAAGATGGGAGCGGCGGAGGAGACTCAAGTTATAGTGGCAGGGACACGACGACTCAGGCACAGCGGCATTAGCAACCTGTTTGCAGTGGAGCAAATTGCTGAATTGTTTTTTAGTTTCAGCATTATGGAAAAGTTTCTTTTTTAGGTTGAGCTAATATTTGCATGCACTGTGTTGTTTTTTAAGTAATCTGCCATAAGGTCGTAACTAGGGTAGATGAGCAAAATGAGTGTCGCGTGGGTACAGTGATTGAATTACACAGATGAGTTGTGCATACATAAACTTGAGGATTTTATCTTTCAACTCCTATTTTAGGATTTAATTAATGTTTTACTCCTATTTTGTTACTTAACCCTTTTTTAATCCATTTTATCTTATAATTTGTATATTAAAAAATTATAAAAATTATACGGAGTATATTAATAATCTATATGTTAAGACAAATCAAACAAGATCACATATGACTATATTTAAGTTTACACATTGAGAAAATTTGATAAGTCAAAGTGCTTAGATGAACAGTTTCAAAAGTTAAAACTGGACGAATACTCCAGGAGGGGGGAAGGGTATTGTATTTCTTGTGGTTATCCGTAGTACTACTCCCCTTCCCAGCTAACCCGCAATCAATCATTTTCACCTACCGATTAAATTGATTCAGCCAATTTTCAACCAAATCGAAACATATCAGCCAGTTGGCCAACTTGGACCCTTTGGCATTGGAGTATTGTGATCAGTCTTCTCCGATAAATGGATTTGGTCTGTTCCGAAGCATAGCTTTGGAGCCGAACCTCGCAGCTTCTGTTCTTCTGTCTATAAATACATTCCTCAACCAATAAAGGAGGTTTTAAGCAGCAGGTTCTTATCGCAGACGGAGCAGATATTTTGGATCAGAGGTTAGATTTTTTTTCGTGATCAGTCGTCCTTCTTGAGGATCTGCATTTTCGATTCAATTCGTTTTGTCTGATAGACGGATCCGATGAATATTTCTCTTGAAATGGCTGATTGATGTATGCTACTGTTTTGTTTTGCGTTTATGCGTTCTATTGGATGAGTTATCGCGGATTGCTCGTTCTGATCTTCTGTGCTAATGCGGTTTCTGTATATAGATTAAATTTCTGATACTACGGAGATTTTACCTTTGCTTCCTCTTTCAAAGTCACTTGATCAAGTATTAATGCAGCCTACTTTGGCGTTGACTTGAGTTTTCATCATGTTTTGAATCAATTGCTTGCAGCAAATCCCAGCCGAAGTCATTCGCATGCTTCAATCAAGTTTTTCTAGTTTTTAGGTGTAGGTATATATTGAAATTGCTAAAATCTTCTGTGGTTGCTATACTGAGTATTTCTAGATCCTATGCTGTTTTATATGCTTGCTGAAGTGCCTATTTATATTGTGCATCTTCTTTTTGTTGATTATGTTGGTGCTGATTTTTTTAAAAGTAATCGGATCAAAAACCATTTCATGGCTGTTGATTGGATCTACAAGAAGTGAATTGAAATTTGTAATTGTGCAAATGACTTCAGATAAGCATTTGAGAAAGGAAGGATGGCCTTAGTGTCTGGAGGAAGGTCAGGACTGAACCCAAATGCGCCCTTGTTTGTTCCTGCTTCTGTGCGTGCGTTGGAGGATTTCTCACCGGAATGGTGGAACTTGATGAACTCTGCAACATGGTTCCATGACTATTGGCTCAGCCAGCAGCAGGAGGATGGGATGAGATATGGTGAAGCTCTGAATGACGATGATGTTGTCTCTCTGTTGCCAGAGACCATTGATGTTGATGTTGATGAGGATGTCTTGAACATGGAAGCTCAGTATGAAGAATTTCTCCAATCAATTGCAAGGGAGCAGGTGGCATCTCTTGCTGGTTCCATGCCCATGCCAGATTCATCCGGTATACATAAATTCTTTTGTTTTTAAGGTCTGATTCCGACCCATGATGCTTTGAGGTAAGTAAAGATATGCATGTATTCTTTATTTTGCCAGGTTTATCAAAGCAGTCATTGCTAAGGAGTCTGAGCTTTCCAAATGATAGGGACTTCAAATCGGCATTTGAGGCACCGAAGTACTATGAGAAGCCCGCAAAGACTGTTAGCCCCAAATGGAACACTCGCATCATCCACCAGCCTCGCTGAGTATTTTAACATTTGGGGTCGGCACTTCTGATGTGGTTACTCAGTTGTCTTCTGTAGTGTGTTCTTTCCTTTGCTGTTGTGTATAGAGCAAGGTATGTAGGTGCCCACACTTGTAACTAGCCTTGTTCATGTCCAAATGTATGAAGCAGTGTTTAGCAAAAACTTGTTTTTCAAATCTTCACAAAAACGATATGATGAAAAGAAAAAAAACATTTTAGTTGCATTTCTTCTGCTTATGAGAGAAAATGTTGACCAAAAGTGTTGCTTGATTGCTGTGGGCTTACATGTAAAAGTCCAGCAGGGGTGAGCTATTTTGGAATTTGGAGTTTCTCTTGGTAAGCGTACGTTTTACCTCATTCCTAAAAATATGCATGTGAGAATTACTAAAGAGATGGATGCTAATGCTACATTCATTTACGAAGTACTTCGTATTTGACACTATTTCTTGCACATTGCGTCTCTCACTTCTACAGTTCTACTGTTTTCATTCAAAATCTGTTGGTCCGTTTAGTATACGGAATTGACGGAATTAGAATTGAATTGGAATTGAAATTCTATAGAATTGAATCTCATGGAATTGAGTTCTCCAATTCCAAATCATTTTTTGCACTACCAATTCCAAATTCATACTACATCCGTTCCAGAGTATTTGTCCACTTTTATTTTTACACACCATTCAATACACTTCTTTAATCCATTTTATCTTGTAATTTATATATTAAAAAATTATAGAAATTATATATTAATAATCTATATGTTAAGACAAATCAAACAAGATCACACATGACTATATTTAGGCTTACACATTGAGAGAATTTGATGAGTCAAAGTGCTTAGATGAACAGTTCCAAAAGTCAAAACTGGACGAATACTCCGAGACGGAGGGAGTATATTTTTGTGTTACCAAACACCAGAATTTGAATTGAAGTCTCAAATTCCAATTTCGCGGCTTGAATTCTCTATACCAAACGGATACCTCAATGGAAATTGATTTCAAATTTACATCTTCAATTTGAAATTGAATTCCATTATGCTCATGTATATACTTCCTACATTTTTTAGAAACACTTCCTATTATTTTTTATGTGTAAAACCCCATCTTTCTTTAAATGATTTTTATTAATAAATTTGTATAAAAATAAAAAGTAAAACTTACATATTTAAAAATTACATCAAAAATTCTATAAAACAAGTGGTGATAAAAATATTTTATTTTGTCAAATGACTAATAAAAAGTACACACAAACACATGCTATCGTGATGCCTTGAACAGTAAATAGGAAGACTTTAAAGAAACGGAGTGAATATATAGTAGAAGTATATTACTCATAGTTTTGATATGTGATGTGAGTGATAATAAAAAAGTTTTTATGAGAAAATGAGACATCAATATCAAGTATTGTTGACATGTGACTTGCATTGTTTACTCATAACTAGCATTGTACTATCCTCCGTCCCTGAAAACCTTTCTCCTTTCTTTGTTCATCCGTCCCAAAAAACATTTCTTATTTCTATTAAAAAGTCACTTTTACCCCTTACTTTTTCATACTCTACCTATCACATCATATTTTTTACTAATAATCTATACATCAAATCATACTTTTACCCATCACATCAAAGGACATTTTTGGAAATTCAATACCAAAATACACTCTCTTTAAATCTCTCTTCAAAATCAAAACTCTCATGTTTTCCGGGACGGATGGAGTATAATTTTTTCACTCCACAAATATTAATGACACTCCACATTTACTTAGGCCCCGTTTGGTACATGGAATTGAAACTATGGAGTTTGGTAGCACAAAAATTATGTGAATTTATAATTCATAGTGCAAAAAATGAAATGGAATTGGTGAATTCAATTCTATAGAATTGAATCTCATGGAATTTCAATTCCAATTCAATTCCAATTCCATTAATTCCATATACCAAACAGACCCTTAGTTCTTTTGAAAGAGTGCTTCTTTGATGCACATTGGGTGCATATAATTTTTGTGGACCTTTTCACATAATTTTTATTTTATTTTATTTATTTTTATTTAAAAAATAAATGCTTATTTAAATACTAAAGAAATGTTTATTCTACTCATATGTACATCCATGGTGGACTTTAAGTCCATGGTGGACTTTAGGTCACCATAGAATTTATTCTTTTGAAATTGACAATTATGCCCATAAATTGAGTTTTTTGTTCAGCTCTTTGACATTTGATTGGGGCAAAATACACCTTGTTATATTAGCACAAGCTTTATTCGCACTCAACTACAAATTTTTTTAAATTTATTTTTTTATTAAAAAAATTTATGCTTCATTTGTTTCATGTTTTTAAATTAATCTATGTCAAACTATTTTGTTTCAAACTAGGGAGTACATTTTGTGATATTTGTGTGATTTACCATTATTCTTATCTTTTATAGTGTAAATATACTCTTGTGATTATTTTAGTATATAAAGTATACAAAGCACAGTTATATTTGCAAGATTTTAAATTGTTTGAGTTTATTTTTTCTTTTAATTAAAAAAAATAGTGTCCAATTGTCTTGCTATTTTGGAATATAGGTTAGTGAGATGTAAATTAAGAAATGAAAAAGTGTGTTAGTCTACTTGATATTGATGTTAAAAAAAAGAAAATGTAAGAATATCACAAAAATATTAGGAAATATAGTTTCAGACAATAGAGCGACCTAAAAAATTGGGATGAGAAAAAATGTGAAACAAACGAAGTTTAAACTATTTTAATAAAAAGAAAAAATTTCAAAAAAATAAGGGTCCATTTGGTATACGGAATTGACGGAATTGGAATTGAATTAGAATTGAAATTCTATATAATTGAATCCCATGGGATTGAGTTCTCCAATTCCAATTCATTTTTTGCACTACCAATTCCAAATTCATATATTTTTGTGCTACCAAACACCAAAATTTGAATTGAAGTCCCATAATTCCAATTTCACTGCTTGATTTCTCTATACCAAACAGAGCGTAAAGGAACACAAATTGAGCTTGTGTGAATATAACACATTAAATATCGTTGTCAATTGTAAGTGCAAATTGAGTTGCTGGCTTGCTGCCAAAGAGCCAAAAAATCATTTCAATGGCATTAAAGTCCACTTGGAAAGAGATGGGCAAAGGTGGAGTGTCATTAACTTTAGTAGAGTGGATTGAATTGGTTTGGCTTAGTCAATTTTGAGTTTATACTCATTTATAATTCCTCCACTAGAATAAGTGCAAATTGTTTGGATTCAAATTTCAAAGAAAAAGTTGCCTATAACCTCTCAACACTAACACTAGTCTAAGCCTGTAAAATCTCTAAAATGTACACACATCTTCAGTGTTAAGTTCATTCTTGTATAAATTTTCTTTTTTTTTCAAATATAAACACTAGCTAGGAGGCTAGCTTATATGGTAGGAGGTGATAGGGGTGGAACTGCATGAGATTCAGATTCAGATTCGGATTGTTCTCCCAAAGACATGGCCTTCCTTGCAACGGTTTGAGCTTCGGAACTATGTCCCATTTTCCTGGAAGAAAGTCCAGACGAATTCATCATCTTGTTCTCGGTTGAGAGCAAAGACTCTGCTCTCAAACTCTCTCCTCCTCTTCTTCCATGGGCTCCGGCAATGACAGAAGTGAAAACCCCAGACTCTCTCAGGTTCTGAATTATAATCATGGGAGCGTATATCCGCACCAACATCCCATTCCTCAAAAGTTTCTGCTTTAGTGCGTCTTCGTTCCAAACTACGTGTGCATTGTACCAGAGAAGCATTTCCTCTTCTGTTGCTGTTGAAGCTATTATAAATGCCTGTGATAACATTCCCAAAAAAAAGAACACAATGATCACCGAAAATCAGAAAGCTTTAGGGTGTGTTTGGATGGAGGGGAGGTGTACTATGCATAATTGCATATAAAAGTTGAACAATGTAACATTAAAAGCCCCCCTTCGGCTTCAACCAAACGTGCCCTTAATGTAATGGTCTACATTATAACTCACATCTCTGTCAAACTCAAGCATGAAGCATCTTTTAACATCCTCCTTGGTAGGCTTACAACCACAGCGATCACGCCTTGACGTCAAATCTGAGAACTTGGGATATGTGTAGTGCAGAACAGCTCCTTCATCCAATTTCACCTCACTGCAACAAGACCAAAGAAAACCCTCTTTACACTCCGAGAAAAAGAAAATAAAAGGTAAAAAAAAACAAACGATCTCAAGAAATGAATGAACGCACGAGGGACTGTTCATATAGTTGTGCCATCTGTGAGCGCCATTGGGACGAAGATGATCCTTTATACGGGCAGCTGATTTCCCATTTCCATATGTCAAAAAGTAATTTGGGTTGCCACGGGTCGCTTCCTTGTAGTTTCCAAAGTAAGTTTCTTTAGTGAGGTGGTCAAAACTCTTCTTGAACATTGATACCTGTGGTGGAGGAACACACCCCCAAAAGCAGTTAAAACTAATAACAAAATGTTCGAAACGAAACTCAATGCATAAAGAAAGAAAGAAAAACTCTTACTTCACTAAACGGTTCCTTTATGTTGTCCCTCTCGACGCTGCTCTCCTGAAAGAGTTTATATCATCAGCTAAGGTATATATTGTTAACCCAACCACAAGAAAAGCCATTTCTTTTCACAGAGGTAATTAATTACTACTTACATAGTTAGGAAACACAACCATATCAGCATGAGGAGGAATGTCTGATAGGAGCTCTCTCACAGAGAATTCACGCGTTCCAGCTGGATATATTAGCTCATCAGTGTCCAAATGAAAAATCCAATCCATGTCGGCCTCCTTTTTTTAATAATTTTTCAAGGGAAAGATTTCAATACAAGTACCAACTCAAGATCAAATGGAGCAGCAATATTAATAACTATTAAAAAGAAGAATTTCATACCCTAGCCATTTCAATCCCCATTTCCATGTTAAGGGACTGCTTGACAAATAGCTCATAGTTGCAAGGTTTGAAGAAAAAGTTCGACAGCCAGGTTTCATTCCAAATCCGGCTAAATACAACACAAAGCACATTCCCGTTATTTTTACACAAAAAATGAGCATAGACCATGGAACACACCATGCATCTTTATCATATGATTAAATACACTAAGAGCCCGTTTTGTAAGGTTTCTTTGACCGGTATGGCTACACAATAAGCCACTCTTAGCTAGCAGAAGAGACTCTAAACCTGTTGTCTTAGCCCTAAATAGCAATAGAAAATCTGTCCAAAATACAGAGGAACATTGGAAGCATATTGGAATTAAGTGCAGATGGAGAATGAGATTGAACCTTTTCTCTTGCCGTGCCTCTAATTCTCTTGTTCTATATATGACACTTACCCCCTGCAGAAAACAGTGGAACAATACTGATTCAAAGTTGTCCTCACATCAAGAAAATACAACAAGATTAACATGGAAGATTATATTGGACAGACGATTTGATAAAATATAACACTTGCTAACCGGGATCGATTCAAGGACCTTCGACATGTGAGGGGAAGCGGCTTTACCCTCCACAAACATGAAAAACCTTGCAATACCAATAACTTTGTGATAATATATCCATGGCAGTGTTTGCTCCAAGCCAGCAGAAGTAGTTGAAGTGATGCATATCTTACAACAAAGCAAAGAAAAAAAATTCAAAATATTCGTATGACAAAATAATGGTCCTAGAGATTTCAGAATATAAAAATATTTGCATTTTAATAAAAAAAAATCTGCCAAAAAAAGAGAATTGAAAAAGTCCTTTTTAACAGTCTGTCAAAAAAGAAAACTTTTAATGTCAAGAAGTATATATGATCCCTAGAGAAACAGTGAAGTGATATAGAATTTCTGTATGCAGACAAACTGCATATGCATATAGCACGTGATTTGCGGTAAAAGCGATCGAAACCCAAACAAGGTCAAGATAAATCGGATCAAGAAAGTTGAAGAAACCGACCCTGGGGCGAATATCCGACCCGGAAGATGATGACCCGAAATTGAATTTCCAATCCCTGAAGTATGGAAACGACAACGTTCGGGACTTGGAGAGAATACCGGCGCAATCAGAGGAGGAGGAAGGGAGATGGGGTGGTCGGAGATCGTCGGAGGGCAACCGGTGGGTGGTCGGGTCGGGCAACCCGCCCCGCCATTGCAAGACGAATGCGAAGGCCGCCAGAGACAATGAGAGAACAGTGAGCCAAAAGAGAAGGCGGGAAGCCAAGGCGTTGGGAGACGACGGAGATGGAGAAAGCCATGCGGCGGCGGCGGCGGAGGTGGGTCTTGCTCTCAGTCGTCGCAGTGTTGTGAAGAGACCCGCCATTGATGATCCGATGATCAGGTTTCAAGAAATGGATTCATGTGGGGTACTCTGTGTCACATACATGTATGTATGTGCATGCGGAATTATGATCCAAGAAGGAAGAAGGATGGGGTCCAGACTCGAAACTGGAGCTGGCAACCTGAAGGGCCGTTTTGGTCCTTTATAACAATAATAAGGGGATTTCTCTATTTAGTCCTCTATTATCAAATATTACACAAGTGGTCTTTCTTTTATGGGTACATTTCCACAAATAGTCCTTTTTTTGATCTTCTATCATGTTGGTGTTAATTTGAGGACTAAAAGTGTAATTTCACAATGATTATATATCTTTTTTGTCATACACAATTCCAAAGGATATTCCGTTTGCGTCGTTTGTGAATTACAATCACTTTTTTCGACAACTATAGTCTACAAATGTGATCTTTCGTCAGAATCCTAGCCCACAATCATAGTCATTATTTTTGTGTTATCCGCTTAACCAATATCAGAACACGTCACTAGACATAATGTTGACGTCAAATTATACTTTTAGCCTTTAAATTAACACCAACACGGCAGAAGATCAAAAAAAGGACCATTTGTGGAAAGGTACCCTTAGAAAAAGGACTAAGGGAGTAATATTTGATAATAGAGGACTAAATATGGAAACCTCCCTGTTATAAAAGACCAATTATGGAATTTACTCTTATTTTATTTACTCTGGTTCCCAATTTATAATTTATTGTCTCCGTTTCAGTCTTTAACCTCACCAAATTTAAAACAAAATACAAAATTTATGGACATCATATTCTTTATTTTATTAAAAGAAAATTATGGATATACAATTCTTTATTTTATTAAGAAAATAGAAAAAATTTTGTTAGACTAAATGAAAAGGAAAGTGAGCCGGTTAATACGGGTGGAAAGTATTACGGAGTATTACAAAGCATAAAGGAACCGAATAGGAGAAAAGTGAATTCTTAATGCCCAAAATAGAACCATGGAGATTTTGGATATAACTCATATAAGTAGGTGTTATTTTTTTTAAATGACAATTTCACCCAAGTTTTTTTAAAATGAAAATTTCGTCCTAGTTAAATTTTTATTTGACTTTCACGGTCTGTAATGTAATATTTTAAACATTAATATCAATACTTATACATAAATATAGTTTAAGGAAGTTAATATTTCAAAATTATGTTTTTAAAAATTATTGATATTACATTTACATCAAAATAAAATGAGAACTAGTTTTGATCAAGAAGGTGAAATAAGTATATATGCATAGACAAACTTCTTCCTATGCACCATAATAGATGACCACAAAATCAATCAAAGTTTATAATCACTTTGAGAATTTTCCGGCGAAACTTCCGGCGATGATAGCTCTCAACTCCGGCGACTTCACACCAATATGACTGCACCACTGCGTTCTCCTCACTCCCGTCAACAGAATAGATAGAAAGATTGTGAGAAATAGTGAAGAATTGCAGGAATGGAGGTGGTCCTTATATAGGAAAATGGTGAAGGATGCTGCCAAGGGTGATGTCTGGTTTCCTGTTCGGGCGGCTAGTGGAGGCTGCGATATTTCTTCGATTCCAAACGCAAGTCCCTGATTGGGACTAATTTCAGTCCCATTCGGGGTACACTTTTTTGTCCAATATTCTCCGAAATGAAATCTGTTTGCACCGTTGCGATTGGACAATTAAATTCTATCCAACAATATACTATTTATATTTATTTGTAATACTTTTTCCGATATCATATTTTTGGGTGTTTGACTTTGACAGAGTCAAAATTGATTTAATTGACCTTTACTCATAAAGGTTTTTACATTCCATTCATATTATTATGCTCATGATTTATTTCAATAAATCATTTCAAAGTTTACATCACAAACAAATTCTTCATTTATTCTTGATTTGGGTCTGTACTCAGGTTCCCAATCAAGGTCACACAATAAGTCAACATATTGGATTTATCTCTATGAGATTTATTCAGATTATGATATTGGATATCAATACATATTTTATTTTGGCCCAAAGCCCAACAACAGTTTATTTTAATCAAGCAATTTGTTTATTCGAATAATAATTTAATATAACTTTTAGGGTATATTTTTGGGGCGTTACAACATTTGTTGATAAAATATTTCTTGATATTTGAGACGGACCCGGAGTTAATTATCAATATTTGTTGATAAAATATAAATATTATACTATTGTGTAGGGTTCGACGAGACAAATCTAACGGTGTAAATGGATTTGGGTTCGGAGCAACTTGGCATGAAAAGTGTATTTTGTATCGAGGTACGTTAACTAAATTACAGGCACAAAACCCTATGAGTATTTAAATACTACCCTAATGCACATAAACCCCACATTTCCACCGCATACACACGACACACACACACACTCTCTCTCTCTCGTAACTCCCTCTCTCTCTTGTTCCGATCGGAAACAACACGAGAAGCCCCCCAGAAGAAGAAGAAGAAGCAGAAAAAGAGGAAGAAGAAATAAGAGGAGGTCGTTGCCATCACCCCTCGTCGCCGTTCGTTAGGTTGAGTTCTTTGTCAAATTCAAGGTGAGTATGTGGATATCTAATGCTAGGTTACATCTATGGATTTGAAACTTACATTCAGAGGACCATTACGGTTGATTTGCGTGAAAACTACATGTGATAGTTTCGTTTTGGATTATTTTTGGTTTTGTTGGTTAAAGCGCATTAATATGTATGGTTTAATCATAGTAATGTTAGATATTGTTAGAAATTTCTTTATGAACATATTGATGTTGAATTTTACGAGATTGGTGATGATTTGTTACTATTGATTCGGAGTGAAGCAAAAACCAGGCTTTTATCGCGTCAGACGGTAGGCCGGTAGCGTGCTACAGTCACAAGCCGTTCTTCTCTGCCGGACCCTGGAGACGATTGGTATCTACGTACAGGACAGATGGTAGCCCCTACCATCCAAACGATAGCCAGCTAATGTCACAGGCCATTTGGCACTGGTAGACTCTGTCACAACCGGTAACTAGGTACCACCTGGCGGTAAGGAGGTACCTTCTGTCGGTACCCTGGTACCGTGACAGGTACTATCTAGACGGATGCTTTTATTTACAAACATATTTGCGCATCAAGGATTGATTTTGAGACTTTGTATGTGCATGACGGTAAGCATGAGTATTCATACCCAACACTAGGCCGATGTTTGATCATCATTGATTATATTGGATATGTTACACTCGTTAGTTTATGTGTATGCATTTGTGAATGAAAAGTTAAATGATTGAAATAGTCCACCTAGAAGAACTCTAGGACTGACTTGAATAGATTAGAGGCAAGTTATGCCATAAGTATAAAGAGGTTAGAGCCATGTGGTACCTGCTGGGTCCAATGGCTATTTGGGTACAAACGTGCCCACAAAGATCTAAGAACTGTTGTTCCGAAGGGGACAAGGATCTCACCTTTCCAACGAGGAGCTGAGCTTTACCTCATTCCAAAGGAGAAGGTCATGACTCCATAGACAAGTCATAATAAAAAAGCTTTAGCCTAGAATAGGTTATGCCCTAAAGAGAGTCATAAGTTAAGTGAATCTAATAGTTAGCATGTAATATTTTAGATAATTATATCATCTGTTATGCAGTGCTTGTGGTGATTATTTATGATATTCTTGTATGCATGATATCGTGTGATGTTATGAGCTAGTGAGTCTGTCAGTATGTGTAGTCAAGTCTTAGATATTTCTTACTTGGCTTCAATGCTAAGCGTGTGACATTTGTTTCTTTGCTACATGTAGATAACCAAGGTCAAGATGAACCTCAAGCCAATCCCTGAGGGCGGTGAGGCAAAGAGATGTGCGTGGACATATTTGAAGATGTTGAATTATTATTCATTAATGAATAACTTATTACTTTACAGGTTTGATTCCCAAGTTTTGTTTTAAATATTATAAATAATGACTTAAACTTCCGCATTACTTTAGTTACTCTAATGAATGTTTAAATTATATTTTGAGTTTATTTATTTTAAATTGTTTTGTAAATGAGTTGTGTTTGGATGCCAATTTAGTAGCAACTCGATTCCCTGACTCATGTATTCGGGTTATGCAGTTTGGGGTTTTACACGGCTATCATCCAAAGCAGAAGTTAAATTCGCCAAACACTCTCTAAATCAAAAGTAGGGGAATTAGTAATGTTTTATGGAATATATTTTACATATTCTCCTGTCCCAAAATGTTTTACACTCTGCGAAAAAACAAAACAAAATTTTAAAATTTTCATTTTGTTTAATCTAAAAATTGATATAAAAATGAAAAATAAGTTTACATATTTAAAATTTATGTCAAAAGTTTTAGAAAATAAAGGCGATAAGAAATGTTTTACTTTATTAAATACTCAAAATCAATAAAAACGTAGAAATAAACAAAGAATTACATAACTTTTGGATGACGGAGACAAAAATTCTTTTAGAGAGAATAAGACCCTGTTTGGTATCATCGTTAGAGATCAGTGTAAGCGATTTGAATGGCAGATACGGTAGCTCTTAGTCAGCATTTTCAAAATGAATCTACATCATTAAAATTTTATCTAAAATATTAACAATGATGGAACATTGTTCCATCTCTATAATGTCTTTGAAAATAATAGAGATCAAAGTTAATATAGTTCTTTTTCCTAATCGTTATTTCTCATAGTTTTATTTTCATCCATCGAGTTGAAATCTAGTGGTCTAGTCACTAGTTGATATCAAAAGTTAAATCTAGTGGATATCAAAAGTAAACAACACTGCATTATAAACAATACTCCGTAAAAAAATACTCCCTACCTCTGTCCATCTTCCCAATAGCTCTTTTTCTTTGTCCACAATAAATCTTCTCATTTCATTTTTTAACAAGTAAAATACCACAAATACCCCCACTTACTTTATTTATTACACCTCACCCACCTCATTTAATACACTCCACCCATTTTTCATTAAAGGTATTATGGTAAACTTTCACCTTTTTTCAACTCTCTTTAAAAACCACCAAAAGTCAAAATGAGAACATCTTAGGGGGAGGGAGGGAGTAGTAAACAGCACTCTACTTAAATGCTCAAAGCATTTCAATGCTTTGGCAAGTGTCGTAAGCCGTCACCAGCCACAAAAACAGTGTTTTGGAGGACTCCGTCCGTCCCTCTCCATCTCCACAAAACAAAACGCTTTTCGAGGTTTCCCTTTTCTCCCCAGCAATTAATTGTTCTTTGTCTCTTCTTGTTCTTTCTTCTTTCTCTGCCGCGGATCACACCCTTTTCGGATCGTTCCTGACCAAATCAGAACCGGATTTCTCTTCTCACCCGCTCTCTTTTCATTTCATAACAAAATCCCCTTTCCATACTCTTTCTGCTCTGCCTCTTCATCTTCTTCACTAGGATTCGGGTCGTTGATGGTTTGTCTTCCCGGCGATGGAACACGGCAGGAGAGTTCAGAGTGGCAGCGATCGGTGGAGCGAAGTTTCCAGAAGAAAATCCCAGAGCAAGAGCCCTCAAGGTATGTGTGCCCTTTGGGTTTGATTTTTCAATTCTTTGTTTTTGAAGATTGTGAATTTATGAATTTCTCAATTGATTAGGGGTAGGTGAATTAGTATTCAATGTTGGAAATGGGTATAAATCCTGATGCTTTATTCTTAATTCTTTTAGTCTCTGTCCATTATTTTCCCAATTTGGGTATATCTTATATTACTCCGTACTATTGTTTCTGCACTGTGCCTACTGGATTGTGTGCCTCCTTTTGGTATTATTATGGAACATATGACTGTCATAGATTACCCATGAGTGTCTTAGGTTTATTTTACATGCTTCTTTAAGGCTTAAGCAACAAGGAAAGAACTCTAGCTCACAGGGCCCCGCGCACCGGGCCGACATGATTGTTGAGGGGTAGTGTGACTCAGCATACCCTTAGTTGGCCTCATTTTGAGCTTTGGTTCTTATTTCCCCTCTAATAACTGTTCTGGCTGCGGGTCATACATATCTTGCAGGTCTAAGATGTATAGCGTGTCTTTGTTGTGGCTTTGGTTCTGTTCACTGTCAATTAATATCATGATAGTTGGATTTCCATGTCTTCCAAGATTGTGTTTGTAGCCACTCGTATGGTGGCACCACATCGATGCATGTACTCTTAGGTAATCTGTTGAGTAGTTTGAGCGAGTTCCAACCCAGAAGCAGAGAATTCATGCTTGACTAAACTTTTTCTTGTTAATCTCCTTAAAATGTGCACTTGCAAGTTCTTTTTTAACGTCCTTTACTTAATATCTTATGCGGAGTACAACCTCTTTTGAGTGGTGATCTTATATGCACTTTTCTTCTTAAGGTCAAAACTGGAAACAAACTATTCCTTCATGGGAGAAATCATTTTGCAAAACGATCGGTTCATTAGATTGGGAAACCGTATTGGAGATGCAGAAGTTCAGCTTCCTGTTTGACAACGTGGTGAAGTGGGACTGCTCGGCAGGAGAAGAGGCGCTTCAAAATGCAAAGAAGCGGTTCTGGGCAGAATCACATGGCATCCAATGTGACGTATCGCTCCCCGATCCCGATCTTTATATAGATGAAGTAGATTGGGATTGCGAGGTTGATTCTGATCTGATGTTGGACCTTGATTGCGTGCATGTAGGCCCCAGTCCCAATGAAAACTGCGATTCGGTGATTATTTTTGGCAATGCACTCATCCCGAGCGAAGCTCTCCCCACACCTGGTTGGGGGGAAGAAGAAGAAGAAGCGAACTTTCCTAAAGATGACAGCAACAACTGTGCTGATAATAACAATAATCAGAATAATGCTGAAGATCCGTGGGAGGCTGGTTGGAAGAAGGGTGAAACAACAAAACAAAGTGGATGGGGTAATGGAGAGTGGGAAGGCGGTTGGAACAATAACTCCGGATATTGGGGTGGTAATATTGGCAGAGAGAGTGGATGGAGATCCGAATGGAATAACAATACAGGGGATTGTAACAGGAACTATGGCTATCCCAAACAAAAATGTAAACATTCAGAAGGTAGAAGATGGGACGACGATGGAGGTTTTGGTAACCAGGGGGATACGAACTATAATCAAAATTATGTCGAGCTGAAAGGGGGAAATGTTCATTACAACAGCTTTTCTGGGACAAAATGGGATGGTAGGAGGAGCCACAGGAGATACAAGGGAAAGCACATCAACTCAAAGTACCCTTAAGCATGTAGGAGGAAGCAGAAACCAGTTTTGTGAATATATATATGGAGTTAATATTCATCTTACAAGTTTTTCATCTGTATACCCAGATTTTGGTTCTCCCATGATATATATATATAGCATTTTTTGTTGTTTTTTTGTTTTGTTGGAATAATATCCTCTTGAAATTTTGAATGTGGTTTGTATCAGAGGACTTGCTATCTTCATCATCAGTGCACGGAAAGTGTTCGCCACATTTTAACCTAAACACTATGTTTGGCTGAGTAGGAACTAGGAAGTAAATGCATAGGAAAGAATTAGGTAGGAGGTTAACTTCCATTTGTATGGGGTTGGAAGGAAGTGGATGGGAGAGATTTTAGGAGAAAGTAATTTGCCTTGTTTGATTGGAAGGCATAAATAAGGTAGAAAAAAGTGTTTATTGAATTAACATTATAGCACAATGATTCATGTGACATTGGATTTCAATGTTATAAGATGACATTGAGGTTTTTAGTGCTCTGTTTGCTCCTTAAGTGATTTGTATGCCCCCTAATCTCTTAAAAAATCCCATATCTAGTTCGCCTCCTAACAACTCCTAATGGTAACCTTAATTTTAATCAAAATTTTGACCAAAATATCCATTAAACTTTGAGGTGCAAGTGGGAGAGTTGGAGGGCCAAGTTGGGTTGGGAAAACTTCGAATGGAACACTGTAAAACCCCCTAATGGATTGATGTCATCCTATAAAATTGGATTTGAATATAAGTGCAATCTACTTAAGTTTAATTACACCTTAAAAGGTACTCCCTCTGTCCTATTTTAGATTGCATGTTTGCCTTTTTTCTCCGTCCCAAAATAAGTTGTCTGTTAGTTGTTTTCGTAAACTTTTTAAAATAAAATATCTAAACTACTCCTAAAATAAGTCACTCTTCTTCACCTTATCTTCTCATTCATCATCACCCTTTCTAAAAAGTAATGTCAATTTCGGAAAATCAACTCTATTTTTTATTTTCCTTAAATATGTTCAAAAGTCAAAATAGTCGATTTAAATTGGGACGGAGGGAGTAGAAAATACATATATAAAAAAACTATAAGTTATTCTGTTAAGTTATTTAAGAACATATCGTTTTTTGGTATAATAAATTTATTAGAACAAATAATATTAAATACACAATAAGTAGATATCATTTAAAATATTTAAATCTTTTTGAATTATTATTAAGTTCATCAACATGTTAACTATTTTGTAATTTGTTTAGTACATGTGAGCAAAGCATAGTTCTTATCCTGAAAAAAGAATGACAAAGTTTTATCCAAAAAATAAGTGATGAATATCCTGGACAAGGGGTACTCAGTCTTTATAGAATATTAGTCGGTGTAGTTCAGTCCGTTGGACCAGTCCGTCAGCCGTATATTAATTACTTTTTTTAGGGGCAGCCCAGTAGTTCGAAACACTAACCCTAGCTCCCCTTATTTATACCCTCTTCTTGGAAGAGGAAAGGGGGGAGGAGGAGAGGGAAGCTACACTATTCATCATCTTCTTCATCTAGTCCACACATTTTCTCCTTTTCCTCTACTCATGGATTCACTAATCCATCAATGATGCTCTCGTTGAGAGTGTCGAACACATCAAGCATGCTCTATAAAAAACCTTCCAATTCGTCAATCTTGGATGGACCACCTACGGTCGAAATATTGGATGGACCACCCATCTCCGGCCGGATTTCGCAGCACCACCGTTGGTCGCCTGACTCCCGTCGGCAGGTGGGGTCAGAGGTAGTGAGGAGGGTAGATCTGCTGCAGATTCGCCGTCCCAGGAGCCAATTGACGACCACTAACATGTCTGCCCCTTGCTCTAGCTGGCAACGATCCACCAGCGACGACCGTACGGACGCGACGACCAATGGGGGTCAACAACATTAGCTTCAGATTTGATGTCGGCTCCGGGTTTGACGGCAGTCAAGGGCGTTGTTGTCCCTGTAAGCCACAAGTCCCCGTCGAGGACCGGCGACCAGCTACATTACCTGCAATCCCTGCCGCCGACGAGAAGACAGCGTGAAGACCCCCAGCGCGTGCTCTGTAACGCCCCGAAATTAGGCCTATTAATTGATAATTACTCCCTCCATCCCGGAGTATTCGTCCAGTTTTGACTTTTGGAACTGTTCATCTAAGCACTTTGACTTATCAAATTCTCTCAATGTGTAAGCCTAAATATAGTCATGTGTGATCTTGTTTGATTTGTCTTAACATATAGATTATTAATATATAATTTCTATAATTTTTTAATATACAAATTACAATATAAAATGGATTAAAAAAGTGTATTGGATGGTGTGTAAAAATGAAAGTGGACAAATACTCTGGGACGGAGGTAGTAATTAATTACTAAGAAGGACCCAAAAATAAGTGATTTATAAATTTTGTCAATAAATAATTAAAATTATATCATTATGTAGAGTTTGATTGTCTGACCTCAACGGTTCAATTGAATTTCAATTCGGAGAAAGTTGGACCAAAAAATGTACCCTGACTGGGACCAAAAATCAGTCCCAATCAGGTAATCAAACAAGTGGCGGCTACTATGCGAACGACGCACTAGCCAATTCTCCGATCCTGGAAATCAGCAACTCATGTCTTCTTCTTCCTCCTATCACTATATAAGAGGAACACATCTTCCTCAATTCTCCACCAAATTATACAATTCTTCCTCCTATTCTGCTGCTCTGAGAGAGAAGAACACCCTGGTGCTGTTAGTTTGGTGAGAGGTCGCTGGAGTTGAGAGCTTTTGTCACCGGAAGTTTTGCCGTCTTTTCTCCGGAATCATCGTTTAGCATTAAGGTAAGCCCGTAGATATATCTAATGATTAGAATGTTCATATAAGTCGTTTCTACATTCATAATTGGTCATTTGGTTGAGTTTGTGTTTGACATGTTTGAAGAACCAAGAATCATAAACCTTGAAATTGTTGTTAAAACTATGAACTAATGTTACTAAAATGATCTATGAACATTAGAGAACATTTCTTTATAGTTTAATTGAAGTTTGGTGACTAAAAATGAAATTCCCAAAAATAAATTAAAGATGAACAGTGCACGGTAACTCATTACCGCCGGTACGGTAGATAGGTACCGTCCAAACGGTACCCAACTACCGCTGCGACAGTAGGAAGCTACCATCTCCACCAAGCTCCTCTGGTGGTAGTTGTTCACTGGCGGTACCCCCCTACCGCTGGCACGGTACTGAGGTACCGTTAGCCGGTACTAAGGTACCGTGAAGGGTACCGTCTGAACCGATTGTTTTTTAGAAAATCCGATCTTTGAACCATTAAATGTTATTTTTGATACTAATCAATTATGATCACTATGAATATGAATTCTGGAAATAAAAATGATGTTTTGACAATTAAAAAGACATTATGTGATAATGACGGTAAGTTCGGGTGTTAACACTCGTAGTTAGGCTGCTACTTGCTATTGGACGTTATGTTAATTGATAACTATGATGAATAATTGTTGTGAATAATTATGAATGATAAACCTACTGATTAGAATGATTATTGATGATTAAATCATGATTAAAAATGAATATAATAATGATCATGAAAACGGTGTATATTGTTAAGGATATCTAGAAAACTCTAAGATATACCCACTTGTATAACGATGATGATTATTAAGGATATCTAGAATGTAACGCTCCGAAAACCGGCTTAGTAGTTAGCCGTAATTTTAATAAAAATAAATATAATATTTATTTACTCTAAAATATGGATTATTGGTAAAGTTATCCGTTTTAAATGAAAATTGGGTTTTCAGATAGGTCTCGTAAAATAATGACCAACGGTATATAGTTTGCTAAATTTTGGCATACGTGTAAAGCATGGTGAGTAAAATAGACGTTACAGTTCAATAAAGAAATATAAAAATTTTATAATATAATATACTCCCTCCGTCCCACTCTCTTTGTCCACTTACCTTTTGGCACACCATCCAATGCAGTTCTTTAATCCATTTTATCTTGTAATTTATATATTAAAAAATTATAAAAATTATATATTAATAATCTACGAGTATATGTTAAGACAAATTAAACAAGATCACACATGACTATATTTAGGCTTACACATTGAGAGAAATTGATGAGTCAAAGTGCTTAGATGAACAGTTCCAAAAGTCAAAAGTGGACAAAGAGAGTGGGACGGAGTTAGTATATAATAACCTACTTCGTATGCCGCCCCATTCCAAATTGGAGAAGGACTCCACTTTTTATATATTATATATACACGCACGATTAACAAAGAAGAAAGGGAAAAACAATTACGGAGTACCTCTGTGCGGCGGAAAAGAGAGGAAGAGAAAGAACAGAATAGGACTGGACGAACTGGTCTTCTAATCGCCACTACTCCTCCGTGCCGCTGCTATCGTTCGCCGAAGATTATTCGCCACTTGCAGTTTTGTTTAATTCGTCTAAGTAATAGAGGTCAGAACTTGCACATCTAACGCTAGATTATGTGGATAGATTTGAAATTCACGTTCGTCGTTTCGTATGATTGATTACGTGGTTTATTTGTTTATAATTGAATTATGATTTAACCATATTATATGTTATTGTTGGAATGAGTTGAACGAGGAAGGCCAGGTACATTTTCTAACCTTGAAATTATGTGGCTTGCATGATAAAAACCTTTAGAAACGTTATCTGAATTGAATGGTGTTGAATAGAATTGAATTACGCTGTTTCTGTAGCTTTCCGACGTCAGACGGTAGTTAGGTACCGCCTCACGGTACCCTGCTACCGCCATAGACCCCTCCGTAATATGGCTCTGTCGGTACCTGCGCTCGCACGGTAGGGGGGTACCGGCCAGACGGTACCAAGGTGCCGGACCGACGGTACTAAGGTACCGTGTCAGACCCAGATACCGCCCCAACCCAGTCCTCCTCTGTCGGTAACTGTGGTTAGACGGTCGGGGGTACCAGACCGTCAGTATCTAGGTACCGCCCGGCGGTACCAGGGTACCGTGTCCACCCCCAGCCGCCCGATTCGCTGTTTGTTTGTTCCGATTTGAATCCGGAATTTATCCCATGATCTTGTATGTTGCATGACGGTAAGTGGAGGGTGTTTACACCCGAGACTAGGCCGCTGTTTGATGAATATGGTTGCCTATTTAACTTGTTGTAATCTCGTATGAATTTGGAAATATGGAATTATGAATTTGAATACGGATAGGCTACCTAGCTGAACTATAGGTAGACCGAGGAAATAGAATAAGGAATACAGTTAGGAATAACTGGTCATGTGATGAGCCGGCGTGCACGCATGATCAGTTGGGTAGAGCGTGCACACGGGGATCGCAGATCTGCTCATGGATGTGAGTAGGTGGTCCCACCCAGCCGATGTTGGATGACGTCGTATCGAGCGGGTTCTTCCATGGATGTGGTTGGATCAGGACTCTAGAATAAAGTAGTTGGCCTTAGCCTAGGATAGGTTATGAGCCGAGAGATAAAGAAGTGGATTATGAGGTAAGTTTGTTGATTATGGTAATTATGCTTAATTGATGAATTACATGATATTATTGATGTTGTACTTGTGTGCATGATATTGTATGAAGTTATGAGCTAGTGGGTTCGTCTATGTGTGTAGTCGAAACGTTAGATAGTTCCACTCAGCTTCAATGCTGAGCGTGTAGCCCTTTTTCCTATTTGCTACACGTAGGTAACAAGAATGATGAATAAGGAACTATCCTGGAAGGCAGAGAGGACGAGATGATGGATGGATGCTGGCTGGAGGAGTTATCTTGTTTAATATTTAAGTTTGAGTTAATTATGTTTTTAAGGGCAAGAACCCAAAGTTGTATTTTGATTAAATACTTAAAGGCTTTCGCACCGTTTTGATTTACTCTGATGGATATTTAAATATTGTTTTGAATTAAATGTTTTAAATTGTTTTGAAAATTATTGCGTTTGAATGCCAATTTAGTAGCAATCCGATCCGCTGGTCCTTGTATTCGGGTCACGCGGATTGGGGTGTTACATAGAAGAACTCTAAGATATACCTCATTGACCAATTCATAATTCAGGGTTAAAACGTACGTACGGGATCCAGAACGAATATCACCCACCCGACAGATCACTGTTCGGTTGGTACGTAATCCACGTGACTCATAGGGTGGATTATCGATTCTTCTGTTCTGCCTTAGACTAATTATAGTTTAAGAGCCTGGTTAGAAATATTGCCTTAGACTAGGAATAACTAAGAGCTTGTTATAAAATGATTTGGTAGATTAAGAATAATTTAAGAGCATAGTCGAGATATTGATTATCAAATCACTTGGAATAAAGTATTGAAAATATCATGAATTCTTGAATATATTTGTGTGCATGATATCAAATAAATAATTATGAATTGAGATTCAATTTATGTGGATGTTCGGCGCATTAGATATGCTTACTCAGCTTCACTGCTGAGCGTGTAGTGTGTTTTATTTGCTACACGCAGGTAGACAGAATGAATGATTGGCATATTCTTGGAAAAGCGAAAGGGGCGAGACAGTCGTGGTGGAATATTGAATGAAATAAATAATTATGTTGTTATGAGACATATTTTAAAGTCGCTTCCGCATTTTATTTAAACACTCCGTATTTCTCTACAGTTATGTATGGAATATTATTTATAATGAATATAAATGTTTTAAATGTTTTAAATTATCACGATTACCAAATCAATACTTTAGTCCGAAAGGAGCTGCAGACCTGGACGGATTGGGGTGTTACATGCTCCCTCCTTCCGATTGGAAATTGAAGCTGCTGCCCCAGACGCTCGTGAAGCTGCTGCAATTGGAGTGTTTGAATTTTCTTTTTTTTCACACCCTCCAGTGGGGCCGAGCATGCTCCTCTACCGCCGCCAGGTGGTGCTTATTCACGTGCAATCTTGCGTTGAGTTCCGTAATACCCTGTATCAAGATGGGAATGGGAAGAGCTCAAAAGGATTGATAGTACTACTCATACCAACAAGGTGCATCTTCTTTTCGAGAGCTCATCACCTAGAAACTCCAAAATTAAGCCTGCTTGACCTGGAGCAATTCTAGGATGGGTGGCCCCTTGAGAAGTTTTTCTTGGGCGCGCATGAGTGAGGACAAAGTGCGCGGGAAAGTCATGTGTTGGTTTGTGGGGTCAGTCTATAATCCTATGAGTAGACACTTACGGCCAAGGTGCGGCAGTCAATACATCTTCTTCTCCGTTGTTGCTGCTCGCCCAGCCCATCTCACCCTCCTGCTGCCATAGCCGCAACTGCCGCCGCTGTTGTTGCCGACAGTCAATCTCCCAGTCGCGACTGTTGCCGAACCTACGACCTTCGGATTGGGGCCTCGAGCGTTGCTTGTCGGCCACCAAACATCATCCCCATCCTCATCTTTTGGGAACATCGAGGACTAGCAGCAGTCGCCTTCAGATGCGGTGTTCAGCTACAGTCACCTATGGAGGTTACAACCCATTAAAAACCCAACTGAACAAACCCGGTACGCTGCCACAGGTTGCCAGAATGGGCGGAGCACGCCGGCACCGATGGTTCAAGCTCGCCATAGCTATTCTTTGGAGCCAGCGCCATCACCGAAGCTAGCCGCTGGACACAGACCCTACCCCGTCATAAGTCTGTCTTCACCCAGACATAATGCATGATGTGCTAGCGAGAAAGAAGCTGCTTTCACCGTTTCCTAGACCAGGAGAAAACACACAATGGAAAAAAGAGAGTGGGGTCTCCATAAAGAATAACTGACAAGGAGATCACATTCAAAGTTCGGACGAGGGAGCAATAAAAAAAGATAAGTACTCTTACACCATCATATATTTGGAGCACATGGACCTTGCACCACATCGGCCATATGGGCGGGCAGTGAATAATAGATATTACGCTACCATTCCGGTTGGGACACCCTTCGCACCATGGAACATCAGCGTCTGCCCGATCTACCCTCGCTACAACGCGCTAGCTAGCTAAAATCTTGGAACAACCCATTGCATTCCATTCTCGTATGTTGAGTGTCCTTTATATTTAACATGGAGGTTTGGTTCTATGAATTTTATTTTTGGTTGGCCGGTTTCCCCCTTCCCCTACATATTTTCTAGCTAGATTGGTCTCATCTTGTTTGCTGGTCATCATGATATGTCCCTGATTTTTTGTACCCTCATAAAACTTCATTTGCTTCTCTCGTAGACTCGCTTAAAATCTTCCATTGTTTGCAATGATGATTTTATTAGAGTAATTTGTTTGTCTCTTACATTATGGAGTTATGCCCCTCATCTATTATAACAATTGATGATTGTTCTTTAAGATTATATATTCAATTAGAGTTGTACGAGGTTAAGATTTCACTACTTTGTGTTGAGAACTTGGATATTTAATTTATGCGGCCAATCATCCTTTTGTAAACATGTTCCTCTTCATGCAACAAGTGGCAATTCACCCATGCATACATGCATATAGAGCACATATTACATAAGGTCATGCTAGGGTTGCCACTCATGGATGTCGCCATTCTTTGCACAAATGAAAATCGTCTGTGCAAAACATGGAGGCACCCATGTGATGGCACCCTAATTTTATTCTATTGTGTAATGTACTAAATACAAGTCGTGTAAGCTTTCAACTCGCAAAACCAAAAATAAGTGTTCGTAATGAGGGAAATTAAGTTTGTACATTTGGCATGGCAAATTTGTTTTCACAATATTACTTTAACTCAGCATCATCAAAAAATAGTATTGTTTTTGGGTAATTAATGCAGTGTTGTGATTCTGTATTTCCTGTGCAGTTGTGCATTATAAGCGTTTTTCTCCTTAAACAACGCCATGGTATGACAATGCATATATGTTCCCCTGCTTTTGTTATGTGTGTATGTGATTTTATGGTTGTAATATGACACTAAGTGTAGTTTTCTGCAAAGAGTAATTTATGATATGGAAACTGTATCATTTTTGGAATAAATAAAAAATATGCTAAACCACACTTAAGATGCCCTAAAGATCCCTTAATATATAAAGAAATAACATCGCATGGGGTTGTTTAAAATCCTAACGGCGTGTGTTTGTGAATGTTTGGGATACAAATAAGGTATCCCATTTTGGGGTACACCTAAAATTGCCTATATATAAACCCTCCCCTTGCTTAAATAGGAAATTGAACCCACCAAGTAGACAGTGAAATTGTAGTCGTCTTTTCACTTGGAGAAAGAGACTATGCAATGACATGCCAATTTTTCATTTTGACTTTTCATCTTAAACAATTTCTATTTGATGTTTTTTGGAAACCTAACAAAACCTTCATAGGTTAATGCAGCCTACACATTAGTAATAAAAAAAATTGGTGTTATACTCCGTGTATGGCCAATTTTTCCTTTGGACTTTTTGTTGGGATTCCTCCAACTCCCACACCGGATGAGTAGGAGTAAATGAACCAAAATATATAGGTTCACCCAACCTCATTAGTATGAGGCATTTTGGGAGGTGCCCAAAAACAAATCCGTGAGGACTTGGCCCAGAGCAGACAATAGTCAGGCGGCGTGTCTCGCAAAGAGTGTGTGGCGGTGCAAGATGGTTAGCAGATAAAAAGGAAAATTGGATTACCGCTGGAGGGGAGATTGGAAGTTGTGTGGTCCTTGGTTGAGGGGAGGTTTGTTGGGATTCCTCCAAGTCCTACACCGGATGAGTAGGAGTAAATGAACCAAAATATATAGGTTCACCCAACCCCATTAGTATGAGGCCTTTTGGGAGGTGCCCAAAAACAAATCCGTGAGGGTTTGGCCCAGAGTGGACAATATCATACTAATGCGGGGTTGGGGTGAGGACATGCGCAGTCCCAACACTTTTCATCTTAAACCATTTCTATTTATGGAGGGTCCTAGCAAAACCTTCTTCAGCTTACTACAGCCTACACATTAGTCAAAGCAAGAAAAAAAATTGGTGTGTCATATATGGTTGGATCTTTTAGCTTGCAGAAACAATAGCAATCTTTGTTGCAGCTCCGTCTTTTTAAGTTTGTGCCTTCCTCTCAAGTTCTGTTCCTTTGCAATGGCTATTAGTTGCTTCATTTTCATACGCTCCAGCTCTCTTTCTAGCGGGAGAACTGCTGCTTCAGTTATATTCCTAGTACTGGCTTCAACATCTATAAGAGTGCCACTGGAGTTTGCTGCTATCATCTGGAAACCCCCCGACATTTCTTCCTCTTTCACGGATGGCAAATCAACTATTTTCCTTTCTGTCGGTGGAGCAAAACCAACATTCTTGGCATGGACTAATGCTGTCTGGGATTCATTCTTGGTTGCCAAGGGATTGATGATGGTGGTCTTGTCTCCAGTCCTAGACCTGCACCCTGTTTTTTGTCTGTTAGGAGGCGGTTTTGATCCCAATTCTTGGGCAACACATTCCAGTTTCTCAAACGCTGCCCATTCTTTCTCCATCAGTTTATCATTTGTCAGCTTCACAGACAAACCTGAATCGTTGCCTTCAAATTGTTCGTCCTCGTGTGGTTCTGTTTTTATCTTTGTTTTTCTCAGATCCTTAACCTTCTTGTTGAACCAAACTGACAGGAACTCCTCCCCCACACTGTCTTCAGTTTTGCCAAGCAGAGTCCCTTGCCCCTGCTCTTCTTTACTGATCAGTTGCATCTCCGGCAGTTGACTTGCTGTTTCATTTTCAATGCTTTGACTAGTCACTGCCTCCTTGGCCTCACGGTTTATACTAACCACACTGGTTCCCATATTTCCACCTGCAGCCTGAAAATATTTAAAGGAAAAAACCGTCCTTAACTCTTCATTCTTCAGAGTTTGTCAAATCCATGAAACTTTATTTTTACTTTTTTGTCATATTTTGAGATGATAAGGTCACAACACAAAACAAAGACTGAGCTTGGAGGGCATGTTTCAGGTTTTCAATTAGTATGAAGACGATTTTAGGATTTACGAAAAGCGCCATTAGGCATTCAGTTTAATAATGATCATAGGTGATAGGTGATTCTAGTAATGTAAAGCAATAAGGATATATTCACTACCTTAGTTCCTGTGGCTTCTTTAGTTGTACTCAGGACTCCTATACATCCATCAAAATTACTCAGCCCTCCAACTTCATCCTTGCAGAGATCTTCTGAACCTATTCTGATCCTCTTTCGTCTTTGATTGGAACAGTCATCGTCTCTTAAAGGCTCTGCAGCTGAATCTTTTGTGACAGCATTTAAGACCTACTCATGTAGAGCAAGCCAATGTAGCAATTAAGCTAACTACTAAATGAAAGTTATGATCTAAGAGACTTCTCCCCAATTTCACTTTGATACAATGCCCCCCCCCCTACACACACACACAAACAGAAGTATTTTTTGTGCATCCTAGGCAACATAATAAAAGAATGACATTCATAACTACCGTCAAAAGAGTAGATAAGTCATTCTAGAACAGGAAAGGATAACATATGGTTTACTTTTTCTCCAGGTCCTGAAGATATGGAATCAAGAGTCCTTTTAAATGTAGTTGAAATCTTGATGTCTATTATAGATGCTGAACAGTTCAAACCCTTCCTCAGGTGATGGGTGCTTGCAAGGTTTTGAGCAGCGGAACAAGATTTCGGGCATGTAATGTACTAAAGAGAAAAGGCATGTTCAACTTCCCTTGCTTCTTACTCTCTATGAAGTTTTGCTCAATAAATGCAGCAATGCATCTAGGGTCTAACAAAAACCACTTTTCTGGTTTTGCAGGGGTAAGACTGTGCACATCTTGATTCTTGACCCTCCAAACCCCGACAGAATTGGGATTATACTAGGTTGTTGTTGTATAGTGCGGACGGGAGAGAATGGGGGAGTTTGTCAACAGAAAAAAGAAAACAAATTGACAATAAGTCAATACCCTTAACAATAATGTTTAATGTTTATTAAAGGTCCAAAAGACAAACCTCCTCATCACTTTGGGGAGAGGAATCTTGCAGCAGAGTTTCAAGCATATTTTCAGCCAAGTTTTTGTTCATTTGCTGAGTTCCTTGATCAAGATCACCATTAACATTTGCATCCTTCAAATCCGGTGTCATTCCGTCCATGAAATTTATCTTCTGACTTGAAGTAGTAAGGCATGGTGCATCCCATTTATCATCAACCAGGGCTAGGTCACTTTTGAGTTTCTCTATATTTGTTTCACATTTGAAGATCTCTGCTTTGCCTTTTGCATTTAATATGTTAAGTACTTCAATACAAGATTTCTCATTTAACGCATTTTCCTCGATGATATCTACAACCAAAAAGGAACAGACAAAGATGATGGTGTGAACACAATTGAAATGGTACATACACACAATTAAATGTGAAAAACGTGAACTCGAAGAATAAGGTGAATGTGAACTCACCAAGTCTAGGACTGAAGTACAACTCAAATGGCCAAGTATTTTCCGAACATCTTTCATCTGAAATGTAAGAAAAGTTAATCTGATCAATGAAGCTAGAGGAATGGTAAGGATCATGCAGAATGTCAACTTAAGGATGCCCCAGATATCAAATTCACAACAAAGGACAAACTTAATTTAAGGGAAAAACAAACTATGAATGACAGGCAAGACTATAGTATATAGTCTGAAAGAAGGTCAAAACCTTGGGTGTATTGACAATCCCAAATGGAAAAGTCCAAATCCTCAGAAAACCCCATCCTGAAATATGCCACCAATAACATTAGACAGGAGTTTGTCTCAATTTAAGGAGAAAATGATAGTGATCATACCAACATCTGAGACACTAGCATGATGTATCATGAACACAGATAGAGACAATTAAATGCTCCCTCTGTACGAAATTCGTTGTCCACTTTCTAACAAAATCTCATTTTTAAGAAATGTGTTTAAAATGACAAATAAGTCCATCAAATGAGTTTGTCACTCATTCATTTCAACAATGATCATACCTAATCTCCAGGATATTTTTGACAATTCATCATAATCTCTTTATTGAATATTGGGTCTGTTTGGGAATAGCGTTAGAGATTAGCATTAGCGTTTTGAAAAAGCTATCTACGGACAACGTTTAGCGTTAGCATTTTCAAAATAATCTGCACCGTTAAAATTTTATCCAAAACGCTAACGCTAATCTCTAACGCTATTCTCAAACAGGCCCATTGAAAGTGGATAACTCATTCCGTAAAAACAAGAACAAGAAAGTGGACAATTAAATCCAAACAGAGGGAGTGTTTTTTATACCACTAGAATCAAGAATTCTAGTCAGGGCTTCAGACGCAACCCCTAATAAGGCTTCAGTGTTTTTTTATACTACTTCTATACATTCTTTTCATGTTGCACACCCCAATAAGGCAACCTGGGTAAAAAATTAGTGTAAACTGAGGAACATTTATTGTTATTCTTAAGAGCATGAAAGCAAATGAAATCATTTGATACTGAGTATTGAAAACTGAAAAGTTTCTAAATGTGACTCGTTTATGGAACTATAAAGGAACTCCTAATGCATGTTGTATCGATAAAACAATAGATACCTTGGCAATTTGCTTCTCTGACATTCTCAATGCTCTTAACAATGGACTAACCCTCCCCTCATTTGAGGCAAAGACCAATATGTTAAAATCACTGCATTTCAACTAACAAACGTGAATACAATGACTATCCAATATGAGTAAAACTGAAACCCACAGTGAGCATAAACCTCTCAAAATTCATAGAAATGTCAGTAATATTATCCATCCGTGAAATAATTCAGATATTTAGACCTAAAGCCTAAAATATAGAAATCCAGCCTACACAAAACTCTGCTAAATCAGTAAAATAATACTACGTATAAGAAATTGAAATAGTCAGATTTTTTGAAACAGGAAACAGAATAAATCTTGTTCCATAAAAACACAATGATCAACTGCATTCCACAAAAAAGAGCGGAGAATGTCATCAAGCAACCCTAAACAAATTATTTCTAAATTAATACGGAGTAAACAAATAAGCCAAATTATACCCTTTCAGGATTACTCGCAATGAAAATCAAAGGATTGGAGACTGAATCGAAGGAAATCATTTTATTTCAGGATAATTCAACCAATTGAGCTTCTCCATATTGAATAAAACACGCCATTTGACGAAAAAATCAAAGGAAAAACTATCTGGACTACAACACTACGAAGTGAAAATCTGTGAAATTCCAAGTTTATATGGTATAATGATAAACCTTAGAGTTTGAGAGGGTTGGAATGAAGAATTAGAGCATGCGTTCAAGTAATGGCGGAAAACCGGAAATGCGACTGAGGTGGCTGGCGGGGTAACTCAGCGTTCTACGGAGTCGGAAGCGCGCTGACGCCGAGTTTTCTAAGTTGTATGCAGTAATGCTCCTCCGTGATGCACAGTCGGAGAGGCTTTCCGGCGAGTTAGCTCGGGAGATTTCCGGTGACTTCTCTGTGACTCTATGGAGGGATGGGATGGCCAGAGAAGAGAAATGTGAAATCAGAACGTCTTTGAGTGCATTGGCTCATTTTGGACAAAACTTGTCTACTTACTCTACTCATGTTTTACGCAGATATAGGCTATACCGTTTTTCTCTTTTTAAATTTTAAATCAAGACTTTTTTTAATTAGAGCCGACTCCAGTCAAATCACCCCAACCTAATCCAAACTTTGGCGGTTGAACAGTTTCATTAAATAGGTATGCTTGAGAAGTTGAGATATATCAGGTTTGTATTTTAATTTGTACACCAAATTTATCTTAGACATATACAGACAGTACTCCCTCCGTCTCAGAGTATTAGTCCATTTTCATTTTTGCACATCATCCAATACACTTCTTTAATTTATTTTATCTTGTAATTTATATATTAAAAAATTATAGAAATTATATATTAATAATCTATATGTTAAGATAAATCAAACAAGATCACACATGACTATATTTAGGCTTACACATTGAGAGAATTTGATGAGTCAAAATGCTTAGATGAACAGTTCCAAAAGTCAAAACTGGACGAATATAGCGGGACGGAAGGAGTATTTGTCTGAGCACCGCACGGGCAATTATTATACATGTGTATCTGCGATACATTTAGTGTGCAAGTTAAATACAAAATTGATCTAATTCTAGTTCTTTTCTTCAATCAATTAGTAAACTTGAGCATCTTCCTATAGTTCCGTTTCAGTTTCGGAAGTCTAGCGATCATATTTGAATCAAAGAATGTCAATTCCACGTCCCTTGATTCCCTAGAACAGTAGGGCCAAAATTGGAACTCGTAAGTTTGTGGTTAGTTCTTAAGAAATGTTATATTCACAAATGTAAAAGTTAGAAAACATAAAAACTTGTCAATTGTGTACTTGAATTTTTTATATTTTAATTATTTAAAATTATTTTATTCTCTTGGTGCGGCGCACAAATAGTAAGATTGTGTATTTTGTAACATTTGTGTTTGTGATTAACATTTTTCCTAATTTCGAGTTTATTCTATCAACTATTTTGGACTTGGTATTGACTTTAAAACGTATATTTTTATTTTTGCAAATTTAGCAAACAAAAGTTTCAAACAATAAAGCAAAGAGCCACCAATATCGGTCCCAAAATCCCTACTAAGAGCTTACCCTCCAATCCTTGGCCGAAAGCGAGGTCACCTCCAACACCAGGGGGCGTGTTAGAATATAAATAACTATTCTTGGGCCACAACCACAAGCTTGAGCTTTTGGTTGAGCTAATTCATTGACATAGTATCAGAGCCTCGTTGACTAAGAGGTCACGGGTTCAAAACTCCACGCCACCCAGTTTAAAAAAAAATTAAGGTTTCACGTACAAAGCTCGAAAAAAAGACTACGCCTGCACGTGAGGGGGCGTGTTAGAATATAAATAACTGTTCCTGGGCCACAACCACAAGCTTGAGCTTGTGGTTGAGATGGTTCCTTAACACTTTGGTTCTGCAATTCTGCTATGCAATTTTGGTCTGGTTTAGATTTTAGTTTCATTACCAGTTCAGAACGAATATATGGCCACTTCTAATTTGAGGGAGAGCCTATATTGTACATCCGAGTGTACTTAGAGCTAGATATATCTAGTAAATTTTTATTTTGAATCAAGGTATTATTCATTCCTAGGCTGCTCACTCTGTATGCTGTATTCATTCTGAAATAACGTAGTGTTCATTTTGAATTTTTTTAGTATAAGTGTAAAAATATAAAATTACGCTTTATTGATTGAATAAGAGAAGAATAGAAAGTATATATTTATAGGTGGAGGAATATATTCTAGAATCCTCCACATTAATGACTAATTATATAAAGTAATATTATATAATAATAACTCTAACTATAATAGGTAACAACCATAATTATAATATATAATATTAAATATATTAAATAATTGATATATTTAACAATAAGTTTACCACAATATATGCTACATTTGGTTGTACGATATAATTTGCAAATTTGACTCAATCTATTAATTAAATTAGGGGTGGCATGCATCCACATTTATTGTGCTTGTTTCCATTCATAAAAATTACGAGTATTACTTGGGGCTTGTTTGGGAATAGCGTTAGAGATTAGCGTTAGCGTTTTGAAAAAACTATCTACGGCCAGCGTTTAGCGTTAGCGTTTTCAAAGTAATCTGCACCGTTAAAATTTTATCCAAAACGCTAACGCTAATCTCTAACGACTAACGCTATTCCCAAACAGACCCTTGGTTTATAAAATTTCTCTCATTTACATAAATTTAATCACAGTTTTTATTTTAGTAAAAATATATATTCAGTCAAAATAAAAGCATCTTTTTTTAAAACCTAAAATTCGGCATTAAAATTTAAATTTCTCTGTGTAAATTAATCTAATTTATTGCTTTATTTTCGAGTATGTTAGTAAGCTTATAATTCCAATGACATGACTTTTTGGTCAAATTGTAGTATCTTTTGACCACGAATTATGAAAAAAATATATTTAGTTTTAATAAATTTAGTAAAATTTGATTTATTTATAAATATAATTTTGAAATATCAAATTTTATAATGTTTAATTATTTTAAACTATATTAAATTTATGGTCAAATGGTGTCACAATTTGACCAGAAAAATCAAACTATAGCAATCTTTTAGGGACGGAAAGAATATATATTTTAAATGCATATTTAACACATTTGGCCATATTTTCTTCATATGTATATTTTACACCCCAAGACATTTTATATTCAAAAAGGAATTTTTTAAGCATATTTTATAGAACTTTTGGGGTATTGCTAAATCCACCCAAAAATAACTATATCCACACTTATTTCTTCTTTTTACTAAATCCACACTCAATAACATAGGTTTAACATTGATGTGGATATAACCATATTCGGGGTGAATTTAACAACACCCCCACTTTTATTATTGCTTATTGGACTCTAATTACTTTATTGATGGGTATGTTGATTGTTATGATATGCTAATGAGTTATTAGACCCAACATACATAACATATGAAGTTCCTGAAGTAGTGTGGCCTTAGCTAATTGCGCAAAATTTAGACCTAGATTGGAAGATGCCCACAATGAAATGCCCGGGTGATGTTTGACCTAAAGAGAAGGGTGGTTAATTAGCTTCCAATATTATTATACTTCAAAACTTGCTTCAGACACTGTCAAAAGCAGACCAACAAAACACCACTTCCATCCACTCCCATGTTGTTGTTTCAAGCCTGATCCGGGCCACCGGGCAGCAGATCATAGCCATTATGGTGCTTAGCAGCCTCTTGTTCCACAGGGATCAACTTCAAAACTATGGAAACAAGCATGCTTGCTGCTCCAATCAAGACACTGAGTAGCCAAAGGTGCCAGCCAAGCGGCACCGTGCTGGCAAACGCACCCAAGAACTGGACGATGATCGCTTGGAAAACTGCAGTAGAGAGTATGACACTTAGGAATATCCAGCTGCCGAATATGCCACGAAACACATTCAACTTCTCCATGTCGCGGCTGTTTACTTCATTGAAGAGCTGCGTAGACAAAGAGAATAAGGTTCAATTGGTGCATTTGGTTTGGATTCGCGAAAAAAGATGATGCTGTTGCTCAGAGTAAGGTGTTTTGTTAATGAGGTGATCCTAATTTCTAGAATATAGAATGAGAAGAATGCATCTTATTGCGGCGAATAAAATTTATTCTTAATTTGTGAGCTAAAATGAAAGTAATACAACTATCTTTATGGCATGTTAGTTACCTGACAGAAAACAAAGGTATTGAATATGAAAGTATTGAGAACTGCATGGGCATCTGAACCTTCAAGCCTCAAAAGCTTTATCCCAATGAAGTTGAAGACTAAGAGGACAGAGAGTTGATAAATGCTTTGACCGGCGATATTTCTCCACATGGCCCTTGTGATGAAACTCACATCCCTCCCGACTGGAGGCCTATTCATCAGCCCCTCGTGGGGTGGTTCAGTGGCCAATGCAAGTGCCCCTAACGTGTCCATTATCAAGTTCACCCATAGCAATTGCACAGCAGTAAGGGGAGCAGAACCTGATAATCAATTTTATATAAAAAAAAAAATTACTTTACCCCCTGAACCCATAATCGGTCAAAGTGCAGGAGATCTGTTTGCCACCCAGAATACCTGAGATACATGCAGAAATGAAATTGATCATGAGAGCAACAACATTGACAGTTAGCTGGAACTGCACAAACTTTTGGATGTTTATGTATACGGAACGCCCCCACTTAGCCACATTCACTATGGTTGTAAAATTATCGTCCAAGACAATGACATCAGCGCTTTCTTTTGCCACCTAAGGATGATAGTCATCAAACGGATAAAAAAGGAAGTTATTTTGTAAATGATCTAGAAAACCCACTCGGAAATATCTTCAACGAATTGATATTTTAAACCTTAGAATGCTACTAAAGAGATGCCAGCAAGAAGACAATTTATCAAGATTTAGGCAGTCTTATTAGAAGCAGCATTTTCAAAAAAAAAAAAAAAAAAAAAAACTGCAGCGTGTACAGACCTCAGTTCCAGCAATGCCCATAGCAAGTCCGATGTCAGCCTCGTGCAAGGCAGGGGCATCGTTGGTACCATCACCAGTAACTGCGACCACTTCTCTAAACATGCCCCTTAGATTCTTCACGAGTACGTTTTTATCCATTGGAGATGATCGAGCCATGACCTGCCCCCCCAAGAACCCAATAAATTTAGCAACAACGTATGTGTGTAAAAAAACACGTACACGACAGAGAGATAACATATTTTTTGTCTATGGTCCACCTGAATTCTGGGTATTATTTGTTTCATTTCATTAGGAGTCTTGCTGCGAAAATCGGGTCCTTCAATGGCAAGGCCATCTTCAGTTAATATACCACATTCCTTAGCAATGGCAATGGCTGTGTTGATATTATCACCAGTGACCATTCTCACTTGAATTCCAGCTGCTAAACAGGTTTTCACCGCATCTTTTACCCCAAGGCGAACTGGATCCTTTATTCCTACCACCGCTATTAACGTATAACCACTATCAGGGATGGTAATATTTTCAGGATTACCTTCTTCTTCAATGTCTTTGAAGGCCAAGCAAATAGTGCGCAGAGCTTCACTTGCAAATTCATTGATGACACCCATAATACTTTCTGCCTGTCCTTCAGACAAACAAACAACTTCACCATTCCCATCAAGGATCCTATCACACGTTCTCAATATGATCTCAGATGCACCCTTGCAAAAAGCCCGAGTCTTCCCATCTTGAAGAACCACAAGAGCAGACATCTTCTTCTTGTCAGAGTTAAAAGGTTCAACTTTCAACACCTTGCAGTCTCTGCATTGGCTCTCTAAATCACCTCCAAGAAGCAAACCATATTCAACTATAGCTGATTCTGTCGGAGAACCCAAGATTGATCTCTTTCCATCCTTACCCTTGACCACATCGGCCCCGGTATTGTGAAATATTGCCTGCAAAACAATGTCCAATACGTTTTTCGGTATTTCTGGACTCATCATGTTGTTTTGACCCCTACCTTCACCAGTTTCGACTATTTTAACTTCTCCAGAAACCCATGTTTTAGTGACCACCATGTGATTTGTTGTTAACGTCCCAGTTTTATCAGTGCAGATGCAAGTAGCAGAACCCATTGTCTCACATGCTGAAAGATGCCTCACCAGTGCCTTGTTGTCCATTAACTGTTTCATTGCAAATGCAAGACTAAGTGTCACTGCCAGAGGCAATCCTTCTGGAACAGCAACAACAATTATTGTCACAGCAGTGGCAAAGTGATTTAAGAGTATAAGAGCATCAGCTGAGGACCAATTGGTAAATTCATGTCTAAGTGCTTTTTCTACAAGAAACCTGATAACTAACACCAGAAAGGTTAGTACAGATACTGCCAATCCTATTTTCCCAATAAGTGTGGCCACACCGTTCAGCTTTACCTGCAGCGGAGTCTCATCTTCTCCGCCCTCACTGAGAGTTTCCATCAACTTACCCCATTCGGTTCTCATGCCAACAGTAGTCACTAGCATCTTAGCTGAACCATCCTGCACTTTAGTTCCGGATAGGAGAAAAGGTCTTTTCTCACATATGTTCACTGGCACACTCTCACCAGACAAGCTTGATTGATCAATCAGAAAACTGTATCCCGATATAAATACTCCATCAGCTGGAACCACATCCCCAATGGACAAATGAACGATATCTCCAACAACTATGTCATATATAGACACCTTCTGCCTATATCCCTCTCTGATGACTTGGATAAATATCTTCTTCTTCTCCCTATCCAAATCTCTGAACTGCAATGACTGGCGGTAATCACTCACAGCTGTGACAATGACTACAAGGAATATACTAAGTATAATTCCTACGCCATCGTATGTGCCTTTTGGCCATCCTTCAGTAGCAAGTCCCACGCCTATAGAGACTACAGCACACACAATAAGAATGATGAGTGTTAAATCATGCAATGCCTCCCAAACAAATGTCCAAAAACTTCTAGAAGGTTTCTCGGTGTATTTGTTGGGTCCGTAGACAACTTTCCTTATAGGCACCTCACTGGTTTTTACCCCTTCACTCAAAGAGACTCCCAACCTAGCTGCAAGCCCTTCAACGTTTCCAATGTTCCTTAAAGTCTTGATATCGTAAGAACCGACAATAGTTGCAAGCTTATCAGGGTGAAAACGGAGCCCTGCCTTTTGTGCCTCTTCCGGCAAACCCATCTCGTACTCATCCCTCATATTTCCAACAAGATTATGACCTCCAGGTATACTCTCCTTCGGATGCTTATGATCAATAGCTGTGAAAATGTTGTATTAAAAAAACCTATAAAGAAACAACTGGACCATAGAAAAAAAGACTTCCCAAGTCTAAGAATTGATTAAAGCACAAAAAAAAAACTCACCATCGAGGAACTTAAGCGCAGCCATGTATGTCATAAGACCAACCCGCAGTTTTTCCTATAAAACACATTGTAAATTGAAATGGACATAATTGGTGTAGCAAAATTATTTTAGTCATATAAAATCGGGCGTTACAATGAGGTATCTTAAATTTTCACAATCTTCATGATTATAATTGAAGATATGTAGATAACCTTACATTTTAAAAGCACACTCTGGTAGGAAGATGTGCTCTTTGAGATAAACTCAATGTTTTCTTTAAGTGTGTAGAACTAGGTACAAACATTATAGAATTGAAAGTTACAAGTTTGTGAAAGCAGAAAGCATGGGAGTGGTATCTTAGGCGCTTTGATAGGCAGCCACATTTTCATCTGAGTTAATGACTGTTTTTTAGAAAAATATGATGATTAATGAAATCCATTCTCTAGCACTGACCACTCTCTGTAAGAATCATATCTCTTGAATTACTAAAACCCCTTCTCCTCTCCTAATGAAAAAGATCAAGGGCCAGATGCTGAATGTTATGTTCCTTGATAGTCCCACGTTTTCTTCTTTTTTTCATGAGAGGAGGACACTGTTTTTATTAATACAAAGAAAGAAATTATAGTAGGTTTGAACCCTCACATTCGACGGATGTTAAGTTTGACATCCAATACAGACTAAGACTATAGGACCATGATCTTAGATGCCGAAGAAATGGAGGAGATATTAAACACAGAGGGCATAAGCAAGAATCAAGCAGCAAGGGGAAATGAAATTGTGAGCAAATCACCAGATAAAAAAAAGAGGAAATTTAGCAGGCAGAACAAATAAGTTAGCCTGTGTATAAAATTGCCTTTATCTAAAGTCGTGTAATTTATGTTTTAACCTTCCACCTTAGGAAATTTTGGGACGATATTTCATTAAGGGGAAGAAATATAATGCCCGGTTGTATACCCTAAAAGTTTACTAGAAATATTCAAGTATTTTAAAGTACATATTTTTATTTAATCAAATCTATTTGAGCATTCAACCAAAATGGGAAAATCTATAAAGTTAATAGTTCATGCAGCTAACATGCATGATTTCCGTAGTCACCATTTAATTGTATTTGTGTTTGGCGATGATAGAAGTCTTTTCTAATGATGGTTTTATTTCCGTTAAAAATTTATGTTTGTAAAGGATTGATCAGAAGATAAAGTTTTGATACATGATTCTTTCTACTATTATTCATTGTTTTTTTTTTTGCATTTGAAAAGTTTTAAAACCATTAGTCCCGCTTAACCATAACTCGTTTAAATTTGGGATAAACTGGTCGTGGTGTTGCACTACTGGACATCACTCAGGAATATTCACTATGTCCAAAATTCTTTTATCCATGTAGGAAAAAACATCCAAAGCACGCCAACTGCCCTCTATTTTCCACTGTCCTTGCGATCTCAATGTCCTCGATCATCTCCAGTATTATCCTTTGTCGAATAGACATTGTGTACTATGTTCAAAATCTTTGAAAAAAACAATGTTCATATCATTTAATGTCCTAGAATGATGAAGAATGACATTAATAACACGGAAAATAAGGACAGTTTAAAAAAAGAGTAGTGAAGAACCGAAACCAAAAAATCAACAAGTGTTGGAAAGACTTGGTAAATCATTACTAAAGGAACCCAAAAGCCGAAAGAAATTGAAAACCAGATGGAAGGAAAAAAGTATAGTTCTTTACTAAAAATTTAAAAAAATGGTCGTGTATATGGGTAGTGGCAGTTGCAGGCGCCAGCATAGAGCATGGGCGGCGGCTATGCAGGGGGTGGGTGTTGGTGGGGTGGTTGTGGGAATTAAAGAAGAAGAGTTAAAAAATAAAAAGATGAAAGTAAAAAATAAAAGAAAAATTATAGAAAAGGACTAAACTAAGAGTAAAATATTGAGAAAAGTACTAATAAGAGTTCTATGTTTTTAATCCCCAACATAGAAGTACAATGTCAATATATAATACCAAAAAATACAGTGGGATGCTACTATACAGTAACAGTACAAACTTTTAGTACAAACTTTTACAGTGGGTTGCTACTATACAATAACAGTACAAATTTTTTAAAATGAGTTTCTACCTCTATTTCTTATTTTTTTATCATAAAAAATATTAAAAAAATCGATATGAAAAATGACAAAAACAAGAAAAACAACTAAAATCATAAAAAATTAATTAAATAAAAAAATAATTAATAAACACTAACCTCCAATTGATAAATAATTCTAAAAAAATATTGAGTGTTGGGTTCTAACGTTTTAGGCACTATGTGAAGTATTAATGTATTGATTCCTCCCGTTGGTAAAAAACAAAAATAAAAATAACAACAAAAATAAATAAATAAAAAAATTATTTTTTATTAAAACCCTAAAAAATGAAAAAAAACAAGAAATCAAAAATTTATTTTTCTTACTTCAACGGTAATTTCATTTAAGTTATTTCTTAATAACAAAACTATTTTTTAATTTCTTAGGGGTTTTAATGAGAGAAAAAATTATTTATTTTTTATTTTTTATAAGAAAATAATACACAGTATAGTGCATAATACATTATTACGCCGTATAATGCGTAAAATGTTAAAACCTACCACTCCCTATATTTTATTTTTATTCCTTAATAAGAAAAATAATATTTTATTTCTTAGGGGTTTTAATAAACAAATAATATTCTCATTCCTTATTTTTTATTTTTTTCTGTTTGACCGACAAGAAAAAGTAATACAATACTACTCTGTATAGTGCGTAAAATGGTAGAATCTAACACTCCGTATATTTTTATTTTTAGTTCTTACCAATTTCAGAAGCCAAATAAAGACTAGTAAATAAGAAATGTTTTTTGCGACAAAGGGAGTACTTTGAAAGAATACTCTTAGAAGCTTGTTCTCTTCCTTTATTGGATCCGATCTGATTTTAATTACGATCAGATTTGATGTGATTCTAATTGTGATCCGATCTCATTCCAATAAATATAAGGATACTTCATCCGCCATAAAAGAACCTCACAGTTTGATTTGTTTGGTCAAACCGTTGCACGGTTTGACCACAAATTAAAATTTAGTTTTAAATAATTAAATGTTCAAAATTTGATATATTAAAACTATATGTTAAAATAAATCTAATTTTACTAAATTTACATTATGTTCCATAATTTAATATGCTTATTTTACAATTTATGGTCAACTCAAAGATTAACATAGTTTAACAACAAAATCATAGTGTGATAATATTTTTAGAACACAAGGAGTAGATAATTAGAATAAGTTTGAGTTAAATAATAATGCCGTTAAGATCGGATTGCCCGATGCAAAGGATTTTACCGGAAAAGGAAGAATCCATTGTTTTTGACGAAAAAAAAACTTTTTGACATCGTGACCCACAAGGTCAGGCATTCTGTGGGACAATAATGAAGAAAACGCTCACCCAATTAAAATGTTTGCTCGTTATGGGTCTCCATTTCTTGAAATATACTCGGGATATTCACCCTCTTAAAAATGAGTAAATTTTACTGTCCCTAATATTTGTCATACTTGTATATTCAAGATAAAATACCAAACTTTTTCAATTCATTTTATTTACATATTGGTATAAAAATAAAAAATAAAATTTACATATCAAAACACTACATGAAAAGTTCTTCGAAATAAAAGGTGTCAAAAATATTTTATTTATCAAATAACCAATGAAAACGTAGAAATAAACAAAAATTTCTCGGAGTGCTGAAAAAGTAAATGTTTCAAATATTTAGGTACAGAGAGAGTATTTTTTTCTAAATGAGTAAATTCTATAATTGATCCTTAATAGCAGAAAGTTTTTCATATTAAGTCTTTTACTCTCAAGATCCTTCTTTTATGAGACTTTTCCATGGTCAGTCATTTTTATCACCTTCTGTTAATTTTTAAATTGAGAGCTCAAAGTATAATATTACATAGTGCCTAAGTCCAATGACGTATTCTAATATCGGTTTAAAGACTAACACAACAATAATGACTATGGTTGCAGACTGTGATTCTGACTAGAATTAATATATGTACTCTATGGTTGCAATAGACAACGCGACTCAAGTTGACAAATGACGCATTAGCAGCATTCTTTGGCATTAGCTATGATAAGAAAGATTTATAATTATTGTGAAATTGCACTTTTAGCCCCCAATTTACACCATCATGACTGAAACTCTAAAAAATTATTCGTATCTGTGGAAAGGTATCGAAAAAATGACAAATGTAATATTTAATACGGAGTAATAGAAAACTAACTATGAAACCTCTATTATAAATGATTAATTATAGAATTTAATATGTCACGAGATCTAAAAAAAAGTTTTTTAAAAAAAGATATTTCATGAAAAATGAGGTGTTATTGAAATTTATTTAAAAGAGATTTCACATATTCACTTTTAAAAAAATGAAATTTTGTTTTGAAACATCAATAAATAGTGTAAATTTGATGAAGGTGTGAATACGAAGTACTCCGGTTTAAATACAGTCATGTGCTAAACTGCAAACACAGATCTGAATCTCCAGTCAATAACGAACTATGTCTGTGTGTGTACTCGGTATTATTAACACCCAAATATAAGAACTATTTTTAAAGAAGAATTTAATGGAAACAAGTTAGTATGTTTTCCCATTAATGGGGAGAATGGAGAGGTATAAATATACTCCTATGGGAGATGCTAGGGGTACACTAAAGGTGTACCCCAAATGTACACCACCCCACTCTTTACCATTCATTTTATTTTGTTTTTATTTTTTATTTTTTTTTTGAATTTAACTTGCTTTTTTATGTGGTTATGGACGGAGTGGGGATGTTTGGGGTACACTTTTGGTGTACCCCTAGCATTTTCCTACTCCTATTACTTTTGTGGGTGCTTTTTGTGAGGAGGTTGGAATTGGGATATGCTAGGGGTACACCTTTGGTGTACCCCAAAGTACACCACCCCTTATCTACCATTCATTTTATTTTATTTTTATTTTTTACTTTTTTTTTTGAATTTTCTTGCCTTTTTTGTGTGGTGATGGAGGAGGTGGGGGATGTTTGGGGTACACTTTTGGTGTACCCCTAGCATTTTCCGTTGGAATTTGATTGTCACCATCATTAATTTACATACTCTCCTTTTCCACAAAATAATTTCTTTGGTCCTAAAAATCTTTTATGTTTAGATTTTTTTGTTAAATAATGACACTTTTTTACTACAATTTATACATAATCTAAATAAATAAATAATATAGAAATTTGATATATCAAAAATATATACTAAGATAATCCAATCAAATTAAACTTATATTATAATTAAATATACTTTTCTTAAAATTTATGATTAAAGAGTATCACTGTCTGACCCAAAAAAAATTAAAACAGAAAAGGTTATTAGGTCCGAAGGGAATATTATTTTCCACTATTTACTGGATCATTCAAATATTAAGCTTTATTTCTTTGTCTATTTTTCACTACTTTTTACGAGTAATAAAGTTTATGGTGGCGTGATCTTTTATTTTGTACTATAATTTTTTATTAAATTTTTTAAAAATATAAAATTTATTTTTAAGTTTCACAAAAAATTCAAAATAAATTCAATCATGTACGAGTAACTCTAATAAGAAAGTCTTTCTATCCTATACTCCTAATTCCTAACTCGTAACAGAAATAATCTTTGTGAAACACATAACTACTGTATAGAAAATTACAGTTTTACTTGGCAGTAAAAAGGAGTAAGGCCCCGTTTGGCATCAGCGTTAGCTATTAGCGTTAGCGTTTTGAAAAGGCTATGCGACAGTAGCCTTTAGAGTTAGCGTTTTCAGAATTAATCTACACCATTAAAATTTTATCCAAAACGCTAATACTAATCGAAAACGCTGTTCCCAAACAAAGCCTAAAAGTGTAAAACTATTCCAGGAGGGTGAGCTGGTAATTTCCGAGAATGGCGGAATTTATAGAAAACTGCTATGGAGTAGGTGCATTGTTTTCTTCTTCTTTTTTGTGATTGTGAGATTGAAAGTACTCCCTCCTTTCTAACAATCTTGTCACCGTTACAATAGTTTTCCTAATTCTACTTTATTACTATTTGTTAAAATAAAATACTTCATCCCTCCTAAAATGTAAGCATTATTAAGCTAAATGAAATAATTTTTTGAACTTTTTCAATCCATTTTATTAAAAGAATGGTCTACAAATAAATAATAAAATTTACATTATTAAAAATAACGTCAAAAGTTCTACAAAACAAGTGGTGACAAAAATATTTTATTTTATCAACTAACAAATGAGAATGCAAAAATAAATAAAAATTTCCATGATATTTAAATAGTTGACTGTTGCTTACATTTAGGGACGGAGGGGTATATTTCTCTTTTTTTAAAAAATTTTGTTGTAATTTTAAAATGTTTAATTTGTGTTTTTTAATTCACTACTAATTTGTAAATAAATGACTTTAAAGAGATTCTACATGTTCGAAGTGTGCCAATATTTTTTGGGGATGGAGTAACAAACAGTAACTAGTACGGAGTAAGTGAGTAACTATATTTGAGAGGTCCCTTTAAAACCAGTTTGAGAAATTCCTTAAAAAAATTGAAATATAGGCTGCAACTTATTTTTTCTAACTTTGATCGTGTTTTCTTAACCTGAATGATTTTGATATGATTGGAATAAGTTATGATTTGATTAGAATAAACTCTGATCTGATTGGAATAAAGTTTGATCTAATTTAAATGTAATTATATTTAAATATGTTTCCCTAATTTTTTTTCTTCCTTTTTCTCTCTTTTCTTTTTCTCTTGTCCTTCATCTTTTCTCTTTTCCCCGAAAACCTTCTTTACCCACTTCCCTTCTCTCCTCTTTTCCCCTCATCAATTTAATCCTTTCCCCCAATTTTTCCATGTTACTTAAGACTTTTCTCTCTATCTCTCACCATTAAAATTCTTTAATAAAGTAAATAAATATGCCATCTATAATTTTTCTCTTTCTTTTAAACAAATTTTAACTATCTACTTTAAACTTTTCAACACTTTTGTTAAGCTATATGAAATCAAAATAAGACAACTCAGGCTCCATTCCGTTCAACTTATTTTTTCTGATCTGATCTGCTTCTAATAAGTTCTGATCTGATCTGGTCTGATCTGATCTGATTGGATCTGATCTGATCTGATCTGATTGGATCTGATCTGATCTGATTGGATCTGATCTGATCTGATTGGATCTGATCTGATTAGATCTGATCTGATCTGATTGGATCTGATCTGATCTGGTCTGATCTGATTAATTATGATTTAATTTAAAATTTCAAATCAATAATTTAATTTGACTTTATAATAACGTTTGAAAATTGTAATGATAATTTATATTATAATATAATCAATATTTTTTATTTAATGATTATTTTTTAATAAAATAAAAATAGTTAATTAATATATTAGAATAATCATTCATATTATAATGTAATAATATTTTTTATTTTATGATTATATTTTTGTAAAATTAGAATTATACATTAGAATAAATATTGAATTTAGATATACATTAAAAAGTTATTAAATTTAGATAATCAATATATAGAAGAGATAGGATTTTTATTAAAATATCTCATCCTTATAAAAGATCAAAAGTTTAAAAACTTAAATTACAAGTAGCAATAAAAATATATTTTAAAAGTAGAATTAGATTGACATTGTCAATGTACTTTAAAACTAATTTTTCCGACGTCTAATAATTAAGGATTACTTTCTCAGTTTTCTATTTAACCTATTTCTAAAGTTTATTCTTTTTCATTTTTAAGAACAATACTAATAATGATGATGATGATGATGATGATAATAATAATAATAAGAATAATAATAATAATAATAATAATAATAATAATAATAATTTTGATGGGATCTAATTTTAATAAGTCCTGATCTGATCTGATTGGATCTGATCTGATCTGATTGGATCTGATCTGATCTGATTGGATCTGATCTGATCTGATTCGATCTGATCTGATCTGATCTGATTCGATCTGATCTGGTCTGATCTAATCTGATTTTAATAAGAATAAGAAAAAATAAGAAAAAATAAGTTGAACGGAACGGGGCCTCATTCCCGTCGGCACGACTATCACATACTCCTTATGTTTTCAAAAACACTTCTTCTTCATTTTTTTCACTTCCAACAGAAAATTTTAACTTTCTATTAAAAAATCACTTTTAATCTTACTTTTTTATACCCTACATATTACATCATATTTTTCTCTAATAATATATTCATCACATCTTATGTTTACCCATAACATCAAGGGCAAAATTGGACCAATTTAATGCTTCTTTATTTTTAGAGCAATGCTGAGGGTACACCAAAGATCTACCCCATTTGTCCCCCACCCCTTTCTCCACCACTCATTTTTACTCCATTTTTATTTATTTAATTTTGTTTTAGTTTTCTTACCCCCTAGCATTTTTCTTATTTTTAACTTGATCAAACTCGGAACTTTTTTTAGAACATAGGAGGGGAGTATGAAGTACTTTTTACTTTTTAACATTGTTTGAGTGGGGGCTCTTAGAATAATTTCTCTACCTTAGAATATGAGTAAGAACTGCCTACACATGACACATTGCATCCTGGACGCTAATTTTTGTGGTATTTTACTAGCTTTGCTCTTTTAATTTGAATTTTTTTTAAAAAGTAGTACTTCGTATAAAATTTGAGGAGAGAGGGGGTAATCCGTAATAATAACATATCCCATAAGATATAATTATGATAATCAATTTTAAATTTTAATTTCTCTAAGAAAAAAAGTCAAATGCCCTATAAGTACACTCCTACTAATCTAAAATGCAAAATTTAATCTAACACCAAATAGCAATATGACAACTTTCATAGCCTGCAGCAGGTCATCATGTAATTCAATTCGATTGAACTTTGTGATTTATTTATAGTTTTGAAAAAAAAAAATCGGAGTTTGTAACAGTCTCTGTTTCACATTGGATTTTACTATGGCATGGTGATCCTGAACCCTAATAAACAGCACAAATTATCTAAGAATTCCGGAGAGGAAGAAGAAAAAAAATCAATTTTCGAGAGCAATCAATCTAATATTTTCGTTTTTGTTAAAAATAAAATGAGGCGAGTACTTACTTTGGTTTTCTCCATCAGCTCTTTGGCCTCAGATCTCTTCTCCAAGTTCGGAGTGTAACGGAAGCGGCGCCGACGGTTTCTGACTAGAGTAACGGCGTTCCTCCACCGCCTCTGGGCCTCCTCCGACGGATGCTTCGGCGGCAAATCGAAGTCCTGCAATAAACTCTCCATTCCCTGCGTCGGTTTCGGGAGAAACAGAGGACCACGTACTGAACGGCGGCGCGTACACCACCAACAGCCGAAGGGAAGGGGTTCGGATATTCTGGTGTCCGCCGCGATCTAATTGTACTGGGCCGTAACGCTGATACGGAGGACTGTATTTATTTGGTATTTGGGTCCAATCAAAGCCTAGTCGTCTTCTACATAAAGTCGGTTGCCCTCAGAAAAGAAAAACAATTCGTCTTCTAAACAAAGTTGGTACCAAAAAAAGTGGATGCTTACAAAAGGACTCCGTCTCATTCAACTCTTTTATTTGCATCCTCCCTTTCAAACTATGGAGTCACACTTGTGCGTTGCACGACTTATATTTAAAATATAAAAATATATTAGCATTGATGGTGTAAATTACTTAACAGGGTAAACAGTACTGGATCGGGTCGAGGAGTGTTTACTTGATTCGTAAAAGTAAGAAGGTAAAACACGCAAAGTAACCGGGAGAAGTGTAGGTGGAAACACCTGTAGCCCAATCAATATTTCGAATATAGTGGAATGCACGGGAGCTTTTACACGGGAGTTTTAGAGAGAAGAAATCAGATTCCTTCCTTTGAGGGTTACACGAATATTTATAGTAGGCTAGAGGACACGTTCCTAGGTGGTGCGAGCTGATTGCTTCTGTCCTCTAGTGACCTTGTCACCTAGTGAGGAAGGTGGCTTCTTTGTCGTGTAGTATTTTGGACGGATTACTCAAGTATCTCCAATGATTCTCCGTTGATCATGGTCACTACAGTCCAAGCTCCTTTGGATTCTTCTTTGCCGACATTTTCAAACCCTAGAAACCATACCGGGTGGTTTCTGAGGGATGGGTTTACTGAAATTGGGGATGAATGGGGGAATAAAGTAGTTTGACCGGTAGCCTTTTCAAAGTGTACCGGTCAATCCTCTGGTTAACCAATTCCCTTTTCACTGTTGTTTTAGGCCTCCCATTCCAAAAAATCAATCTTGACCGGTTGGATATTTGAGCGTATTTCTTGACCGGTTCTGGGTGGATTACACCCATCAATAAGCCCTCCACTTTTCGGCCATGTAAAATATCATGGGTGGGAAATAAAAATCTGGGAAAAGGACCCGAATTTTAAATTTTAGGCCTTCTCCCGCCTAAACTTTCCATAATTTGAATTTGAAAAGTATCGTTTTGACACATGTCGCTTGTTGGAGGAGGTCATCGCTGCGCCCGTTCGTCTTCCTAGGCGAAATGATGGCGCCGCCTGACGCGGTGCATCCACAACGCGCCATGTCGCCCCCTTTTTTCAATTTCCATATTTTTCTCGCCTATATAAAGGCCTTCAACCTCCTCCTTCTCTTGTTACCGGTCACTTGCCCGACGATCATACTAGAGTCAGATTTGATACTGACCCGGCTGATTTTGAGCGCTTGAGCAAGTCGAAGTCCTCCGACGAGAGCTTCATACTCTGCTTCATTGTTCGTCAACTTTAAGTTGAAGACGAGCGTATGGTAAATCTTAAATCCTTCTCGGGTGCTAAAAACTACACTGCCTCCATACCCTTTAGGGCCATGTAACACCCGCCTTCCGTGGACCCGGTTCACCCGCGACCCAACGGACCGGTAGGGTTACATGGGCGGTCCGAAAACCGTCCGTAGAGAAAAACGCATTAATGTCTATTTATTATGAAAAACGGTTGGGCTTAATTAGTGAATTAAATGCTAGGGAGTTATTTCCAAAACGTGTGTGATATAAATGCGGAGTAAAGAGCGGAAGTAAATAAATAAGTCCAAAATAAGTAGCAACGACACATGGAGGGCTCTTGCCCAAATGGTAATTAAAATGTATTTAATAATTAAACTTGTCCATGCGCCACCCATCTTCCCATCATCACTGTCCTCCAGGGTTAGCACTTGTACCGTCATGTCTACCTGCGTGTAGCAAAAACAACTACACGCTCAGCAAAAGCTGAGGAGTGAATCTAACAAAAGAACATGAATGAGCCAGGCTCGACGGAAATGTCGCAAGTGAACTAGCAAAACTGGGTAGTAGCCGTAACCTGACTACTATGTACGTACACAAAGCCCACCTGATGAAAACCCGTTGGATCCCAAATGTTCCTGGACGGGCCCACTGTAGTAGGCGCACGAAAGCTTGACCTCCCTACAGTGGTATGCACATGATGATAAACCTTGGACATGCGACTAGAATGAACATGATGAATGCTTGATATATTTACCTTTGGTCAACGCCAAGAATATATCAATTAAATAACATAATAATGAAGATTAACATTTCATACAAACATACAATCAGATCCTGAGTCAATATGGTCAACGGGGCTCGTTCTACAAACTGTCCGAAAAACTGCCCGGGAAACAGTCGACCGTACCCTACCGGCGGTCGACCGTGAGCTACGTTATGGAGTTCTGGAATGCCGACGGTCCACCCCGGTCTTCCGTCGCGGCCGGCGGTCGACCGTTACGGTGGTGGCCGACGGACGGTCAAGGGAAACGGTCCACCGTCCTTAACGGCGGTCAACCGTCCCGTAGACAGTCCACTGACTTTGGCTTCGTTTTGATCCGTTTTGTGAACTTAACGCCTTGATTCTTTTTAGAACAATAATGTAAACATTTTATGAATATATTCCTAGTGATTCCTAGGCCAATATATACGATTTTTACGTAGTGAACGTTTTGATGGCTAACCTACGAACATGCATAGATTCTACGTAGGTTGCGTACGATATTCCTATGAATATAACAACATAGATTATAACTTGATGTTCTAGAATTAGAGGGGACAACTACTCACCTCTAAACGTAGGGGTTGACGGAAAGATGAGACGAACGAACGGTTGACAACATTGAATGACAACGACGATTGGACAAACTTCTTGCGTGAACTTCCTTCTTCTACCTCCCCGTCTACTTGTCGGAATGGTCTCCTCGCCTGGCTGCCTTGGTTGGCCGAACAAGAGAAGGGAAAGGGGAGGGTTGCTTGTGTGATGTTAAATGGGGGTTACAAGGGTGATGGGGGAAATGAAGAGGAAAGGGAGCTTTATATTAAATAAAAATAATGGAGACATAATGAAGGAATTTAATGGGAATGAATAGTGTGGTGAGGTTGTGGCGTGAGGAATGATTAAATGGGGAGTTACAAATATTTATTTACTCCGTTATGTAAAAATCTGACTTGAAAGGTACGCGGTTTCCCCCCAAACGGGTCTGAATTGAGATCCGTTTGTGTTTCCGAAATTAGATAGTCAAAACAAATTTAATAACATGTTCAAATAATTTTTCTAAGAACTTTATTTTCAAACTTCCGGGTCCACCCCAATCATTAATTAATTTATTTAATTAATGTTGAGAGGTCCGTTATTAAAACATCTTTTTATATTTAAAAACACATTAACTTTTGAAGTCCATCTAATGAGATCTCAATATTTATTATTTAAAACAATGAGTCTCAATAAATAAATAATATTTATTTATTTAAAATTATTGGCTCGCTAATAGGCCGGTTTGTAGGGCGTTACAGGCCAGATCCCCATCCATGGCCATCTCCCACCATTATTCTGTAGGTTGATTGACCGGTAAGTCCAGAGTGAGACCGGTCATTTCCAACAGGAAATCTGCCAGGGCTTGTCCCTTGATTACATATATTGGCCGATACTCAATGTTAAATTGAGTTAACATCATTTCCCATTTCACCATCCTCCCAGAGGATGTTGAATTTCGAAACACTGCACCCAGCGGTTGGTCGGTCAAGACTTCAACCGGGTGAGCTTGAAAGTATGATGTTAACTTCTTGGCGGAAATGAAAAGCGCATATGCTGTCTTTTCCATCGCCGTGTATCTACTTTCTGCTTTGTTTAGTGCCTTGCTCACATAATAAATGGGCTTTTGTACGTGCCCCATCATCTCTTATTAAGACGGAACTTATAGCATTTGGGGAAATCCCTAGGTACAGATATAATGTTTCACCCGGTTCGGGTTTTGACAATACAATGTGTGACACTAGGTATTCCTTCAGTTTTTCAAACGCTTTCTGGAAATCCTCGTCCCAGGTGAACGTATTGGCCTTCTTAAGGACTTTGAAGAAAGGTAGGGACCTCTCTGCTGACTGGGAGAGAATATGGTTGAGGGCTACCAGGCGCCCGGTCAACTTCTACACGCCCATGACCGAGGTCGGGGCTTGCATTTCCTTGATAGCCCGAATTTTTTCTAGGTTGGGCTCTATCCCCCTTCGGGTCACCATGAATCCCAAGAACTTACTGGTACGAACTGCAAAGATGCATTTCTTGGGATTCAACCGGAGATTGTACCTTGCCATGATTTTGAAGGATTTACGCATGTCTGCGAGGTGGTTGAGAGATACCTTGCTTTTGATCAGAATGTCATCCACGTAAGCTTCCATGGTCTTCCCAAGCAGAGGCTTGAAGAGCTTGTTTTAGGGCTGGGTCCGAAAAAACGAAAACCGAAAACCGAACCGAAATCAATTGAACAATACCAAAAAAAACCGTACCGCAAAAACCGGAACCGAACTCAAAAAACCAAACCGAACCGATTGTATTCGGTTTTGGTTGCGGTTTTGTCTATCTAAAATCGAACCGAACCGTTGAAAACCGAAACACTTACTTTTAGGAATTCCGAATTTAGGCTTTTGCAGTTTACGCATTTAGCATTTTAGGGTTACGCGAATACCCGAACTCCTCCATCGCAGAGACGCCAATTTTCTTTGCTGGGCTCTTCAGTCTTCAAGATCTCCAATCTTCTTCGCTGCGCTCTAGGATCCAACTCGCCAGTTCGCTATGCTCCAACATCTATCCGACTTGCCACTTCGCCAATTCGCCACAATCCTTGGCGGGCAAAAATCCTGATTCAGACTCCTCATTCCTCAATCGCCAATTCGCCAGCTTCTTCTTCAATCGCAGAAGGTACGAATTGAAGCATATGTTGTTTAATGTTTTTTATCAAGTCATTCTAGCAAATGTTTGGGTAATTTTCCAGCAAATGTTTGGGTATGAAGCATATGTTCTTTAATTTTTTTCAAATGTTTTGGTAATTTTCCAGCAAATGTTTTGGATATAATTTGGGTATCTTTGAAATGCACAAATATCAAAATATGCTCATTGCAATATAATAACAGTGAATAGAAAGTATTTCTTGGACAAAAAGCGGATGGGGCATATCAAAAAATGCACCCAAAACCTTTTCTGCCTTTTTTACTGCAGTTTTTGGGTTGATACTTGCAGTTTTTGGACAAATAATTGCAGTTTTTTGAATGACACGTTTTTTATTGGTCAATGCAGTTTGGGACTGGAAATTACTGCTTTTCTCCCAATCTTTTACTGCATTTTTACAGTTTTCGATTGTAAATTACTACTACTTGCAGTTTTTGGGTTGATATATGCAGTTTTTGGACACATAATTGCAGTTTTTTGAATGATAGCTTTTTTGATTGGTCACCCACAAGATTGGATATCAATTGCCTAATCCACAGCATCACAGATCAAATATGTGTCTTCATTCACATTCAGCTTGAAGTCCAGAACCACCCACAAGATGTTATAAAATTATATGATTATATCCATCATCAGAAATGCATGGATTGGTGATAGTCATTAGTATTAGTAGTACCACCAACATTTTATTTCACTTTTAAATTATTTTTTTAAAACCGAAAGAATTGAAAAAAACCGAAATTCAAACCGCTAAAAACCGAACCGTATGATGATTGGTTTTCTTTTTTTATTACAAAACCGAATCGAACCGAACCGCCAATATGCCTTCCGTGCTGTCTTTGGTTTTAGGTAAAAACCGAACCATTAAAACCGAACCCACCCCTAGCTTGTTTACCATGCGATGGTAAGTGGCTCTTGAGTTCTTCAAGCCGAACACCATTACCCGGTAATAGTGGGTACCTTTGGGTGTGAGGAATGACGTCTTTTCCTCGTCCTCCTTTGACACGTAAATCGGGTGGTATCCTTTAAAATCATATCAGACCAGACCAGATTAGATCTAATCAGATTGGATTGAATTAGATCAAATCATATCCAATCAGATCAGATCCAATCAGATCAGGTAAGATCATATTAAATCCAATCTGATCAGACCAGATCAGATCAGATCCAATCAAGAATTATTATTATTATTATTATTATTATTATTATTATTATTATAAATCAGGCGATTAGATAATGGAAGGTGGGTCCTTAGCTAGAACTTTCAATGTATTAGTCAAAATTGAGTAAAGTTGTTATTCAGCTTCTGAGATTGTTTCAAAAGTTGACATCTCTTCCTCACAATCAAAAATATCTTTACTTATTTGAAAATTCAGATTCTCTACATCCTCAAAATATAGATTATTTGTCAAAACAGAGTAAACCTTATATTTTTTCTCAACATCAAAAACATTTTGAACCAATTGACCAACTATGTCAACTATGTAACCTAGTATCACTTGGTTGTTTCACTGCTTCAAAAATATTGAAAGTTATTATTTTCCCATCAAACTCCATAGACAAAACACCCTCATGGACATCTATTTTAGTCTTAGCAGTTTTCATGAAAGGTCTTCCAAAGAAAATAGGGACATCATGCTTACCCTCACCCATGTCCAAAACATAAAAATCAGCAGGAAAAATCAATTTGTCAACCTGTATTATGACATCTTCAATCACCCCTATCGGATAAGTATGGCTCCTATCATCTAGTTGAATCACAACCCAGTCTGTTTCAAATCTCTTAATTGTAATTGTTCAAACATATCCTTAGGCTTCACATTAATTAAAGCTCCTAAGTCTAACATAGCTTTTCCAAAATATGTTTACCCAATTGTGCAAGGAATGGAGAACACCCCACGGTCCTTACACTTCTCAGGTATTTTCCTTTGTAACACAGCAAAAACATTTTCACTTACCAAAATCCTTTCATTTCCTAACATCCTTTTCTTATTAGTGCACATATCTTTCAAGAATTTGGCATATTTAGGGATCTGATGAATAGCATCTTACAAAGGTATAGTGATGGCTACTTTCCTAAAATTTTCAAGTACTTCTTGTTGAAAATTGAAAAGTTTAATATTCTTCTGATCATATTTACATGAGAAAGGAGGCTTTGGCTTAAAAACAGGTGGTTTTGTTACAGTGTCATCATAATGCTCAGTCTCTGATTCTTTAGAAACTTCCTTCTGTTCAGAGCCAACTGACTTATTATCAAGATCATCAAGCATGTTTTTAGAGTTAGATTTCCCATTTTTATTTTCAGAAAATTCATTTTCAAAATCAGGCAGTTGAATTTCAGATTCTGGCACTATTTTATTCTGTGAAAGTTCAGGTTCATTAATCACTTCCAACTCATCTTCCAACTCCCTAAAATTTCTAGATTCCTTCAACGTCTTCTTGTTCCTAAGAGCTATTGCACTAAGATTTGCCTTAGGGTTCTGGACTGGTTGAATAGGGAGTTTATTTGCTTCAGCGGCTTTTTTATTACTCAATTCAGTTTCCAAATCACTCACCCTGTTTTGTATAGTTTTAAAACTTGATCCAATCCATCCATTTTCTTCATTAATGCTTCAAAAAATTTAGTGTTCTTATCAGGAGATGATTTTAAAGGAAAGAGAATATTCATATATATTTTGGTATATATTATTTTTGGTAGCTTCCTTGTATAGGGTTGATTTCGTTTCCTTTTGTGTTTAGGTTTCTCAACCTGTGAGAGCCTATATATACTTGTCTACTTTGTAAATTGAAGATGAGAGATCCAGAGAGAGAATTTCCTCCCAATTCATTATTCTTTCATGGTATCAGAGCCAAAACCCTAGAATTTTTCTGTGACTACTGTTCACGATCGCCCGGCATGGCGTCCATCGATCGTTGCTCAGTTTTAGTCGATTGTTGCTGTTGCCGGATAACGGAACGGTCGACCGTTGCTCTAGAACGGTCGAGCACGTCGACCGTCCCGTCGGCAGACTGTTTGATTGATGCTGCTGTTGATTCTTCCGCCACCGCTGTACGCCACTCTGCTACCGCTATGGCCGATGAACAACCAAGGAAGATGTTTTTCTCCCTATCATCGTGTGTTTCTAGTATGAAGCTTTCAGGTATTCCTGTGTCACCGCGTTGGATCATAGATACTGGGGCATCGAATCATATGACTGGTGATATTTCGTTATTGCATGATGTCGTGGGAATATCACCATGTGAGATTGGTTTGCCCAATGGGAAAAGAATTGTTTCTGTACAATCTGGGAAGATTAAATTAACAGAAACATTATTTCTGCACGATGTCCTATATGTTCCTGCTTTGAGTTGCCATTTAATCTCTGTGTCACAATTGACAAGGGATTCGAATTGTGAGGCACGTTTTGCCAACAATAAGTGTATACTACAGGATCTGTGTTTGAAGACAGAAATTGGTATGGGTGAGCAGGAAGGAGGACTTTATTACTTCAAAGAGCCTGAAAAGAAGATGGTGTGCAGTGCGAAGAAGGAGAGTAAGTTTGATCTTTGGCACAAACGACTTGGACATCCTTCCTCCCATGTTTTGTCTCTTGTTCCTGAAGTTGGAACAAGTAAGAGTAGTCACAGTTGTTGTGACATTTGTTTGCGTGCTAAACAGACTCGTGGGAGTTTTCCTATAAGTTTTTATCAATCTGTTGATAAATTTGATATGATACACTATGATTTATGGGGACCATATAGGACTCCAAGTTTTGATGGTTCTACAATGTTCTTGACCATTGTGGATGATTTTTCAAGAGGTGTTTGGGTACATTTGCTTGATTCCAAACGCAAGGTTGGCGCTGTTTTTAAACAATTCTGTACTATGGTAGAACGACAATTTGGGAAGAAAATAAAGTGTCTCCGCAGTGATAATGGCACAGAATTTGAATGTCTAAACGAATATTTCCAGGAGCAAGGAATTATTCATTAGACGTCTTGTGTGTCTACACCACAACAGAATGGGAGAGTAGAACGCAAGCACCGACACATTTTGAATGTGGGTCGAGCTTTGAGATTTCAGGCTGGTCTTCCGATTGAGTTTTGGGGAGAATGTATACAGACCGCCGCACATCTGATCAATCGCACACCTTCATCTTTGCTAGGGGGGGTCACACCATACGAGAAGATCTATGAAAAGCCACCCTCTTTGGCTCATATTCGTGTTTTTGGATGCAGATGTTATGCTCATAACTTGAAAAGGAATGGCGATAAATTTGCACCAAGAAGCATTCTTGGAATATTTGTTGGATATCCACAAGGGAAGAAGGGATGGCATATTTACTACCCAGACACTGGTGAAATCAAAGTGTCCCGGGATGTTGTGTTTTGTGAAGATATTTTCCCTTTCTTGACTCCTACAGGTTCATCTCTTGATACAGGAACTACAAATGTGGTTAGCTCTTATGATGAAGATGAAGAACTGCGGACGGAAGAACAGATGGACCGTTCCAGGAGGGACGGTCGACCAGAGGAAAGCGTCAGAGCATATCGGCTACAAACAGTCGACCTGATGGACCGTTCCGATGTCCACGGTCGACCGTCCGAGAGGCAGAATGACGGATTCCTGAGAGATGATCGAACGGTCGACCTGGTGGACCGTCCTGATATCCACGGCCGACCATCCGAGAGGCAGAATGACGGTTCTTTGGGAGATGATCAAACGGTCGACCGTGATGAGGAAGACGGTCGATCGTCTCCGAGGCAGAAAGTTAGCGATCCGGAACAGCTTCAGACGGTCGACCCCGTGGACCGTTCCACGGACGGCGGTCGACCGTCCCCTTCCCAGCCAGCAGTGGAGAACTTGGGACGTGGTCAGCGTGAGAAACGTCCAAATGTACGCCTAGCCGATTATGTTACCCATGTGGTTGGACCATATGTCGGGGAGAAATGCAAATATCCTCTCTCGTCGTATGTCACATATGAGAAGTTTTCTCAGAAACATAAATGTTTTCTCACAACTCTTGATGCAGAAGTGGAGCCCAAGGGTTACAAGCAGGCATCCCAGGATGAGCGATGGAGGAAGGCTATGCGAGAAGAAATTGATGCCCTAGAAGCAAATGGCACTTGGACTCTTGTCCGTCCCCCTCATCATAAAAAGCCCCTTGGATGCAAATGGGTGTATAAGATCAAACGCAAGTCTGATGGCAGTGTGGAGAGATATAAGGCCAGGCTTGTGGTCCTTGGTAATCATCAGGTTGAAGGGCTTGACTACAAAGAAACATTTGCTCGTGTAGTCAAGTTGACCACGGTACAGACTCTTTTAGCTGTTGCAGCAGTCAAGGGATGGGAGCTGCATCAGATGGACGTCCATAATGCTTTCTTATATGGCGATCTACAGGATGAGGTATACATGAGATTGCCACCAGGATTCTCAAGTTCTTCTAATGTGGTGTGCAAACTCAAGAAATCACTTTATGGTTTAAAACAAGCTCTTAGATGTTGGTTTGCAAAGTTGTCTGGAGCTTTGAAGCGCTATGGATTTGTCCAGTCTATCTCTGATTACTCCTTGTTTTCGTTTGTTGGGAGGAAAGGAGTAATTCATGTTTTGGTTTATGTTGATGATTTGATTATTGCCGGAGACAACGCAGAAATGATAAGCAAGTTCAAGGCTTATTTAGCAAATTGTTTTCATATGAAGGATTTGGGGGTTTTGAAGTTCTTTTTTGGCATCGAGGTAGCACGTAGTACATCTGGGATTTTTCTCTGCCAACGAAAGTACGCCTTGGACATTATTACTGAAACAGGTTTATTGGGTGCCAGGCCGTTGGGTGCACCGATGGAGCCAAATCATCATTTGGCTCATTCTTAGGCTCCAGTTCTTGCAGATCCAGAACCGTATCGACGGTTGGTAGGACGATTGGTCTATCTCTCGGTTACACGACCCGAACTTTCCTACGCGGTCCACACTTTAGAACAATTTTTGAAGGAACCAAGGGAGGATCAGTGGTCTGCGGCTCTTGGAGTTGTTCGTTATCTGAAGGGATGTCCTGGACAGGGAATTTTCCTCTCTGCAGACAGTAGCCTTCAACTCACAGGATGGTGTGATTCGGACTGGGCAGCATGTCCTTTGACGAGGCGGTCATTGACAGGGTGGTTTGTGCAGGTTGGAGACTCGCCTGTCTCATGGAAAACAAAGAAGCAGTCGACGGTGGCTCGCTCGTCTGCTGAAGCAGAGTATAGAGCTTTGGCTGTCCTTACTTGTGAGTTGAAGTGGTTGAAGAATATATTGCGGTGTTTAGGGGTTGAGCATAAGAACCCCATGACGGTCCGGTGTGACAGCACGGCGGCACTTCACATTGCTGCTAATCCGATTTTTCACGAACGCACGAAGCACATTGAGATTGACTGTCACTTCGTTCGTGATGAGCTCTTGCGAGGAGAGATTCGTACACTTCATGTGCCTACTACGCATCAGCTTGCAGACATTCATACGAAGGCACTCGGAAAGTCACATTTGGAGTTTCTTCTTCCCAAGTTGGGCATTTCGTTATTACATGCTCCAACTTGAGGGGGGTGTTAAAGGAAAGAGAATATTCGTATATATTTTGGTATATATTATTTTTGATAGCTTCCTTGTATAGGGTTGATTTCGTTTCCTTTTGTGTTTAGGTTTCTCAACCTGTGAGAGCCTATATATACTTGTCTACTTTGTAAATTGAAGATGAGAGATCCAGAGAGAGAATTTCCTCCCAATTTATTATTCTTTCATAGAATTTCCTCCTAATTCATTATTCTTTCAGATGAGTTACCATAGTGACTGGCAGAAGGATTGTTAAGTTATAAAATGTCATATTTTAATCACTCATTTCTTAGTACTTTTAAGATGTATAATATGAATTTTATACTTAAATAAAAATATTTTGTTATATTTAGCATTTTAGGCTATTGTTTACATTTTATACATAAAATTCATGATTTTGAGCATTTTATATTCTACAAATATATCAGGGTATGATTTTCTTTTACATTAATATTTTTAGATATACTTCCTCCGTCCCACTGTCTTTGTCCACTTACCTTTTGGCACACCATCCAATGCACTTCTTTAATCCATTTTATCTTGTAATTTGTATATTAAAAAATTATAGAAATTATATATTAATAATCTATATGTTAAGACAAATCAAACAAGATCACACATGACTATTTTTAGGCTTACACATTGAAAGAATTTGATGAGTCAAAGTGCTTAGATGAGCAGTTCCAAAGTCAAATGTGGACAAAGACAGTGGGACGGAGGTAGTATTTTGGTAGCTAAAAAGTTGGAGAAGACAACATAGTCAAATGATGGAGCTCAAAATTGGCGTCAAAATGGAAAGAAGAATACTAATTGGGCTAAATCAAATAGTTGTCCTGCTTTTGTTACTCACGTAAACAAAGGGAAACAACAAAAAAATAATGAAGAAACCTTCTCCAACTCAAATAATGGGGAAATAGAGTCCTAATTCAAGAAGGGAAGCTGACTTTTAAATCTATTAAAGGACAGACGAGATCTGGAGGCGGAGGGGCAAATACGGAGACGGATAGAGAAGAGATCAGACGACAGAGCACTTGAGCAACGCCGGCTGGGGTTTCGACCCTAGCCGGACTGGATTCCGATGAAGACGGCGGCATCAGTTCTGGCGGCGGGCATGATTTCTGGCGAAGATGGCGGCAGATTGGCAGGGACAGCTTGGGCTACTGGAGGCGGCGACTCAATTCTGGTCCAGTTTGGTAAATTGTTCGAACAGAGAATGAGGTCAGGGAGTAACATTTTCCAGTTTAATTGTTTTGTTTGCATCTACTTCGTGGGATTTTAGCTTTGGGACAGTCCCAAACTCCCAATTGATGGATGTGGTATTCAAATTAAATATTTTTAATATCAATTCTTATTCATGCTTGTTGAATATTTAAGTTATTTTACAAGTGTTGAATTGTTTGTGTGTTGATGTTGAATTGTTTAAATTTGATCTATTAATATATTATTGTCTTGGAATTAAATCTTTGATTTGATTGTTCTTGTTGAATTAGTTTGACTTTGAAGAAATTTTAGCTCTATGCTAATGTTAAATCTAAATTCAAAAAAAGTATTCTAAGAACTATTATTTACTAGAGTTTACTTAAATGGGAAAAATTAGGAACGCGCGCCTAATCCAGTTTAAAATGATATTCTTTTAAAGTCCAAAGTGTTTTAAATAGTCGAACTTTTCTAAAAACTAAGTGTCACTTGATTAGTTTTGGTTGTCTCGTTAAGTGGTTTTCGCTAATCAAGGTTCTCGAACTGATTTTGTTAAATAACCGTAGTGTTACTGTAAAGTTGTTATGGTGATGTTTTTCACAAATCTTAATGCGCTATTCTTAGTAGTAATTTTAAGGTTTATCTTTGGGTTGTTAAGGGTGGCAGGGTTTAGAGTTAGGGTTAGTCCTAACATGAGCTAATATGAATGTGAAAAATAGGGAAGAACCATTGGTGAACCTCTCTTCAGCCTAACCCTGAGTTTAATTAATAGTTTAATTTCAGGATTAAGATATAATTAATTAGTTAGTTAGATTTGTTCGGTCTATTTTCTATTAAAAACTATAAGTATTTTAAAAATGATTTAAGTTAATTATTACTGTCTACGTTTTTATAAAGCTTAAATGTGTGTTTGTTTGTGTGTTAGTGTGTTTGTTTCTCCCTGAGTGACTTCTGAGTTCGGCTTGCTGATGTGGTTCCATATCATATCTGTTATCTGTTATTCTTATCTTTATTTTATTTTATTTTTATCCTTTTAGAATTATCATTCAAACCCTTCATATCCTTTAGTTATAGTTTTTAGATTTCAGTTAGGGGCTGTTTGTTTCAGTCTCTTAATGGTTCAGATGTCTGAATGATTCAGCACTTAATGGTTCAGACTGTTTGTTTCAGCCTCTTAATGGTTCAGATGTCTGAATGGTTAAGAAATTTGCCTCTGAATGGTTAAGTATTATACAGAGTCTGAATAGTTAAGAGCTCTTATCTGATTTGATCAGACATTTGCCTCTGAATAGTTAAGCAATATACTAGCTCTTAATGGTTCAGACCTCTTACTGGTTCAGCACTTAATGGTTCAGACCTCTTACTGGTTCAGCACTTACCTATTCAGAAGTTACCAAACAGCCCCTTAGTTTTTATTCAATAAAAGTGACAAGCAAATTGATTTTTATAGCCTAAAAAGTATTTTTTCTCGTGGGATCGACCCTTACTTGCCCTATCTATGTGTGTTAATGAATATTAATTCATAAAGGAGGTTAAGGGTTAAGGAAAATAATAAATTAATTTGCAGGTGCTACGACACGCATATCGAATTTTTGCATCGTTTCCGGGGAAAGATCACGTTTTTTATGAGAGTCAGTTTACTTTGTTAACAAAACAATAAAAAATCAATAAAACATGAAAAGCCAAAAAAATAAAATTAAAAAAACCCTGAAAAAATATCAAAAAAAATTAAATAAAAAGTTCATAAAACTCTAATGTCAATGAGTTGACAAATAAAGAGTTGTACACACACACAAAAAAACCATAAATGAAGTTTAAATAAATAAAATCGATAAAAAAAACAAGTAAAATGCTAACAACACGGTAAAAATATCACCAAAACCAAAACAAAGAAACAAGACCTCCTAGTTGAAAAAAAAAACGAAAATACTTTAAAGAGTAAATTTTATAAAAGGTCTCGTTTTACATATTTAGTCCTCACATATCAAATATTACTAATATAGTCCCCAATTATTATATTCATTTTCACGAATGGTCCTTTGTTAACATTTCCGTTAAGAACGTGGATAAATTTGTAAATTCACACTCTTTTCTCTCCTCAATTAAGCTTCCTCTCTCCCCTCGCACTCCTTTCCCAAACCCGTTGCTGAGTTTGAAGCTTTGAACCCAAAACCGAAATTATCACTCTTCTCTCAATTATTTGTATAACTGGTGGAACCCAAATTGGAGACCCGTAGCCTTCATGGATGAGTTTTAATGTTCATTTCTTTGCAATTTCTTGAGACTAATCGATAAAACTCAACCATAAAGCTTATTGGTTTTGATTTTAGGTTCCACCAAGAAGACTAATAATTGAAAGAGGAATGATCATTTCAGTTTTGGGTTTAGAGTTTCAAACTCATCGACGAGTTTAGAAAATAGTATGAGATGAGGGAGGAAGCTTAATTGAGGAATGAGAGAAGTATGAATATACAATTTTATCTATGTTCTTAACAAAAACGTTAACAAAGGACCATTAATGAAAAATGATATAATAATTGGGGAATAAATTAGTAATATTTGATATGTAGAGACTAAATATGTAAAACGACCTATAACTGGAGACTTTTTATGGAATATACTCTATTTTAAAAGTAGGAAATTAAACAAAAACAAGTTCCAAATAGATTTGGCTTAAAAGAAATGATTTAAAGTTTATAGTAGCAAACTCATTTTTAAAGAAATTCAAACATACTTGTTACAAAATTAATTTCAATTTAATGTAAAAAAATGCAAACAATTAAGAGTGCTAAAAGATTGAAAGAAACTATTCTGATTTCTTATTTTTATTGAAATTCTATTTTTCTTATATTGATTTTCATGTGAAAGATTATTGTTTTCTTTAAGAACTTTAAAAATTTTATATTTTTAACCAAATTACATTTAAAATACAAAAATTGACATGAAATCCTATTTTTTCTACCCAATTCATGCTCCTAGTATGTGTATGAAAACATGCAAACAAAAATTTTTCCTAAAATATGCATAACTAAATACAGAAGCGCCCCCCACACTTAAATCATGCAGTGTCCTTAATGAATGTAAATGATGTAAAAATGATGAACAAATGAACATAATAGATGAAACAATTAACAAGATGGAACATGTAGAATCATAAAACAAATGCTAGATAATGGAAAGGGGATCATAAGATATGACAATTAAGCACACAAGCAAAATGCAAGTAAATGATAAAAAAACTTAAATGCATAAAAGTAAAAGTTTAAATATTTGGGTTGCCTCCCAGCAAGCTCCCTCTTTTAATGTCTTCGGCTAGACCCTTTGCTCTGCTCAAGACAATATGGAGAATCCATATGGAGAATCCATATTGTACTCTTAATAACATGTGATTACTCAAAACAAAACTCCAAAGTGTTAGAATATATAACAATCACTCCTGGGCCACAACCACAAGCTTGAGCTTTTGGTTGAATTGGTTCCTTGACATGGTATCGGAGCCTTGATGACCAAAAGGTCACGAGTTCGAAACTCACCGCCACCTAGATTAAAAAAATTAAGATTTCACATGCAAGGCTTAAAGAGGTCACGCCTACACGTGAGGGGGCGTGTTAGAGTATATAACAATCATTCCTGGACCACAACCACAAGCTTGAGCTTTTGGTTGAATTGGTTTCTTGACACAAAGCAAACCAAATACCTAATCACAAGGTCAAAATAAACAATAAGAAACTAGTTTAGTGATATTCATAAGTGTATTTTCCAAATAATCACATAAAGCTCTAACAACATAATTTCTCAAAAGGTGATCAAGTTTTAGAAAAATTAGGAGTTATGGTGTGAGATAATAACTTTTAAAGCACAACTATAACTTTATGAAAGAATTATTTGGAAGAAAATTCTCTGTATTTCTCTCTTGTCCTTACAATTTACAATGAAGCCATATATATAGGATCTCACAAGTTGAGACTCCTAATTAGTAAAGGAAAAGGAAAAGGAAAGAATCACTATACAAGGAAAACTACCAAAATAATATATACACAAATATCTCCAAATATTCTCCGAATATATTCTTTTCCTTTAACACCCCCATCAAGTTGGAGCATGTAATAGCGAAATGCCCAACTTGGGAAGAAGAAACTCCAAACGTGACTTTTCGAGTGCCTTTGTATGAATGTCTGCAAGCTGATGCGTAGTAGGCACATGAAGTGTATGAATCTCTCCTCGCAAGAGCTCATCACGAACGAAGGGACAATAAATCTCAATGTGCTTCGTGCGTTCGTGGAAAACCGGATTAGCAGCAATGTGAAGTGCCGCTGTGCTGTCACACCGGACCGTCATGGGGTTCTTATGCTCAACCCCTAAACACCGCAATACATTCTTCAACCACTTCAACTCACATGTAAGGACAGCCAAAGCTCTATACTCTGCTTCAGCAGACGAGCGAGCCACCGTCGACTGCTTCTTTGTTTTCCATGACACAAGCAAGTCTCCAAGCTGCACAAACCACACTGTCAATGACCGCCTCGTCAAAGGACATGTCGCCCAGTCCGAATCACACCATCCTGTGAGTTGAAGACTACTCTCTGCAGATAGAAAAATGCTCTGTCCCGGACATCCTTTCAAATAACGAACAATTCTAAGGGCCGCAGACCACTGATCCTCCCTTGGTTCCTTCAAAAACTGTGCTAAAGTGTGGATGGCGTAAGAAAGTTCTGGTCGTGTAACAAAGAGATAGACCAACCTTCCTACCAACTGCCAATATGGTTCTGGATCTGGAAGAACCGCGGCTTGGGAACGAGCCAAGTGATGATTTGGCTCCATCGGGGCACCCAACGGCCTGGCAACTAACAACCCCGCCTCAGTGATGATATCTAAGGCGTACTTTCGTTGGGAGAGAAAAATCCCAGACGTGCTCCTCGCCACCTCAATGCCAAGAAAGTATTTCAGTGTTCCTAAGTCCTTCATATGAAAACAATCTCCGAGATAGGCTTTGAACTTGCTCACCATCTCTGTATTATCTCCAGCAATAATCAAATCGTCAACATAAACCAAAACATGTATTACTCCTTTCTTTCCAACAAAAGAAAATAAGGAGTAATCAGCAACAGATTGGACAAACCCATAGCGTTTCAAAGCTCTAGACAACTTGGCAAACCAACACCTTGGAGCTTGCTTTAAGCCATACAGAGACTTCTTGAGTTTGCACACCACATTATACGGATTCGAGAAACCAGGTGGCAATCGCATATACACCTCATCTTGAAGATCTCCGTGTAG